GTAATGGACTGGGAAGTTTCATTGACCGCAGAGTCTTTTGATATAGACGCTTATTTATAGCAAGCGTCTACTTTTGGGGGGAAAGCTCCCCGTGTAAAGCTTGGGAAGTAATGAAAGGTGCCACTGAGCACTTGGTCTCCTAAAAAATGCGCATGCATTACCTGTTCTTACAACTCTTAATCGCCCCCGAGCAATGAGTTGCCAAAACGCTGTCACAAGCAAAACACGATTAAAATATGGCAGCAATTAAACGCTAATTAGAAACCGCCACAGAGCGCAAAGTAAAGCCGCTAATCACAGTGCGCTTCCGAGCACACGCTCAACCGCTTCAAAGCACATGTATTTGTTTGCTTCGAAGCATACACTCAGCCGCTTCAAAGCGAAAAGGGTCAATCAAAGCCTAACAGTCCATAGCGGCTAAGACGGCCGCATTCGCGCGGCTAGATATAAAAAATGCTAAGAAATGGAAGCATCCCATAAAAGCATTCCGAAGAAACGCCAAAATATTCACTGCCCTGGGCAGATTTAGTTTACAGCACCAGCAAAAGTAAAGGACAGAAAGCAAAATAAAATACATGACAGTCAAGCGGTTCCTTCTTCAAGCTTCTTCATCCTGGACTTCCTCCATGGTAACACCGGCGGCATCGGAGGTTTCAACGTTTTCTGCGGTTCCCACAGGCTCGACAGCAATGGACGCTGCATTGTCAGCAGGAGGCGTCCCAACATACTCGGAGTTAACATCATCGTCGCTCCAAAATTCGACCGCGTCCCATATGGAGTTGGTGTCCCACACCACCTCTGGGTACTCGCGGCGGAACCAGTGGCGAATGGCGGCCACGGTATCACGAAGTAGCTTCTTATACTTCGCGTCATCGGCGACACGAAAATCGTCGGAAGCCCAGAACGTGTCCCTAGCCTCTTGGGCGGCCCTCAGCATGTCGGCCTCCCGAGCATCCTGCAACTCTGATTTTTCTGTCCGGAGGTTGGCCAGCTCAACTTGCAGAGCGCTCTCCCGAGCCAAGGATTCATGCAGTTCGGACCGCAGGCGTTCTGCGTCCGCTTCAGCCTTCCTTGTTCGCTCCTTGCCCGCCTCGATCTCCGCATCCTTAGCCTTCATAATCTGCTCCTGCTCCTTCAAGACGTCCTCCCGCACCTCCGCCTTTACCCCTTCGCGACCCTCATTAAGTTGGTCCTCCAGCTTCAGCACCTGAGTTTTGGCGTCCAGCAGGTTGCCCTCCAGGCGGTCATTTTCCAACATGATCTGATTCAGGCCAAACTGGGTCTGCACAAAAACAGGAATCAATGCAAGAACTTACAGCGAAAAGTACCAGAAAAGAAAGAAGTGAAATCTCAACATACCGCAAAGAATAGCCGCGAGGTGGCGGCTGCCAGCCGCTTTGTGTCGGACACCAGCACAGGAGTTCCAGAAGTGGGGGTAAAGTCGGAGGGGACCGCCAATCCCTCAGAAATTACGTGCATGGCACGCTTGGCGGCCGCGGGATACAGGGATGCTTGTGATGAAAAAGAGACAGAAGTGTCGACACTTGTTCTCTTCTGTTTCTTAGGCGCAATGTATGCGTCTATTGGAGTAGACTTCTCAGCAAGCACCCCCTTCAACCGCGGCTCCCCTGTGACCGCCACCAAATCCTTAGAAGTAGTGATGTCGAGAGCCCGCTTGGCAGAATTCCTCGTCAGAGCCGGCTCGGAGAGCTTCAACACACCAGTGCGACTGGCCACAAGCTGTTTCTGAGACGGTGAAGGCTGGGGAACCGCCGAGACTGAACGAGCAGCGGCAGGAACAGGGGAAGCGGGGGCATTGACCCCAGGCTTAGGCGGTCGAGCAGAGGACGCATATCGTCGCGTGCCTGTGAGAGAAGCCAAGTTAAAATGCAAAAATCATGAGAAGTGCGCTCGACAAGTGAAATAAAGCAACTAACCATAAAAACGCCGGATAATATCCAAGGCATTATCGTTCCCCTTTGGGGGAAGGTGAATCTGAAGAGCACTCATGAGCCGCTTTAGAAAGGGCTTGACAGGACCAAGGCCGTCAGTGTCATTATTCCAATCTCTCTTGTCTCCAGACGCAAAGCCCGTAGGCGGTTCAACTTCTCCGGAATACCACTTGTCAGCGGGGCGAGCAAAGAAATACTCTTTAAACCAAGGGGAGTCCAACTTAGGTGCCCCGCTGATAAGGCCAACCCGCGACTCCCGGCGGTAGCAGGACCAACAATTTTCAGAGCCCCTCATCTTGTATAACTGACGGAACGCGTCAAAAGAGGGCGTCTCACCACTATCTTTGCGCAAGCAGCCCTAAAAACGATTGAGTGAAAAATGATCCCGGGAGACAAACGCCCCAGGGTGCAGTTCAGGAAGAGGAGCGTCCGAGTAAGGATGGGGTCAATGGGGAAAGTCAGGCCCATCCGGAGATGTTCCACATGTATGGGAATCCAACCGCCCGGACAAGAATCCGACCTCCCAGCAGGGGAAGGAGCCGCGTAATCCCAGTTGGTAGGAAGGTTGTGCGTCCTCAACTGTCGCAGTACTTGTTTAGGGTTGTACGCGGCCTCATTCGACGGTCCTTGTTCGTAGGCGCTTGAGGGTACGGGTTCTCCTTCCCACATGTCAGCATGCAACCGGACACGGTAGGTCGTGTCGCGGATAGCCTGAAAGGCGCCGACCGGCAACGCGTCGGAGACGGTCAGAGACGGAGACAGCTCCCCCCCTTCATCCTCTGGGTGGTTCGCGGGGCCACCATCAGAAGGGAGCACCGTCGCAGTATTAGGCGGCTCACTCTCCGCCTCGGAATAATCAAAGTCCTCCAGGTTGTCTCCAACCAAAGAAGACGCTCCCCGCCGTCCGCCCGACGTTCCCGCGTCAGGAGCCATATCCAGTTCTACCCCTAAAAGGTCATAACAAGACCGTCTAAGTATGCCTCACGCTGAGCGTGTGAATTCAATTCTGAATCCTATGCCTACGAGTAAACCGCGCAACACAACGAGTAAAGATGAATACCTGTATTCACTTGACGGCTGCTGGACGGCGGCCCGCCTGATCCACCTCCGGACTTAGAAGATGACCGCAGAGCACTACCGCCGGCACTGGAGGTGCGCGCGTCGCCGGAAACAGTAACCGCAAGCTCACTGGAGGTTGTGACGGCGACGACATCACCAGAGAGGTTCTGGTTTTGGCTATCAGAGTGATCGGTGCTTTGTGATTCGTTCGCCATTTGCTTCCAGAGTTTCCTTTTCGCCCGTTTTTGACGTCGTCGAAGTTTAGCAAGGAAGATTGCTCGCGGCTGAGACAAAGAAGAGTTGTCTCGAAGGTAGGAAGAGAGGGAAAAACGAGAACACCAAGCAATTTTTGCGAATGGAGCGGAGGAAGAAGAAAAATGGGCGAAAAAGAGAGTTGTGGGAGAAAGAAGTAAAAGGCGAGTATAAATAGTAGGAAGAGGGGGCAGCGAAGCGACGGTTGAGTGACCTAGAGCAAACCCTACCCTAGGAAATTCAAAAGTCGGGCAAGTGATTGGACGCAAGGGTGCCCGTTGTCAGTGCACGAAGACCGAGGCCAGACACGTGGCGCGGCGTACAAGCGGTGGGATAGGACGTAGAAGATCAAACGTCAGGCGGTTCTCGAATGACAAGCGGGGACAGTTGAGAAGCATTCGTCCGCATGACACGTCACAGAAGCGTACAGCAAGAAAAAGGGGGGTAGACAGCTTGACGCCAAGAAGAAGAGTGCGACAAAAAAAGGGGGGTGGACAGCTCAATCCTCAAGACCTATATCGGACAAGGCTTGGAAGCCTCCCAGATTGACGCCACCGCTAAGAGACAGCTCAACCGCTAAGAGACCTACAGTGGACGGCCCGGAAGTCCCCGAATCAACGTCAAGGAGAATAGCGGCGGCCAAAAAGGAGGGAGGACAGCGCAGTTGCGCCATAAAGACTAGTTCTCGAGTAACCCAATCAATGCTCCGAAAAAGGGGTGGACAGCGAAACAGCTCGGTCTTACACAAGGAAGTTGCGAACCACATTAAAGCTCACGGGACAAACCAGGAACCAGGTGGACGGCGCAGTTGAAAAACGCAAACCATTATAAGAGACTATGGACCAGGAAATCACGGATCTGTGGCGCCCAGGGGGCAAAAGGGTAGACAGCTGTTAATGAAAGGACCGCTCAGCTATCAGAGGACATAAAGTAGCCGCCAAAATCCTTAGCTTTTCACGATTAAGGGGCAATTGTTGGGCCATAGCTGAGCAGCATTGGGCTTAGGAGCCCAAAAGGGTAAGGCCCGTCCAAAGGGCCCAAGAGTACGTCTGGGGGAGCGTAGCGCATAGGAAACAGAGAAAGGAAAGCGGCCATACTAGGACATGACAGGTACTAGGACGCCTGACACAAAGAGCCGTTATGGGCAGAATGAGAGATCCTCCTAGGATACTCACCTCGAATACTGCAGGACTAAGCATTAATTGCCGCCGTAGGCGGTCTAAATAAAGCAGGGCTTGATATAGGACGCCTGACATGGTAATTAATGCTCGAAGCCCAGCCCAAACCACTATAAATACATTCATACCTGCATTGATGGTAAACCAACTACTCTCTCTCTCTCTAAACATTATTACAGAACTCTCTCTCTCTCTAACTTAAGCTTCGGAGGGTGTCCTGGGTAATCACCCAAGGACCCTTGTTTTGTAGGAGCTTGGAGTCCCCCATCATCCGGATCAGACGCCTTGCTAGCTTCGCAAACCCGCCTAGAACATCCTAGGCTCAAACAGTTTCCTGATGCTAAATCGGTGAAATATTGGTGGGTGATCGTTCAACAGTTAACTTTTATAGATCTGTTGAGTAACCGTTGACAGAATCATTCATGTGTGCACTATAATCTAAAAGGCATATATACACTAGTCTAGGAGTGAGATTATCACTAAACATAAATAAATTCAAATCCATATCATCTATCACCAAGAAAGTTCCAATAGAGTATTCAAACTATCTCATAAAAGATAAAAAAAAAAAAGTTTATGTTCAATTCAAGTTTGTAATAAGAGTGGCAATCCGTAGTGCTCCACACAAAACTGACAAGGAGGTTGAGAAATGAAGAAGATGAAACATACACAAAATTAGTGATTGAGATTGGATGATCTTGGTTTACATTAAAGTGTATCTATATTTTTAATTTTTTGTGGTTCAAATTACGAGCCAACGGAATAGTCAAACCGGGGTGGTTCAACTGATTTCACGTAAAACCGCCAAAAACCGTTGCGCCCACTCCATCCCTAACGTTCCAGTCAAATGATGAACCGAACCAACTAGATTAATAGTTCTACTGGCCCAACACCATTGATCTGGCTCACCAATCACCACAGAGTAAGCTATCTGCCAATGTAATCAAATCGGTGAAAGTTGTGCGGTTATAGGTTTAGTTTGAAGGGAAATGTATGGGCCGCCGTTTGAGATCCGTGCTAGATCGAGTTAAGGTGGACGTCCAGCCCAAATGAGATCCTCAGAAATTAATCCCGTGCTAACATGCGGGCCTTTAGTACCTTACTGGGCCTACTTTTGCTTATGGAATCTTAATGAGGGATTTTCTCTCAAAAAATCTCACCATATATGTTGAATTTTCCTCACAATCTATCTTTGGTGATGAAAATGAGATTGAATTAAATTCATGGGAATCCATACACGTGATAAAAACATATGTGGTTGTAGAGCTTTGAGGTTAGAACGAATATCATATATATCATAAATTAATCACAAAGTGTACGATAAAAGTGTTGAATATATGTAATCCGCAACCTGTGTATATGCAGTAACGTGTAGTGCAGTGGGCCTATAGTTGGGTAGAGCTCTCAAGCCCATGCAACCCATAAAGAGAGCGTTTCAGTCTGCATACCTGTCCATGTTTTCCAACATGATAGCCAGGAGGTTTTTCCATGTAGATAACCTCATCCAGATCACCGTGAAGAAAAGCATTCTTCACATCAAGTTGCGAGAGAGTCCAGTTCTTCATAGAAGCAACCGCAAGAAGGGTCCTAACAGTCGACATACGCACCGCAGGAGCAAAAGTTTCATTATAATCCACCCCGTGCTCCTGTGTATAGCCTAAAGCCACAACCCGTGCCTTGTGGCGCTCAATAGTCCCGTCAGGAAGTACCTTAATAGTATATACCCACTTACTGCCTATCGTAGGAGTATCAGGTAAGATACCGCACAGGTAAGATTCGCACCCGTACACCTTGGCTTTTAGATTCAGCATGTTATAATCATATGACATGCGATTCCAATGTGTTAAAAGAAATAAATCCTGTCCAGAACATTGAATTAACTGTTGCTAATGGCTCTAAACTGCAAGTCAAGGGAATGGGCAACGTTGATGACAAAGAGTTAGCATTATGTAATACTGTATATGTTCCTGCTTTAGTACCCAATTTGGTTTCAGTTGGACAACTTACTGAGCAAGGGTGTACCGTGTCGTTTGCTCCGTCTGGCTTTCTTATACAGGATTCGAGGACGGGGAGGCTGATCGGAAGGGGGAGTAAGCGAGGCCGACTTTTTCATCTGGACGAGTTACATGGGAATTTTCCGTCTTCTATAGTTCGTGAGTCTATTCATAGGTCTGTCAGTAGTCCCTTGTTGTCGAATTCTTGTTTAGCTGTTTCGAGTCATTCAAATAAGCAGTGGGATCTTTGGCATGCCCGTTTGGGGCACCCTCATTCTGCTCGTCTTTCTGCAATGTTTAAAAGGTCTTTGCTCGGTCAAACTAGTGTCAGTATTCCCGAATTTCACTCCTGTACAAGCTGTGTTGAAGCTAAAACTGCTAGTATTTCATATCCTTTGAGTATACTGGTATTCATGAACCTTTCCATATCATCCACACCGATCTTTGGGGACATGCACCCGTAGTTTCTCGACAAGGCTTTCGTTATTTCGCACTTTTTGTTGATCACGCTACTCGTTACACCTGGATTTATCTTCTTCGCTTAAAATCTGACCTCTGTTCTGTGGCGATTGAATTTCTGAACATGATTCAAACTCAATTTGGAAAATCTATTAAAATCATTCGGTCCGATCCTGGCGGAGAGTTTAGCTCTTTTCCTTTGCGTGAGGTCTATCGTTCACGTGGAATTTTGAGTCAAAAATCCTGTCCTGGAGTTTCACAACAAAATGGTCTTGTAGAGCGTAAAAATCGTCATGTCGTCGAGCTTACTCGTGTCTTATTGTTAGCCTCAGCGGTTCCTGGGCGTTTCTGGCCAGAAGTCGTGGTCACTGCAGTCCGGTTGATAAACTACCAGCTCACTCCGGTTCTTGGTAATGAGAGTCCTTTTTTTAAACTTTATTCTCGTACTCCGGGCTACTCTCGTCTTCATGTCTTTGGTTGTCTGTGTTTTGTCTTACTTCCTCGTCGTGAGCGTACAAAACTAACTTCCAAAACGGCCAAATGTGCATTCATGGGATACATTGATGTTCATAAAGGCTATTTTTGCTATGATCCCAATACTCAGCGTGTTCGTGTCTCAAGCACTGTCGTGTTCTTTGAGCATCTTCGTTTCTTTGAGCCCGAGTCCTCCCCTACCTCTGTCTTCCCGTTGTATGGATCCTTGCCCATGTTCTCCGATGATGAGTCCGCTGATGACTTGGATGCTTACATACCCCCTGATGTTTTCGGCTCCCTTGGTCCTTCCAATTCTTCAACAGGTACTGATACTTCTTCCACTTCGGCCAATTCTAGTGGTGCCCATTCTAGTGGTGCCAACTCTACACCCTCTACTGTTGCTGGCCCAAGCTCACCCATTCAGTCCCCTCCTCTTCGCCGCTCCCTTCGTGCGAACAAGGGGGTTCCACCAGCACACTTTGACAATTTTGTTGCACATGGAGTGCATGGATTTATAGTCCCTACTCGTTATCGTGATGCCCAAGGCGATCCAGTATGGGAGGCAGCCATGGGAAATGAATTTGATGCTCTCCATGCGAATGACACTTGGGATGTGGTTGATCGTCCAGCTCCTGATACCCAACTATAGGCCCACTACACTACACGTTACTGCATATACACAGGTTGCGGATTACATATATTCAACAAAAAGCATAACAAATGTTAAACCAGTTTTGTGGATATTAGAGTTAAAACGTGACATACATGTTCTAATGGAATTGGAAAAAAAAATCAATGAATACAAAGTTATGTTCTTTTGAAAATTTTGGTCAGAGAAGCGAGAGAGAATGAATAATATAATACGCAAATTGAATTTATGCATCATATGAATCGAATTCGGAACGGTAAAAAAAACGAGGATAAGACTGGAGAACTAAAATCATTCCCTCCAATTTTTTCAGCAGGGGTTACCCGTATCCGGCCAATGCAGTAATCCCAACTTAGACATCTTTTCTTAAATGAAATATAAAAAAAACTCCACAAATCAACCATATTTGGGATCCAACTTATCCAGAAATCTGAACTTGAATAGTCCAACCCCCCAAAATTTACGAATCCTCCAGTTCATCACGGTACCAATATCGACAAAGGGAATGGGGTTAGATGAGCGGGATTCTAGAGACCGTGAGGAAATCAGATTTGGCCTGCCAAAAATGATTGTTGTCGGTGTTGAATTCTGACTACCAGCTGCGACAGATGGAGCCAAGTCGTCGTCCTGTGATCATAAAAATACAATTGATCGCTTCAACTACCAAAGCTAGCGGTGGTTCAAAGTCAACTCTTTTGTCTACTACTCTAAATACTTGGTCCTTTTCCTAGAACTAGTCTGCCACGTCACTGCCACGAATTAGGTTAATGCTGATAGATAATCCAAACTCCTGGAACACTACTCAAAATGGTACTCTTCCCAACTGTTAACCGCTACCCACCAATTACTTCCTCCTTCACACATTCGACAAATTACCTTCTTTCCTCCTCATTCGTCAAAGATAGATAGATAGATATATACGTACATTCTACAAATTAAACATACGGCGATACAATCACATTTATCTGTAGTTGTAAGAGGGATTCGTATCGTCTTCGTGTGTGTTTCACAGAGACAAATTTTGTAGCGTTTTGTCGCGACTCTACTAGCACATACGGGTATTGTATGAGCTCGATAGTTTCGGTTACCATGCAGGATTTCACGCAAGGAGGATCCGACTTTATGGGCGGGAGAGAAATTAAAACGATCTCATGTTCTGTATATCACACGCGCAAATTATACGGCCGTAGTTCCTCTTTGGCTCCTTGGAGCCAAAAACAAGGAAGCAAAGCTTTCCCCAAAAAAACGCAAAACCGAACCTACTAATACTTTAAAGTTAGTAACTAACGGCGTCGTAGTATACTACCGCGGGCCTACCGGGGATACCACGTCAGCAGATACACCGCAATGCACGGCGAGTTGTTCCAAAACGCCGAGTGCTCCCTCAGTATCCCACGCGCCTTCTCCTTCAAATACGCCGCGCAATCCGCCTGCATCACCATGCACAGCTTCGTCACCGCCCCGACCCTCAGCATCTCCGTCAGCACCTCCTCCTTCCCCGCCGCGTACCTCGCCACCATCCCCAGCACCTGCACCGCCCGGTCGTCCGTCGCCGCCGACACCCTCAGCGTCCTCTTCGCCACCACCGCCAGCCCCGCCGCGTGCCCCACCAGCCTCTCCCTCCCATCCGCGCTCGTGCACAGCCTCGCCAGCAGATCGAACGCCAGCTCCGTCGCGTGCTTCTCCCCCGCCCCCTTGCTCCCCGCGGACGACATCTGATCGAGCTGCAGCTCGATCAGCGCGTGGATCGCGTCGGCCTCCACGATCTTGGCCCTGTTCGCGCCCCACGGGCACGCCTCCACCAGCGCCTGGAGCGCGTACCGCCTCGCTTGTTTCGAGGCGGTCCGGCTCTCCAGGATTCGGACCACGATGGTCCGGAAGAATTCCGGCTCGAGTCTTTCCAGGAGACTTGCGCCGGCGTAAGCGATCACGCGGTTGGCGAGGCACATTGCCTGCGTCAGCGTGGTCTGATTCTGTTGGGAATTTGAATTTGAATCGTTCAAAATCCACGTCAGCGAGTGGAGGAGTGGGCCCTCGTTCTGCCTCACGAGAAGCTTCGTGGTGGTTTCCGGGGTGTGGTTCCACACGAGATTCAGCACTCTAAGCGCGTGCTCCACACCTCCGGTGGTACGGAATTCGGGGTTGAGGACGAGGGAGACCATGGCCTTGGCGGCGCCGGCGTCGGCGATGGTGGCGCGGTTGCGGTCGCTTTCCGACGCAAGGCTGTCGAGCTTGTGGAGCGCGTGGAGGGATCCGGGAGACGGCGCGTGGTGGAGGATTTCGCGGAGGAGCTTGGTGACGTGGGGTTTGGCGAGTGGGGATTTCGGGGTTGGGATCCGGTTGACGGAGTTGAGGGTGCACCAGGCTTGGATGAGGCGGCGGAGGGTGTGGTTGGGAGTGAGGTCGGCGGTTCTCGGGAGCGGCTGTTTGGAGACTGGGCAGACGGCGGCGGTGGCGGTGGAGGAGTTCTGGAGCCATTGTTCGATGCTGTCGCGATCGTAGGTGATGCCGGTGATGGCGGTGACTGGATCTTTCATGATTTGGAGGGAGATCGGGCAGAGGAAATAGTGCGGGATTTCAATTTCTAGATCCTCCATTTTTTTTTTTTCAAATTGGAAAAGAGTTGTTGGAGAGAGCTCTAGAAAGGATATGCTGAAGTATGCAGTATATATATCATTTGCATGTGAATGTATAATGTAAACCACTTGAGTTTGGTGTATATTTTATTGGGTGGAGGGGTCACTTCTTTTTGTCTCTTTTTCTTTTTTTTCTTTTAGGGTTAATACCCTAGTTTGGCCCGAAGTTTGGGGTAAGTGACAGTTCTGGCCCCATTTTTCAAATAAGACATTCATGGCCTAATTTTGAAACTATTGGATGAATTTGGCCCAAAATTTTTTTTGACTGTTAATATTAACGATTAAACACTATTCCGTTAGTGACTCAGCAAAAAATCGCTGATGTGGCATGCCACATCATTAAATAATATTATTTTAATTTAAAATAAAAAATAAGAAATTCCAATTCCCCTGTTATTATCCCAAAATCCCTTGGCCCCAAATCCAAACCCTAAACTGAATCAAACATCATCGTCAACAGGAGGCGCCTCCCTCCTGCTACTTCGGTCCGGCGAGCTGGCTCTTGACGCAGATGGAGGAGGAAGAGAGAGCGCGAGCTTAGAATCTTCTGCGGAGAGAGCTGCAGTGGCGTGGCGAACTTGGAGCTTCGAAGCGGCGGATTCGGCCGCCGTGTTTCCCTCGCACAAAGTGAGCAATCGCTTGGATTCCGAGTCCGATAGGTAGAACTCGAATTCCTTCACTGTGCAGGCGGCGTTGAGCGGCGCCGCTGTTGCTCTGACTCAAATCACGGTGTTGGGGAAAGTGAGCGCGACCACGATGCCGACCGCGGCTAGGCGAGAGGTGGGTGAGATCGAGTTTGCCGGAAACAAATGGGATGGGGCGTGGCGGTCGGGGAACTCATGGGCGACGCGCTTAGCAGTTCGGTGAGCGTTTGAGTCGTCATTTTTGAAAATGGGCTTCCACGAGGATGTTTGATTCCGATGTGAAGGTGAACGAGACAAATTCTTATTATAGTTCGGAAGAAAATGGGTTTCCGATCTGAAGGTGAAGGAGACAAATTTAAAATGGGCTTCCATGAGGATGTTTAATTCAGTTTAGGGTTTGGAGGTTTGGAACTGGAATTTCTTAATTTTTATTTTAATTGAATTATAAAAGTAGGCCATAAATGTCTTATTTTAAATGAATTATAAAAGAAAATTTTGGGCCAAATTAGTCCAATAGTTTCAAAAGTAGGCCATAAATGTCTTATTTGAAAAATAAGGCCAGAACTGTCACGAAAGCCAAACTTCGGGCCAAACTAGGGTATTAACCCTTTCTTTTATAGGTTTAACCTATGTTTTCATAACTCGTTCCGTCATTTCGGATGTTGAATTTGAAAAATTTATGATTTACGTTGCAGAGGTAAATCGTTATAGAATTGTTAGGTAATTGTTAATGAAAAATTGAACGTGCTTAATAGTATAAAAAAGTTAGTCTTAACCAGAAATAATTTTAAATCCGTATCATCCATTACCAAAACTTCCAACAAATCATTAAAACTATATCACAATTTTTTTTATTACTAAACTCAAATTAGTAATTAGGGCGACAATTCACAGTGGAACGATAAGGAGGCAGAAAAATGAAGAAAACGAAGTTTTGTGTTAAAGTTTTGTTTTCTTAAATTTTGTGTGGTTAAAATTACAGAACAATGGATCAGTTAAACCAGCCCAGTTCATATGGTTTCATATCAAACCGTTTAAAACCGTTCGATCCATCCCCAATTGTCCAAAAAAATGCACCGAACCGCCTTAATAACTCATTAATGGTTCTACTGGTCCAACCCCTAATGTGGTTTGGTTCACATGACAATGGGTTTTACTATGGAACTTATGATGCTTAATTGCTTACGCCATGCTTAACATTTGCGTTCTTTAACTTATCTAGTAGGTCTATTTAGTAATAACGACCCGTTTCACATATATTTATTAGTGATTCGTGAAAATATTTTAGTTGCGGACCAAATATTTTATCTTTCATATGTTCGTTGCGAAAAGCAGCCACACCATAGATCATCGACCTCGTCGGGAATACGATATGGCAATAGGATACCATACACATTTTCCTCCGACATATCCCTTCCCACCATCGAAACTTTCAAACCAATATTGATCAACATGCATTGCAAACTGTCGTTTTGCTTTTCATCTTCACTCCATCAGAAAATACGAATCACCGTATACCGAGATAACTAAATCGCGTCATTTTGTCGATCTCAATAGTCAATAGTTGTACGCTGGACAATGCTAGAAGGCATAAATTCAACTATGCACCGGACAGCACGCAACCACACAAAATGTTGCAAAAGGAAAAAAAAAAAAGGATGAATGGTAAGAGATAACGGCTGAAAGGGAGATGTTGAATAGATACCATATATTATTGTGGGTGGAAATTGAAGGTCTTTCAGGTTTCAGCCATTGAAGTAAGCCGAAGCCGGTTCAAAAGAAAACCCAATTTTTAATTTTGGTTCTTGTGGGGTGGGTGGTGGGTTTACCGGTCAAACTAATTACCCTGCTGGTTTGGCACTTAGTTTTTGGCGGTCAACTTTCGTTCGGGGAAGGAAGGAAGGAAAGGAAGTTTCTTGCGGCTGCCAAACTCCCACCACTACTTAGCTCGTTGTACGTACTTGGCGTGGAAAGGATGCTGATTTGAACTCTTCTCTTGGTTTGATTAATATACCAATAAACATTCTAGATACGTGATTAGATCATGGCCCAATTGATTTCGATCCCCTCCTGATATCGTGGAGATAATGACAAAGTGCTTAAGACGTACTTAGTAGTCCCTTGATCCAAGGCAAGTCATATATATATATATATATATATATATATATGCCTCCTCTCGTTTAGGGCTGTCAATTTGGTTTTGGTTTTTCGGTTTTAACCGAAACCAAAATATTAAAAAGTTAACGGTTATGGTTTTTCGGTTTTAAACCATTTAAAATGTTAATGGTTTTCGTTTCGGTTAAAACCAATAAACCGATAAGGACCCCTGTTTTCTTGAAGGACCCTAATTTCTTTGAAGTCAACCATGTTTTTGGTTTTTGGTTTATCGAAACCATTAAGGAGCTTATCGGTTTATGGTTATCCAAAAACCGATAATAAGCCTCTTAATGGTTTTGGTTTTGTTTTTTTTTTTTGTGAATATGCCTAATTTGGTTTTTGGTTTTCATGCTAATGGTTTGGTTTTGGTTTTGGTTATCCAAATTGACAGCCCTACGTCTCGTTCCAAAACTTAACCAAACCCATTAATCGTGTGGCAAATGGATTGGGTTTATGAACTAGTGAATTAATGAATTAGATCAAATAGATTGGTGGATTAAAAATTTAGATACTAAAATGTAGTTATGAGAAAATTTAGGTAGAAAATTTATAATTTTCAATGCTATTTTCCATTAAAAAACATACAGTTTAGTTATCAAAATGTGAAATATAAAAATATATGGGTACTGAACTGTAGTTTTCAAAATACCCATTGAATCCGTCAATTCAATTGGTTTCGATTTAAATAGACCGGATTAGTTGAAAATTTTGGATGAATTTGATTGGCAAATTGGATTTAAATTGACACATCTGATTGTGATTCTAGGTATATTGTTAACTAGCTCCCTTTATTATATTCTCTATTCTGTATGTATATCTTATATTGATTGAAGTATCAAAGAGTATACTTCAGGTCGTTCAAACATCTCATTTATCTTGTAAACTTTGTTCATTTCAAGAGAGATCTCTTGGTAATCTCAATTTTTTAAAAAAATAGGTAGAATAAAAAATTATTTCCATCTATTCAATCCCAAGAGCAACTTAATAGGAATTATAAAGACTCCTTTTTCGTTAATGTAGTGTTTTTATAGGTAAATACAATGTATTAGTCAAAATTTTCAAACTTCATAAATTATTAGTTAAATATATCGAAATACAAAATATTAGTAAGAGTTTTTATAAAACATCAAAATATTAGTCATTTATTTATTATCATTGGCAATTTTATAACTCTTTTTTTAGTTAAAATACAAAATTTTGAAATGTTGATAGTCACTTGTCTCTTTCAATTCAGTATCATGTTACCAAGTCAATATTACTCACAAAACTAATAACGAGAAGTTAACATTTGCGCCTGCCTTCTCACTCCATCTTTGTGGGCTTGGGCCTACTTACACTTCCCCAACAGCTAATATTTTGTATTGGGTAAATACATTTTAATATCCAAACCTTTTATTTTAAACAATATAATAGCCAAACCTTTTCGAAAACAATCTAATATCCAAATCGTCAACTTTCTGTCTGTTTGACCGTTAGTTGACACTTCAAAAAAGTTCGAAGTACGACATTTCATCAATATCCATCGATATCTTCTCTGAAAAACCACCAACATATCGTAGTTCCAAACCCGAGAAGTCCATGACTCCACCATGATGGTATAGAATATCTAAATATTCAGTCATCTGCAATGCCACAACAAGAAACAAAGTTGTATTGTGACAATTTCACCTAAACAAAGCTTTTTTGAAGTGTCAACTAACGATCAAACGAACGGAAGGTTGACGATTTGGATATTAGATTGTTTTCAAAAAGATTTGGCTATTATATTGTTTAAAATGAAATGTTTGGATATTAAATTGTATTTACTCTTTTGTATTTGAAAAGTTTGTTAAGTTTGGCTAATAAATTGTATTTACAGAATGCTAATTAGAAGTTTATCAAGAGTAGTTCTAATGGTTTTACAATTTACAACCTTCTTCCATAAATGCATGAAATATGATCACTAATTATTGATTCGATCTCAAACATTGCAATGGATGTGTACCTCATAGCTTGGAAAGACCGTCTGTCGGAAACTTGTAATTTTGCATCATATACTTGCAAGTTGCAACATTTATATGTTTATATATACTGGCAATTGGTAGGCTAGTCTTCCACTCTCATTCTAAACACATAACGACTTGATCTGGTTCTCAGTAACCCTCCATAAATGGCTACAAGCTCAACATACTATGTTTACAGTACTTTTAAACCACGACCTCTCATCTCATATCATGTTGAGCCTCGCCGCTGCGAGGCTATTGAAACAGATGAATGATTGAAACCACCATAGGCTGACTGAACAGCATGCAGCAAGTTCCTGATTGTGTACCACGCTACTTCTAACAAGAGAGTATAGATTCATTTCTCCCTTCCTACTTATCATCCTGCACCAAAATCCCACATACGTTAAAGAAGGCCGGAAGCTTTGTTAGAAGTTTAGAAGCATGTCGCTATAAACTGCGATTGATTTCCAGCCAAACAAGCAAAGATATGCAGCATCACGCATCTGATAATGATTTCAATCAGAAGGAACATTTCAATCATGTATAGAGCAGCTCGACCAACAAACTTCCTATTAAATCGTCTTCATTACTGGTGTGACATGCATAATTAGAAAGATATCGGCTGTAAAAAAAGGAAAAAGCTACCTGATAATTTCTCAGTGCAACTGAGAACCATTCTCTATGCTGGCTTCCAAGTTCCATCCTCTGAATCCAATGAGAAAAATAATTAGCTTGTGATCTAGTACGTATTGAGTTGCTCCACAGAGAATAAATTATCGATATTGGTATTACCTCTCGGAGGCTTCTCCCTTCAGCTCATCTATCTGTCTCTGAACATTGGCACATGCTGCTTGAATTTCGATATTTTTCAAGGTAAGCTCTTTCCACTGTGTTGACAGGGCATTCAGCTCGTATGCAGTTGTTTGCTGTCATTCAATTGAAAAGGTTCATCTTGTCTGTTAAAAAGTTCAAGAACTCCACCGAGTTAAATACAGGAGGTTGTAATGAAGTCTTGGTAAATTACCTGATGGTACTTCCTCGCACGGTTTACTGCTTCAATCTTTTCATTGTGTTCCTGAGCCAGTTTCTGCATCCTGAAACCAATGACACAGTATTGACAGTAAGAACATGAGATATTGATTTTGAAAAGGTTAAGTTACAGTTGAGCAATACTTTGATTTCCAATTATATGCAATGCTATAAGGAGGCCTGAATGCAATGAGGTGAAATTCAACTTTAAGCAAGAAAAGGGATAAACTTCACATCAGCGGATACGTAACCACATATAAATAAAAAGAGACACAGACAGAAGAGGGTGAAGAGAAAAGGAACAAAAAGAACATAAGTGTTGAACAATATCAATGCATACCTGGATAACATTCCTTCTAGTTGCTGGTTGTTCTGTACCCATATATCAGGACCATATTTTGACATCAAGTCCAAGTTCTCCACCCTGAAAACCATCTCAATAGTACGTACAAAGAATCAATTGCTCGATTTCACAAAGTGAATCACTTCCTACTCAGACCAGGAAGATATAATCAAATTAAATTAATAAGAGACAGAAAGAAAAAAAACATGAGCCTATGAAGACAGTTAGGACACTTTTAGTTAAACAACTTTACCCTATATATCTATAATCTATCATCTGACATTCCAAAGGACTCCAAAGCAATTTATGAAAATAAGTACACACCTAAGGACTTGATGCTGAAGCAAGCGTTGTGCTCTCTGAAGTGACTGCTTCCAGGCGGTTTCATCATTCACCTTATTTGCAGAAGGCTGATCCAAATGTGCATATCGCGAAAAATCAATAGCAACTGGAGGCTTCCCTGCTCTCACGCGTTCATATTCTTTGGCAAGCATTGGATAGCTCTGTATGCAAATTTCAATAAGAGAGACATGTTAATACTCATTCTTCAGATAAGTCTAGTTTAGCTCACCAATGAACAAAGTTGTGTCGATCCGGTTGAACATGGAAACATTTTTAAAAGCTAAAGGACGCCTTCTCGCTCTAACAAGATCCTAAATCACACATGACTACTTTTTACCAGGCAACTTCTCATACACATTGAACTTGAAAAACAATCTTCAAGGAGGCCAAACCTTCACGAATAAGACACAACGATAGCAAAAAGTGGGTTTTAGCCTAGCTAAAGAACTTCAACATCCCTTACAGCACATGAAAATCCCAATCCAAATCCAGTGGGAGCATTTTCAACACACCATTTTACAGTTTATACTCTTCCTTCCGTCAATCAATGACAATGCCTGATACTTCGCGGCGCAAAGCAACGTTACATCAGAACCACGAGGGATGAATTTAAAAGCATTCCCCCCTTTTCACTGGTAATTCCTAGTTCAAACAAAGAACAAAAGGAAACTTCTTTCTTTCATGGAGGCTAACCTCGAAACTGAAGCGAGGTAAGGGAGGCAAGTCCTTCAGGAAGTCGGTGGGTTTCTTGGAACTCCTTCGCATTTCTTCCTCCACCAGGCGGTCTACTTCTGCCTTGATGGAAGGATTTCCATAGTCTTCGTCAATGTAGGGCAACGCGTCTATAATTTCGGCATTGGAAGCGCTTGACCAGGGACGAGAGGCATCTTGAGCGGCCTCCAGCATCAAGATATCCCCATTGTTCTGGCTGCCCTGAGCAGTCGCCATTGTAGTAATTCTCCGGCGGGGGGGGGGGGGGGGGGGGGGGGGGGAACAGCACTGATAACTTCGCTGTTTAGACTCACTCCAGCTCGCAAGTCCTGGGATGAAAGACGGCCAGGCTTGAATGCTTGATGTCTGTCGAGCCTGTAACGGGAGCTTTGGCGCGGCAGACTGTAAATCTAGGGTTACGGATTTCACTGCTAATTTTGGTACTTGGGGGCTAGGAATGGGGACGCTGTGGCCAAACTCCGGGGTAAATATACATATTGGAGCCCAAATTTCAATACCATTATCAAAACCAACACTTAATTAAAAAGAGATAATCCCACTAATCCATGATCCCTGTACACCAAGACACAATAGCCTGTTCACCTAGACGACCCGAAAGCACTATTCATTATGCTCCCATTGGTCGATGGCCTGGGCTGGGCCTGCGTTCTCTTTCTTTGGCATTTTCTGGGGATAGTTGCCACCCTGCCGCTGTTGCGTGGTCGTTGGCCCACTTGATGCTCTCCCTCTTGCTGCCTGCCTTTGTATCGGGACTCGCGTCGGCCTCAGGTTGTGGCCCATATCCACGACTGACTCCCCCGTCGTCATTCCTCACTGTTTCCCACTCCTTCCCTTTGGTTTGGTGAGCGACTGATTTGATTGCTCTCTCTCTCTCACTCACTCTCTTTCTTATGCTCTGGACTCTGCATCGTCGGCGCATGATTTGATGTTTGCTCTTTTGCCTGCCCTCTATTGCTGCGAGATGCTTCGGGAGGACCGCCGCTGGCTGCGGGTTCCCTGCCATTTGACGCGACGCACCGCTTCGACTCCACCACTACATCAAAGGTCAGCCTTTTTCTTTTGCAGCTCTCGCTTGCAAAAAACTCTCTTTCTTTCAACCGCAACCCGCTTTTTTGTCGTCCCTGTTGCTCTTCTTCTGTTGATTTCACCTGAATCGCGATGGAACATACTCTGCTTTGCAATCTCAGCGGCCCGCGGAAGGCAACTTCTGTCCTCCGGCTTCGGCTGCTTCATGTGTGGCCTGCGAAAGCGTCGGGGGATGTCAGGGTATACAACTGCTATACTCTGTGGGCAGATGAAACTGTACGAAACTAACTCGATGCGCTCTCTGGTTTCCTATTCGTTTACTGCGTCGGTCGATTGTTGCATGGCTTGACTTCTGTTTTTTTAATCCTTTACAGGGTATGTTGATTCACGGCCTTTCCCCGCCTTCGATGACCTCTGCGATCAAGCAATCTTAACGCGTTGGGAGATATACATTATCAAGTCTTTTGGTCTCACCAATCCGCCCAATCTGTATCGTGCGTGTTCTTTTGATCTGGCCCTGGGTGTTACTCTGGCGACTTCATTCCAGGAGTGCGTTCTTCCGCACGAGAGCTACCCCATTGATGCTTATGAATTCCTCCCCTTTTCTCAGCTGTTTTCGCGTGATGGCTAGCACTGCTTTCTACAAGTGTTGGTCGTTTTTGTTGTCGTGTTTTGCGATGCTAACTTTCGTTGGGGTTTTCCTTTTTGAACGTACTCTTGTCGGGTCTTTGTTTGTGCTTTTTAGATGTGGTTGGTCGCCTCCATTCCATAAGCGGGATATCACACAAAGTTACAAACTATGGTCCCACGGTTAAACAGACTGTTGTGCTGGAGGATGAAAGGTGCCTTGCCTTCTTCTTTTTTACTTTGGTTGGTCGTTCTGCCTCTAATTTGTTGTGGTTGTTACGCGCAGTGGCGAGACGGCTATAATAACTCTGTGGGATGAGTTCTCGGGAATTCTCGATCATGTTGCTTTGACTCATGCAGATGCAATAGTATTGGTTGTTTTGGCATTTGGAGGTCTGCTGGTGAATCGATTGGGTGGTAAGAGTGCTTTCCTTTCCTGTTCTCATCCAATTTTGTTTAGACTTTGGGGGTTTATTAGTTCATGTTTGTGTGCAGAATCTTATGTGTTGTCAAGTTTGGCAGCTACCCGGGTGGCTGTCAACCCTCCTGTGCCAATGGCCTACCATCTTGCATCCAGGTTGTGAGTTTGTGCATGCGGTAGCTTCTCAATGTGTATTCTGTTACATCTGCATGATTTACCCTTTTCTAGTGTTCAGGTTTGCAGACATTCGGAAAGTCGTTGCCTCTCTGCCTGTTGAGTTTGCGACGGCTGGTGATGCTGCAACAGATAGAGATCAACGCAAGAAGACCCTCCATCAGCTTATCGAACTTTCCCACACGAATGCTTCTGTGGTATTGCTCAATTTTTCCACTTGAGCCTTCTGGGTTGCTTTCATTTCTACATTGTTTATCGTTTCTTATATATTCTTATTGTTTTCCTCAAAACAGGAAGAGAAACACCGCTGTGGTGGAGTTGTGGTGGACATTGAATCACACGTCCCTTGGTACTATAATTCGTGTAGGCTTTGCTCAAGGGCTGCTTCAAGGCGTCGCGACAACACATTCTGGTGTTCCAAGGATTGGCAGCTTCAGGAGGATCAAACACGTGTTTGGTACAGATCCGACCTCCATTTTTTGATGTATTTTCCGGTGTGCTTGGTTTGCCACCCCTGTTCAGCCGCCTTTGTGTTTTTGTTTTTTGCTCATGCAGTTTTAAGATCCAGCTAACCCTCAGGGATGCAACTTCAGATGCCCGTTTCATTCTCATGGGTGGGTGTGGCCATGCATTGGTCAACGTTTCGGCAGGGTACTTGGCCCAAAGATTCCCCTATCGACTAGGCCAGCTTCCACCTCAGCTTAACCAACTGCGTGGCCAGTATGTTAAGTTCGATTGCAATTGAGCACCGTGCTGACTATTGTTTCTCAATGTTGTAGGTTAACTGCTGCTGCGAAAGGTAAGGCGAAGGTTGGGGAGCCTCTTCTTTATGAGACCACAAGGAGAGAGTTTCGCATTGGGACCATCATGAAACCCCTGACAGGTTTCTTTAGTCTACTGTTGCGAGAACCTTTTTTTCCCTGCCATCCTTTGTTTGCCATACACTGATTCAGCTCTAATAATTTCTGCAGTTTGTTGCCAGCTGGTGTACATAATAATCCTCACTTGATTACTAGGACTCATGTTTTGCCTTTTGTGCTTCGTGCTGATTTGGTTGCGGGATCACAGCAGGGTGAATTGGTTGTTCCTTTGGGGAGTGAATCTGCTACTAATGTGTCGAACCTTGCTCTGCCCAAGTTCGAAACCTCGGTCACTCCAAAAAAATCAACAGTCATTGATGAGGCTCTAGCTCCAAAGGATGTCCAGCCTGATTCTCATGTTGGTGGTGTGAAGATCATGAAAACGAGTTCGGATTCCTCTCATGGGAAGCTTCTTGCTTCTGCCTCTCCTACACCATCACTTTAAGTCACATCCATGCGCGTGTTGCTCTTCTCAGTTTGTCCATTTACTGAGTTTTGCTTTCTCTGTGAACTTCAACAGGTTGTTGTCCCCATTGGCAAAGATAAAAGTTGAAAAGTTGAATGCATCTGACTTTACATCCCCAAAGAGTGTTGGATCAGCAGCCTCTTTTCACATTGGGAGTGAATCGAGTTCGCCTGGTGATAAGAAGGAACCATCTGCCAAGCGCAGCTTATTCCAGGGATGAATGCCATGGTGGAGGCCATTTAGGATTTTGGTGCTTTCTGGGTAATGCCTAACATGATTGCTGCATGGTTTGTTGTTGTTCTTTGATAGAATCCTCCATTTTTAAGTGCCATGTCCGTGTTTTCATTGAGTTTTAACTGTGTAAGTTTTCTTATGTTCCTCTGCGTTGTAGGGGTACATCACATTGCTTTGCTCACAGGAAGGTTGATTTTGTTAGGGACGTTTGTGTTTGTTTTAATGGTGTTCTGGATGTTGACTGGGAGTGGTTTTGCTTGGCCTGCTGATTGTTCACAAGGTGTTGCACGTTGCTATCCAATTGTGCAGTGGTCTCACTGGTTGTTTGGGAGGTCCCTCTTTTGAATTTGTCAATGTTTGTTGCCCCATGAATTTGTCTAATGTCTTCCTGTGAGATTTAAACAATGCAACTTCGGTTTCTTTTAAGTAGGTGGTGCTTATGTGCATGCCTTTTGTTGTGGATGGGTTGTATGCGAACGATCTGGCTTTATGTAAATTATGTCAGTTGGGTCCATGTTCGCATGTAATTTTCAAGTCTAATATAAGAAATTACTTTCGTTATAGACTTATAGCATTTCCATAAACTATTATTTGTTGATCGATCAAGCGAGTGTGTGCTTGGTTTTAGTGTGTGAGTTTCTCTAAGTTCGTTGGATTGTATTAGTACCATTGAACACAGTTACTCTTATCGTTGTGCCTTCCTTGCTGTATTTTAGTTCTTAATGTTACAAATACAAATGCTTGATGGTCGTCTTATGATCCGTGAAATATACAGTTTTTTCTTACGAAAAGGCAGCTTATAATGCAAATCAAATGTGCCGGTTACAATGAACGTAGAATACAGGAGGGATAGAAGGCCCAAGAACCCAAACAACTAGATCTCGTGCCTTGCAGGAAAAGTCAAAATATTAAAATAGCGTGCAAGTTGTGCCACAAACACGTCCTAGGTGAGTGCCATTGTCAAGAACACACCAATGAAACGGTTGCACTGATGTTTTGCTGGGAACGATGGAAATTAACCAGCCTCACCAAAATATGCGTTGGATTGTGGTTTGCTGCTGAATGGGGTGGTTAGATTGGAACCAACATGTTGAGTGAGCCATGTGTTGCATACTGTTGCCATTAAATTCATGGTAATGATTACGAATTATTGTTCTTTTTATGCTCCATATAACACCCAATTTTGCGTCAGTGTTTTGCACCCATGTGTTTTGAGGCAATGCTTAATTAATGCGATTTGGCTTCTCTGTGGTTTGTCAGTAGATTTGTTTTTGTATTTCTCTGAGACAAATCTGCCCAAGTTGCAGTTTAGTTCAAAATAATAGTTTAAAAAATTTGCCACGCCATCACTGGCGCCCTTCCTCTTTTCCACAACACCTCAGTATATTGCATCTTCTCCTTCTCAAGCAATTGATCGGCCAGGTCTATGAAAAAGATCAGTTTCTTATTCCCAACTGTTTTGTCATTTCCAGCAAGGGTGGATTTGCTCATGCATTCTCAGCTTCTCTGATATATCGAGCTGAGCCCTACTACTATATTAAATCAACAACTCTATTGGTCCAGGCAGCTTGACCATTGATTACCTCCCTCCAATGAATGCACTGAGCATTTAAGTTCTACATCTGCAATAATTCTTGGTGTTGTCTATTGCAGGCTTTGCTATTTCATTTGCTTCAATTTGTTTCCACCAAGGAAACATCCTACCAATAAATGCTCATGTAGTTGCTTTTACCCTTTATGTTTTTCACAGCAATGCCTCCACGCAAGAGGAAACAGCAGAGTAAACCGTTGATATCAAACAGGCTAAGAAGTTCAGTTCCAGAGCAGATTTTCCCACAACAATCGCCCCCTGCCTCACTCTATGAGTATGATCAACCAAGTGCTTCTAATTGCCTGACACGCACGCCACCAAGGAAATTCCCTGTCCCGAGTTCAAAGAGTGTACCTGCCTTTATGAACCTTGATCAACCACCCCGAGATCCATATATAGATCCTTCCATTGAACAAGTTGGGGTTGCTGGCGCATCAAATGGTCGTCGACAAATTCCAACAGCAAGAATGCCCTTGCATGATGATATTCTTAATATAGGCAAACCAGAATGTGTATGTGCATTCTGTGGTGCCATGTTTTGGCCTTTGGAACGCCTTGATCGACGGAGACCTACGAATAATCCAGTCTATACTTTGTGTTGTCAGAAAGGTCGTGTTTCGCTCCCACTACTACAACAACCACCTCCATTGTTGGCTGATTTGCTACGACTAGGTGGTAGCCCTATGTCAAAGCATTTCAAAGACAATATTCGTCCTTATAACGGTGCTCTTTGCTTCACGTCTTTTGGTGCTTCAATTGACCCCAGATCGTTGTTGAGTGGAGGACCTTGTTCGATGGTCATATGTGGAGAAAATGACCACCGAATAGGATCATTGCTGCCACCTGATGGAGAAAAGCCTAAGTTTGATCAACTCTATGTCTTTGAGCCAGAGAATGAGATTGATCATCGCCTTTCCAACCTTGCCTCGCGGGACTCGCAACTACTTCCAGAGTTTCTCACTGCCTTGCTGCAGATGTTGGACCAGCACAACGTGTTAGTGAAAACATTCAGGCGTGTTCGTCAACATCTCCAAGATTCTAATGCACCACATATGAAACTGCGCATCTTCAGGGCCAAGAGCATAAATAGGCAATACGATTTGCCAACAAGCGCTGATGTTGCTATGCTTAATCCTGGGGATTTCATACCTGATAGGGATGATAGGGACATCATTGTCGACCACATTTATGAAGGTTTGAAGCGCATCACAAGTTTGAACCCAAAATTTGATGCTCTTCATTTCCCGTTGTTGTTCCCGTACGGCGAAGATGGTTATCATCCACTCATTAAATATAACCAGTCTCGCGGCCCGCATTCTATGCGAAGGCAATGTGTCACACAGCGTGAGTACTACGCATTTAGGCTCCAATATCGTCAGCATGAGGGCCGTACATTGGTCCAAGCAGGTAAGGCGCTTCAACACTATTGTATATATGCTTTCTCTTCTGTGGAACTCAATCGGCTGGAGTTTTTGAGGTGCCACCAACCCGAGCTGCGAGCAGAAGTCTATCAAGGTTTGCAAGATGCTATGGCACGTGGAGATCTTGATGGTGATAAGGTCAGACATGTTGTCTTGCCAGGGACTTACATTGGTAATCCCCGTAACATGCAACAGTTGTACCATGATGCGATGGCAGTGGTTGAGTTCTATGGAAACCCTGATTTATTCATAACATTCATGTGTAATTCGTTATGGGAGGAAATGTCACAGGCTTTTGATGCAATGGTTGGCACGAATAGTGCTGACAAGCCAATGGTTGTGGCTAGGATATTTCATATAAAGCTCTACATACTGATCGATGATATTAAGAGAGAAAACTACTATGGAAAAACAATTGCAAGTGAGTTATCCATTGTGTTATTTTGGGTATGTTAATGTGCATTCTGTGAGTTTTGTTTAGTTCCTTTCTACTGTTACTTTTATATTCTCCCCAGTTTATTCCCAAACTTGCTTTTAAAATTTTATTTCCCTTCTTTCAGTCATGTACACAGTGGAGTATGAGAAGCGTGGCTTGCCAAACATACATTTGTTGGTTTGGCTCGAAGAGCCTGATAAGTTAAGGACAACAGCTGATGTGGATGCAATTATATCAGCAGAAATCCCAGATCCTGAACTTGACCCAGTGGGATATGAAGCTGTGGTTAAATACATGCTGCATGGGCCATGTGGTGATTCCAATAAAAATGCACCATGTATGAGGGACAAAAAATGCTCAAAAGTGGGTAAGTGTTCTAAACATATCCCCAAAGAGTTCAATTCAGCAACCACGTTTGACAAGTCTAGTTGTGTTGCTTACAAAAGATCGGATTCTGGAATCCAAGTTCAAAAGGGAAGCGCATTTTTGGATAATCGTCATGTAGTGCCATACAACAGGAATCTTTTGGTGCGGATGCAAGCCTACATCAATGTTGAGGTGTGTCACAAAGGGAAACTCATCAAATACCTTTTTAAATACGTGACAAAGGGACCCGACATATCATTGGTGATTGCTGAAGATTCTGTTGCACCACACAACAATCCACTAACTCAAACTGCAAGGCGCAGGGATGAAATCCAACAATTCATTGACTGCAGGTCATTGTCATCTTATGAAGCTATATGGAGACTCAATGAGTATCCAATTCAAGTTAGAAAACCATCAGTGGTGCGGCTGGGAGTGCATCTTGATGGCCAGCAGAAGGTGTCATACAAAAAACAGTCAAACGTTCGGAATGTGTTGGGGAATCCTAATGCAGGGAAGACACATCTTACAGAATGGTTTGCCCTTAATAGGAGAGATCCTGAAGCAAGGAAGTTGACATACTCACAGATACCTAATAAGTATACATGGCTTGCAGATTGTAAAGAATGGGATACGTGCAAGCGCGGTTTTGCAATCGGCAGGGTTGCATATGTGTCGCCAAGCAGTGGTGATGTTTTCTTTTTGCGGATTATGTTGTCCAAGGTTCGTGGAGCTCTTAGCTACACTCTCCTGAGAACTGTTGCTGGTGAGGTATGCCCTGATTTTGAAAAGGCTTGCGATCGGTTAGGCCTTCCGTCGGATTCATCGGAGTGGATCAGAGTTTTTAATGAAATAGCAAGCTCCAGCATGCCAAGAACAATTCGAAGCACCTTTGTATCTATGCTTATGTTCTGTGAAATCTCAAGTCCTATTGCATTATTTAATGCCGCTTGGCGCCTTATGGTAGACGATTATGCTTATACCATCAGCGGGAATCGGCAATCAAGAGATCAAAACCCAACGGACGAAAGACTGCAAAATTGGGTTCTACGGCAGCTTCAGCAATTGCTTGGGTCTCACTCCTCGACACTCCAAGATTTCAATTTACCCATTCCCAATAACGATGTGGTTGACGATGGAACAAACTCACTCATCAATGATCACCTTAACTTTGATGTCGAGGAGCAGCAGCATCTTTTAGAGAACATGGTGCACTCGCTAAACATGGAAAAACTCCACGTATATTCATCTATGGTAAGCTCAATGCACAACAACAAAATGATGTCCCTTCTTATACGGCCATGGAGGAATGGGAATGACATTTCTCTACAACGCAATAACAGCCAAGCTAAGGAGTTTATCAAAGATAGTTGTTTTGGTTGCTTCATCAGGAATTGCAGCAACTCTATTGCCTAAAGCAACCACTGCACATTCAAGGTTTAAAATACCTCTAACTCTTGATGCAACATTTACGTGTTCAATTAAAAAAGGAACACATCTTGCTGAATTGCTTATGGAAGCTTCTCTGATTATATGGGACGAAGCCCCAATGACACATCGAAGAGCTTTCGAAGTTGTTGATCGTAGTCTCTGCGACATAATGAATGTACCTTTGAGAGGGCTGCTTTACAAACCTTTTGGAGGGAAAACAGTGCTTTTTGGCGGGGATTTTCGACAAACCTTGCCAGTGATCACTGAGGCTGGTCGTGAGCAAACCGTCGATGGATCGTTGACATGATCAGTCCCGTGGGATTCTTTTAAGCAGCTAAAGTTGACAAGGAACATGCGTAGTTCTGAATCTATGCCAGGTGAGAGACAGTTTCTTCATGGCTACACATTTGCAGAGTGGGTCTTGTCTTTGGGAGATGGAAGACTGAAGACAGAATCATTCAAACCAGATGCACCATCAGATTGGGTTAGAATTCCACAATTATTTATAGCGGAACATGGGAGCGACCCCATTGCATCTATTGCAAGTGATATTTATGATGGGTTTTCACAAAATTACAAGTCCCCGTCGTACCTTGCAAATAGAGCAATTATCACGCCAACAAACGCTACTGTTGTTGAACTCAATGAATATATGATGCAATAAGTGCCTAGCCAAATGAAGACGTACTACAGCTTGGATTCACTTTTGCAGTCAACAGAAACAAGTGATTCCTTCGATGATTACTACCCTACAGAATTTCTTAACACATTGACTTTCAACGGGGTCCCAGATCATGAACTTGCTCTAAAAAACAATACTTTGGTGATGTTGCTGCGCAACTTGAATCCAGCTCTTGGCTTATGCAATGACACAAGGATTATGATAACATCGTTGGGCGACAATGTCATAAAAGGAACCATTTTGGGTGGTGCTAACGATACAGATGAGGTTATCATTCCAAGGATTGTGCTTAATGTTGAAAATTCCAGGTGGCCATTTGTTCTCAAAAGATGGCAATGTTCGCTTATGCTATGTTATGACTATAAACAAGAGTCAAGGCCAAACGCTCGACAAAGTAGGTATATATTTACCTCAACCAGTATTTAGCCATGGTCAGCTTCACGAGAGAGTTTCGAGAGTAAAGTCGGCAAAAGGTTTGAGGATGCTCATACAGAACCCACCAGAGATCCCGAAGGACTATACAAGGAACATAGTCTTCACCGAGGCTTTTGCTGATATCATGAATGCTTGAACTACATATCAGGTTAGACCATAAAATTGCGCCACTTTCGTTTTATTGAATGTAGTTTAACATTATGCTTGCTGATCACAGGGTGTGTGCAAGTGTATCAATGAGTTTTATTAAATAAATCCCTTTTTCCAGGATTGCGGCAACAAGTTGTGTGCTTGGACGAGCTGCAGAGTGCCCAGGGCTACTGATTTTGCCAGAGATGAGCAGCACTTTTGTCAAGAACAGAGAGTTTATGTTCCTCAGTGTTTGATATTGGTCTGCTGTGTAGGTTATTGATAACTAAGAAACAGGTTCCCTAGTAAATCTGGTGTTTGGTTTTCCACACAATGGTTCCAACCAATTTTGTAAGCTGGTGACAATCAGTAAATCTGGTGTCTCGAACTGCCAGACAGACCAGAGCTCGGAGGTAATTCCCCATCTTCTTTTGCGTCACAAAATTTACAGTTTAAGATTACTACTCATAAATGGGTTTCGTCTACCACTCAGGGACCCCACCGAAAATGGACGATTTGGAAAATGAACGCCGCTCTAAAGAATGCGATTCAACGGTCCCCATCGATCCGCAAGGTAAAAACTAAAAGCCTTTATTTTATGAAGTGGTCCCACGAAAGTGTCTCGATTTCTCTGTGATTTTTCGCACGATTGTTATTTTACTTATGTGTCTTGCCTTTATTCGTGTTCTAGATGCCATTGTGGCTTCCATGGGTTTTCGCGGTTTGCGTTTGGGTACCAACCATCGTACCGTTGTGGCTCGCCTTGTGTCAGAATACCGACACGGAGAAGTTTGGAAGAAAAGGACTTAACACATGCTTTGGCTCGACAAAAAGGTTCATTCCCACTTCTCAAACCATTATATGCATAAAAAGAAACATTTACCGACACAATTTTTTGATCGTGCAAAGATTCTGGGTTACTCAAAAATTCGCTTACCTATGCAAAATACCAAAAATTGCTTCTCATATTTCAGAGCCAGCTGATCGAAGCTTTGGTTGAGGAGGAGCACATTCGTGAAATCTCTAAGAATATTAAAATTGGTTGCTTGCTGGACCTGCAAGAGAAAAGGGACGCATTGTCCCGAGAGAGTTACGCCTGCACCTGACTCCGAACCAGATCATCGGCCGCATTGAAGAAAAGGCAGGCACATCACAATTTCCAATGTGCCGATACATGCGATTCACTTTTTCAACATTGCCAATACAAACACCCAAGTTTGAATGCTATGCAGGTCACGTTTCCTACCTAAGATCCTCACACAATAATTTTACAACTGCCAATAACATATAAACAATTGAAATTACACAAGTGACAGGATGTGTGAGGCGTATCACGCTTCGAGAAACCATCGAAGGTTGTCTGAAGAAATTCGACTTTGTCATACAAGATGTCTGGTATACTTTTTAGGATTAAAAGAAACTTATTGTTGTTTGCAAAATTTAGAAACTCACATATTTATCCTTGCAATCAGTGGAGAAAAGGCAATTGTTCGCCATTATGGGTATGATATTGGTGAATTTTTAGAGAATGCACCAGCAGCTGAACAATGCATGCCGTTGATCGTCAAAATTACATCACTGATGCGAGTAGCTCTTACCAACGACCATAAATACCAGTATGAGTTTGAATCCACACCTGCCAGTCGACTCTGTGAGGATGTCATGGACATGTACAGATGAATTGCTTTCATTTGCCATACATTACTTTATTAGTTTATATTACCATAACAGTAGAGGAGAAGTAACCAATTTTTTTTTACCACAAAATAGCTTTGTGCAGTGCCGCAAACCAGTTTGGTACATTGATGAGAAAAAATTGGTTGCCTCCGCACCAATCGCCCACCAAAGAAAACTCTGGCAGAAATCAAGGAGCAACTCAATGGCCAACCAGAAAGACAAAAGGTACTTACAGAACTTAATGCTTTGCAGAATAACAAGCAACCGCAACATTCTTTCTCAACTTCTTACTAACCAAAACATGAAATTCTTTGCTGCAGACCCTTTATCGATGCATCATCAACATCTCGCAGGTTGTGTATAGAAAGAGCATGTGCAGTTCAACTCCAGAACGACCAGAGTGAGTTTGCAACACCCAGGTCCACCTTTTTCTAGCACACCAATTTTCCAAATTTTTTTGGCAAAACTAACTGCACCCTTTTTTATTGCAAGTTTGCATTATAAACTGGCAGTCAAATGTCATCAAGGTTCAGTCGAAGCTGATGTTGTGTTCGAACATGAAGCAGTCATCTCGATAATTCATATGTCGCCCACTAAATTTCGCTACATGGAAAAAGAAGAAGTTGTGGCACTTATTAAGAGGAATTGTGTCCGAACATTTGCAGCAGAGTTGTACATTGCCTGGCCAAATCTGAGCAACAACGATTCCAGAGCTACCGGACAGATCAGAGTTGCCACACTCTGGGACCGAACTGCCTTCGACAAGTGATCGTGCACTCTCAAACATAACATTATTAGATCAGGGAATCGGTCACCATATGTTTCTTTCTTGGTCAGACTTCCCAACTCCCTGAATTTCATATCTCCCACTCATCATCAGACAGTTGATTATATGTATGTTCGCAACTATCAGACACTTTTGCATATTCATGGAGTTTGTTTTGTGATCCGTATGGTCCTTCTGGAAATTAGGACATAATGTTTTGTGTTCCATCAATGGATGCATAGGTTTGATTAAGTTTGCGGATTTGAGTAACCGTGTTTTCGCATTGTGCAAGCTTGCATGTTGATCTGTGCATTTTCCATGACATCAAATCAAACTAATGAGTGCACAAAAAATTGTTTGACAGTCCATATATTTTTTTTACAAAATACACGGTACAAGTCTTGCATCCAACGATGCACAGATGGTAGGATCGAAGTCAGGAAAATTGCGCAATTCCAGCATTTCCCGCTGCAGAGCACAGGCTTATTACTAGTTTTCATTATTAAACAATCAATTGTTTTTTTTTTCCATATCAGCACCCAAACTTCAATACCATTATCGAATTCATCAGTCAATTTATTTTATCAGCCTTTACCGTAACAACTTTTTAATTTGTAGCGACTGACAATTTTTAACTAGAATCACTACCACAAATTAGGAAAAAAACTGCGAACGAAAAAAACTGCTACATAACTATGCAAACCACTATCAATAGTTGATAAAAATCAATACTAAAAAAAAAATTACTACATCCAAATCACTACTAAACTATAACTAAACCCTATTAAAAACGTAAAATCAAACCAGTTGAAAATAAATACCACAAATCTGAAAATTCCTACAAATCTACTACCAACGGAGAGGCAAATCTTCTGGCGATGCAACACTGGTTCCGACACCCCTCATCGCCAGAAGATGGTCGCCGAGACGACGATGCTCCTCGCACACGAATCCTTCAGGAGAGACGAAGATGGTGACAAGGGTGGCACAATACTGGTTTCGGCGCTCCTCCGCCGGAAGATGGTGGCTAGATGAAGATGCCCCTCACACTAATATGTTGGGAGAGACGAAGATGGAGGCAAGGCTAGCAGCAAGCGAGGGCGTCGAATCTCCTAATCGCACAGGAGGCAGAGAGGAGCAGTTTGTGAAATGTGAGTGGGAGAGAGGAGACGGGCCAGCTAGATTTATAAAATACTATTTATATTAGGGTTTACATGAATATTGACAAAACTAACCTCGATATAATCCTAACCCTAATCTTGTAGTTAGGATGATGCTAACCATTTTAAAAAGTTAGCAACTAAACCCATCCCATACCAACTTCATCATTCTAAGCAATAAAATGTGTACATGAGTACTAAACAAGATTATTGAGAGGGTGTTAGGACGGTGAAGAATCAATTATACGAGGATGAATATTAAACTCAACAAGGAAAAGGCTAAAAGAAACCCTCCATTACCAATTCCATTTCCCTTCCACCAGCCGATTTCTGTGTTCTAAAGTATTCCTTTTCTCTTATGTAGTGTTTAAATACTGGAAACCCAAAATCTACCTAGTTCCACATTACAAACCCTTTTTACATTTCCTGCTGCTGCTGCTGCTGCCTGAAGAACAAAATGCTGGAACAAAAACCAGAATGAATGTTGTAGTAGTGTGATGGCATTACAAGCCAAGCCATGCTGTCTACTCTATCTAGGGCTGCTGTGGTGGTGTATTGGCATACAAGAGAGTGAAGAAGAGCTCAACCTCTGGGGATTTTTGGATTATCTGGATATAACGATTCTCGCTTGGCTCTTTGAGCAGGGATGAACCCATCTGGGCAACTCGAGGTAGGAGTTTGACCAGTGGCAACCCTGATTTTAGTGCGCCCTCGGTGGTCTGTGTTTCCAAGTCTTCCACCAGTGCATCAACCAGTTCTTTCAGAGATACCTCCACAACCCTGCCAAACTCCGGGCTGCCAAAACAGAAGCAGTGAGCATGATTAATTGTCTGTATACCACGGGGGTGTGTTTGTTTGAGCTTTTGCTAAAAAAGTAACATTGCTATGCCAAGTTAAATAATGAAACACACCTCAGTATTACTTCACGTGTCTCCAGCATAAGATGATCAAATTTTGTAAGATCGGTGGGAAACATGTCACTGCCGTCAGAGACCATCAATGCATGTTCGTGTAACCTGCTGTCCTCGGGCATCAAGTAATCTACCCACCTGCCAGGACTCATTGTGCTTATGAACTTGTCAGTTATCTTTATGACAGTTTCACGAACTGCTGTTGCGTCAAAGGAATCCTTCAATTTTTTCCTGCATGCAGCGGAATTGAAGTTGAGAAAACCTTCATGAACAAATTGGTTTTAAGACCAACATTCTCATTGCATAATTCGCAATCATACTGAAGTTTCAAACTTGAGTAAATGGACAAAATGTGATCCAACGGAATATAAGGTAGAGTTCTAGAGATCCAAGTGAGCAGATTCTAGGTCAGACAAGTTCATCATGCATATGTGAGAAGCCTTACCCCTTTAGAACCTCTGTCACTGCTGTTTGGATATCATCAGCCAACACAAGCAAGCCAGAATGAGGGAGGTAATCGGAGCCAGCCAAATATTTTTGCTGGTCATCTCTGTCTATGAGATCCGCATCATCCTACACAAGGGAAATAAGACAGATTACTACTACCATAAATACATTAGACAGGTTTATCTGTAAGGAAAAATCCGTGGGGAACATAAAATAGGCATTCCAGCATCATGTAAAGAGCCAGCACTGATATGCCTGAGCTGTAACCAAGAACATAACGCAGGGGAACTAAGTAAAAACAAATTTGATCCTCATTTGTCACCGAGGGAAAATGACAAGCATAAGTGGTTCCGAAGTAGAAATGTATATGATTAAAGAAAACAATAACCGTAACAGTTTAAATACAGTCTACAGTCCTATGAATTCAAACTTGAGTACAAACGGGTATGGCATGTATAGAGATGACGCTTGAAAAAAGGGGCAAGATCCATGGTATAGCCCAGAACCAATGTCCATCTCCTCAATATTTTCCAAATGCATAAACAGTAAACGAATAATTCCATGTGCCCCTGGTCGAGAACATACAGTTTCACTTTTTCCATCGCCCGTCTTCGTTTCTCTGTGGAGGCAGGTCAGGATGGACCCTCAGCATCCCAGTGGATCCAAATCCAAACAATTTGGAAGAACATGGTTATGCTAGTCACTAGTGGTTATCCAAAATTACTAAACTAAAAACCATGCGGAGTTTCCTAAAGATAAGAAACTACAGCATCCCAGTGAGCCCAATTCCAAACAATTTGGAAAGGTTATGTCACTATTAAAGTCACAAGTGCTCATTCAACATTACAGCGCAAATTAAAACCATGCAAAGTTTTCTAAAGAAGGAAATTGTTTCCATTTCTTGCTCAATCCATATGATCTAAACCTAGTACGCTAAGCCTTGATTTCTATTACAGAACTGCTTGGCCAAATTCACATTTAATATAGCCAGTCCTGCTAATAGCTAGATTAATTACTATTGAGGTAGTTCAGGCAGAAAAGACAAAAAAGCGGAACAGAAACGAAGACGTGTGACTCGTGCAAGGAGAATGTAAGATGCAAAAGTCGTATGTTCGTGCAGCTAAAAAACAAGTCATATCGGAGAAATAAGATATCATACATATATAACGAAAGAAAACTGAACCCATAAGCTTCTTATTAATGAATGAGCGACTTTATTTCAGAAAAAAATTGTATACTTCCAATACCACAATTATTGTACTTCCCGAAGTGCCGATTCTCCATGTAAGAGAAAATTAAGGAGGATCCTTGCCACTGACACTAGATCAAACAAAGACTTCATTTCCATTACCCAAATCCTGATACAAGGTATGCTAACAACCATCCAGCGGTGATCAAGAGAGACTCCAAATTCAATATATGTACCTGAGGTACTACCAAAATTTATTTCTTTGTCACCCACCCTAACCAGAGTTGAATACCTCCTCTCGTCAAGCTTTTGTCCCTTTGGGACTCCCTAACCTAGGATAGATCTTCTTCTTAAAAAATACTAATTTTGGACGCGACAACGTACAGTATTCTTACTTCTCTTGCTGCATGAAAACGATAGTCAAAAACTTTCATTCAGCAGTAAAAGAACCAATAAATTGTACCTGGTAAACAACAAGTCTCAGCTGAACAAACAAGATACATTAGCAAAGATTACACCAGACTCAACTAGGCTTTAACTAATGACATGTATTCAGTTCAACTATGGGGGTCACAATAGAAGATGCAAATACTATAGGCGCATTATCCTGTGGACACGCAGGCTAAGACATGTAACTAATGGCAATATATCCCAGAAATCAGGATTTTTTCTCTCTCTCTAAACTATGTTACCTATCCATTAAATTAGAGTCTTAATATGATTTCTACGCACAAAATAACATAGAATCAACTAGGCAGTGCACAAATGAAGATATAAATGGGGGAAAAAGTGTCAAATGTACCAGGTCTTACCGACATAAAAGAGCTCTCCAGATTATGTGCTATGTCAATATACAAATGTCTTCCAAGAATATTCACTTGAACTCTAATATATAAGCTAAGTAATGTAACTGCCCACAGTGATGCCACCATCCTCGTGAAACCTGGAGAACAAGAAGAACGCATCCATCATAACATGCGTGCTAACCAACCAACAATGGAACAACTAGACAAGATAAACCTATACACTGTCAAGCATAACAAACATAAGAAGCAAAATTTTCCAGCCACATACTTATGATTTTGAGCTTGTCCCATAGCTCAAGTTTCTCCGCCGTTGTCAGAGTAGTAGGCTGGCTTTTCCCTTTCTGTAAGGCCTCCGTGATAAACGAATGGTCCAACTCCTCTGTTATCCTACTATTCAAATAACTAATAGAATGTGGCAGTGTTACAGTATCAGCTATTGTCTGTATGTTCTCGAAATGAGCTTGCATCCTGTGAACCAAAAAACACTAAAACCAGTCAAAAGATAATACCAAAGAACCCAGCTTCCCAGCTCCCAACTACATCAGGGGAAGTGAATAGAGACACAAAAAGAAGAGTTCTTTCTCGTAACTGAGCCTTAACGAGTTCATCATTCTCTTGCTCAGCAGCAAGTAGTCTCTCCAGATCAGCGAGCTGCTTTTGATATGTATTATACACTTTGTACAAACAATAACCGCTTCCTACAACACCAGCAGTAACAAGAATCTTCCTCTTATGCCTTCTCCAAAAGTCCCTACAATGTCACAGTCCGGAGAACACACTCAATATCAATACAGTTAACAATTGTCTTCAAATAACTTCAAGGAAGCAAACAATCAGAGAATTGAACATGCAACGTATGAAAATGGAGCAATACTTGAAGTAAAATCCATCCACTTGAGGAATCCAAAAAAACCCATGAGGCAAAAGTCTGTATTCAGAACATGCACCCATTGCACAAAGGAAAACAAAAACTGCCCAGAACGAATTACCAGATGATTGATTATCAATTTTCAGAGCAAAGACAGCAAACAGCACAGGTCAATGCGGGAAAGAGAATAATAAACCTTAGAGAAAGCATTGTTCAGCAGCTCCTTTTTTTATGCCACTCAGCAGCCCAAACTGCTGCCACAAAGCTCTAGCTAGCACCAGTTGTACCCACCATATCCAGCACAAGTGTGAGTTTATAACAATCGGTCCCGAGCTGATCGGGGAAGAAAGAGATTGGACTTAGAGGAGAAAGGGATGAATTGGAGGAAAAAAAGGAGAATTGAGGAGAGGAAGGGGAAAGCTTGAGGAAGAAAAAACAGGGAAGGACAGAGAGATAGAGGGTTTTCGGAAGAGAGATTGAGAAAAGCGAGGGGATCTGATTCTCAACTCACAAGAAGCAGCCTTCAAAACAACGTTATGACCATCAAACTTTTCTAGTTTGATAATTTTGGTACAAAAGTTTTATGTTAGAGAAAACGATAAAAGATAGAAATCATTTAGAAGAAATTACTAATAATCGATGAATAATGGGTAAAAAAAGTCAATTTTATGATTTCAAGAGAGATGAAGAAATGAAATTGACGATGAGAGTGAATTGAATAGTGGGCGATGATTTTGAGGCATACATGAGCTTTCAACTTTTGGAGATCAACTCAAACAAGTTGGTTAATTAAGATCTTTAATCACACAATCCAATTTGATATTTCAAGTTTCAAATTATATCCTCACGTTAAAAGGAACTTCCATATGCAACAATACCACTGTATGTTCTGAACAAGTTACTTGAGGTAATTCAAAGGAAACAAATTACTATTACAATCAAATAAATAGGTCGATTTTGGGAGAAAATCAAACTTGGGTGATTGATTTGTCAATCACAGAAACTTTGGCAACCACTTGATCATTTAACCGGTGGCCTTGGGCCGGGTGATCGGGCCGCCGGCAGTCTCGTAGCCAACCGGTACCCGCTTGCGGTCAAGCGGTTTATTTGATTCGGGCCGGGTCCTAAAACCCCTCATTTACCGACTTCGCGATTCAGCAAGCACGGATTAGAATTGAGGGAAAAACCCTAATCCAAAATCGTCAGACTCACTCCAAGGAGAGCTGTTGCTGAAGCCAGAAGTTGCTGTTGCCAGAATAACTCGTCGATTCCGATCATGGGGAAAGTAAACTACAAGAAAATGAAGGGCTCCCAGAACCTCCGGCAGAGGCTTCTTCTATCGACGCTCTCCGGCACTCCCATTCTCGTCGAAGACATTCGCGCCGACGACAAATTCCCCGGCCTTCGCCCTCATGAAGTCTCTCTTCTCCGCCTCTTTGACCGGGTCACCGATGATTGCGTCGTCGAAATCAATGATACCGGTAAAACTCACTTCATACTCGAAGTTACATAATCCAGTGTTCATTCATGCCAACTGTTAGCTGGGCTTTGGTGTTTCGATGGGATTAAGGATGTTCTGGTTCTTTGAGCTACAGTCAGCTCTAGGCTAAGCTTTCAATACTTTGTAAAGCTTCAAGCTTTATCTGAGGAGAACTAGTAATGATGATGAATTGCTAGCATTTTTCTGGCTCGTGATGGTACTTTGTTCCAGCTCAGGTGTGGGAAGTAGCCTTATGGTTATACGTAATTTTGTTGAACATGTGTTTGACAGGTACAAAGTTCAAGTACAAGCCTGGTGTGGTTATGGGGGGAAGGCGTGTTGCTCATGATTGTGGTGTGAGTCGAGCAATTGGATACTTCCTGGAACCATTGATTGTTCTCGGATTGTTTGGCAAGAAGCCGCTCGAGATAAGGCTCAAAGGTACGAGCTTTTAGCTGTTCTTACTCTTAGTGCACATTCTTGGATTCTACAGCCTGCATTAACTAGACTTAAGAAGGAAATCAAGGGGCCTGATTGTGTGTTTGAGAGTTGCAAATCAATGTCGTGGGTTACCTAGCCTTTGTGCAGCTCAGAGTATGATTATAGCTTCCTCATTTGTATTTCACACGGAACAAGAATCCATGCAATTGATTATTTTTCCATTGCCTCAATTGAAATTTGTCACCTGATCCTGTCATTTCCAGGGATTACGAATGACTCGAAAGATCCATGTGTTGACACATTCCGCTCGACTACCCTGCCAATATTAAAGCGATTTGGGGTTCCTTCTGAAGGACTGGATCTTAAAATAGAGAGCCGTGGAGTTCCACCATTGGGTGGAGGAGAAGTTGTTTTATCTGTTCCTATTGTTCAAGCCCTGTCGGTGAGACTCTAAATCTGTTGGAACGTTACTAGTAATGCCGACCTCCTGGTTTTATATACATTTCCTTGCAATACAGGCTGTCACTTGGATTGATGAGGGAATGGTCAAAAGGATTCGAGGGTGGACTTTCTCCGCCAAAGTATCTTCTCAATTCGAGATCCAAATGATCCATGCTGCCCGTGGTATCTTCAATAATCTGCTTCCTGATGTTCATATATTCACCGATCACAAAGCAGGCTTACAGGCTGGAAAGTGAGTTTCTTGTTTATGGTTCAGTCTTTGTTTGTTTTTTTCTAAAAGAAACTGGTTGATCTGACATAAGAGTGCTAAAATGGCAGTTCTCCTGGCTATGGAATCTCCTTGGTTGCCGAAACTAATGCTGGCTGCTGCATTTCGGCTGATACTACGATTTCTTATGCAAGGGGAGATGATGTTGGTGACATGGAAGATGAGAAGAAAGAGTTGAAGCCTCCACAGGATGTTGGTGAAGACATGGCTTCCGCTCTGCTTGAAGAGATCGAGCTGGGTGGAGTGGTGGACTCCTCACACCAGGTTCGTCTATTTCCACCCTGGGATCAATATTTTCAGAATATCAATCGAAGGACTATTATAATCATTTTGTTACTTCTTTCGCTACAGGGTTTGTTGTTTCTCCTCTGCGCTCTATGCCCTCCCGACATTTCCAAGATTCGCGTGGGGAAGTTGATGCCATATGGAGTCGAAACATTGAGGCAGATCAAAGACTTTCTGGGCGTGGAATTCAATATTAAAATGGACACATCAACAAAGACAGTTATACTGAAATGTATGGGATGTGGGTTGAAGAACCTCTCAAGAAAGAGTTCATAATTAGTGAGTTTGCCATTCTTAAGGTAGCTGGCATTGCATCATAGACTTCCTTGAGTATTAATGTAATAGTAAACAACTATGATGAGGCAAATTTTGATAGCTCCAACATGGGAGCATTGTTCAGATGTAGTTGAATCGTACTTTCATTCTCTCAATTTCCTCTACTTCCACAAGAAAATCTGACGTTATAAACCAGCAGTTTTTCTATCACCAGTCACCGGTCAGAACATGAAGACAAAACAGAGTAACATCAAGAGGAAGACAAATAGCCAATATGAAACCAAGTTACGTTCAAAGGCCACCTTATAGCTCTCAAGGTCAATGCTACAAATCTCCAACAATATACATAATTCCGCAGACTAATTTGGTAAGTCAATCGTCTCCCCAAGCGTCATCCCTCAGCTTTTGCCTGGTAACTATCCGAGTCTTTCTGGCTTCTTCCTGGTTCTTGAGCTCTCGGGATCCAAACCCAGGGGAAGGCAACTTCAGTCCCATCCCTTGGGCAATCAGCCTTTGAGCCGTTCTTGTTGATGTTTGAGGCCGTTGCCTCGGAGGTTCCAAGTCTGCATTCACCACAGAATGAGGTTATTGCTGTTACTAATAAATGGATAATTATTCCAAAACATGCACCTGTTAAGACATCTCCCATTTCCCCTATGGTTTACTTCGACATTCATCAAGTTTCCTAGGTTCAAATTTATTATTTTCAGATGCATTATCTCATGTAAGGTAACAAATAAGAAAGCAGAAAGTAGACTTACCTTTGGTTGAGATGAAGCTCATAAGGATATCATCGTCATTGAGAATATGTACAGTGAATGGAAATTTAACAGAGTTGCGGGCCTCCAGTGCTGTATTGGGAGATCCAATGTGTAAGTACAGAACAACAGTCTAAACAAAATCAAGGATAGTAGCAGTATTGACATATGAAATGTCCACTTTGACAAAGCTGGTATGAAAATATATATTACCATCTGATGGGTTGGGGGGGGGGGGGGGGGGGGGGGGGGGGGGGAATTCAGTTCAGAAAGCAGGATTCAAGTCCAGAGTGAAAGAACTACATAAGGAAGTTAAGTTTACAATTACCAGCTGATGGTGTTCTGAACACTGCAAGAGCAGTCGTGTCATTAACCCAACGGATTGAGACTCCCCGATCTTTGAAGTCGTCCACAAACCTTTCTAGATCTGTTGTTTTTGTGCTGGGAGGGAAGTCAGCCAGGACAAGAACATGATGTGTGCCATACGTAGATGAAACTGGGAAAAATGAATCATGAGATTTACTGTCATGCTGGGAGAATTCAATTAGTCAAAACTTAATCCTTAATCACACTACTCCAAGGCAAAAAGTGGGATCATGCTAAAGCTTAAGAAAGGCATTCTCTTTGACGTTTGTCCATCTATTAAAGAAATTATGTCTCAAAGTTTTGAACCTCTGCTCAAGAAGAACTACAACACAGAAGAATGTAAATTAAGATGCGAAATACCATGTTTCGATTCTCTACTCTGGCCAGTTTCTCCGACTTCCTCATCCTCTTCATCATCAGAAACAAGTGCATCAGATTGCCGATCACTATACAATCCATTCTTCTTATATGAGAATGTGCCCCTCCCACGGCGCTTTGGCTTTTTATCAGCCTCTTCTTTCTTTGAGACTTTTGACACACTCGGCAGGCAGTCAGGAGAGAGCAATTCACTGGGTGCACGATCTGCCGCAGCTTCCCAATCTACCATTTTACCATAATACCAGTCAACACCACTGTCGACCCAAATTGTGAAATTACTAAATGAAGAGTTATGCACAACTTAGCAACAACAACAACAAAAAACAAGATGTTCGAGCTACATCACATGAGAAACCAATCATCCTACATTAAGCTAAATTCAGCATCCAAGCACAAAGAATGGGCAATCTTTCGATCTCCTTGAAGTAGAAAAGCATTCAGCAAGAATGTTATCAGGGCGATATCAGGAATCAAATCAAGAAACCAGGTGTTAAACATACCATCATCTGAAGCTTCATCACCAGCAGCAGCAGCAGACTGTGACGAGGGTTTCTCAACACCGCCTTCACAAGAATCAAATCAATAAATTGCTATTTCCGCAAAGCATAATGACGAGAATCGCTACTATAATCAAACAGAAAACTTTACCGTCACATCGAGAAGAGGAAGCGGCACCAAAGTCCGAATCTTGATCGTCCACGCGGGAACCAAGAGCGCGGTGTCTGAGGAGCGCGGCGCGGGAGCGAAGTTCGTCGGACTTGAGGGAGAAGTCGTTGGAGGAGTAGAGATTGGCCAATTCGGTGAGAGCGGAAGCCAATTGGAGATCCGCCGCTTGGGAAGGCGGAGTGGGTTGGAGTTGGAGTTGGGACACTACGGATTCCAGACGAGAGATCGCGGCGTCTGTATCGCCATACGATAGAAGATCCTCGACGGCCTCGCTCCAGTTCAAGTTGTTATCGGAATCGCGCGGTGGCTCGGCGTCGCTCTTTTCCATCTTTGCTGCTCGGCCGGGGAAAATGAAGAATGACGAGGACGGCGTCGGCGGCGCGGCACAGCAGCAGCTATTATAGCATTTGGATTGAAGACGATCGAATGGGCGGGGCCGGTTGATGGGCCTAAACCAGTCTGGACTCTGAATTGCCTCTCCTACCGGCTTTTTTTTATTTATTCCTTTTCTTCTTTGTGAAAAACTTCCGTTTTCAACGTCAACATTTCCTAATCAACATTCCAACCTTGGACAAAACCTAGGGTGATCACTACTATTCGGTCCATATCGAATCAAATATAACCGATTAACTTCGGTTCTATATCAGTTCGATTAGTTTCGATTATATATCAGTTAGATGAGATCTAATTCCAAATGAGACCATTGACGGCTCGAGATATTAATCTCAATCCACTAACGAGGGGGCCAAGGTCATATCAATGGTACCTAAACTAACTACCAAGCACAAGAGTAAAGATATAAACAGTGGAGCAAACTGGTTGTGTTTACTAAGAAACTGCAGCAATGTGGAAGCAGGAAGTGTGAAGAAGACTACCAAGACTCATTTCTAAAGTTAAAATTACTGTGCCTTTGCAACGATTCAATACAGAAATATACACTCTGCAAGTGCAACAGATCAATGCTTTGGGAGATGTCCTTCCATCCAATGCATACTCTTCAGCTGTACAATACAAAAGCTTCAAGAATCTTTAGCTTTCGACTCCGGCATCAGCTCGGATGGCAGTCAGTTCGCGTCAGGAGCGATAAGAACCTGCCACATTTCAAATACATTTGTTCTATCAGAACCCACAATTTCATGAAGATTCATCAAACCCCAAAACTGATATTTTACACACAGAGGCCTTTTGTTTTTTTTTTCACTGAACAGAAGCTCCTATTTAAAAACATTCCAGAAGATACTGCAAAGCGAAATGGACGACTGCGTTCTATAACCAGAGAAAATCAGATCAAAACTAAAGAGAGCTATTTAGAGTTGCATACCAAAATTACAGTCAGCAACACCAACAAAACCGTCTGGTTAGAGGTGCCAAAATAATCTTCAATGCCTGAAATTCAAGAAAGCAAAGAAGGTTAATATCAAAAGGAAGAAACAATTAGAACCATACAAGCAACTGTTCAAAAATTCAATCACCGGCACACGCCTAACAGAATCTCATCCTTTAAATATAGAACAGTTAGTGACAATGCATAGTTTGGCAGACACTCTCCAAATTACTAGCAAGAGGAGAGAGCCCTTGGATGTTAGACATTGACGACATAATTTGGTTGTAATTCGATTCCTACAACTAGTATGAAATGCACATCATGCAAGGTGGCTACATTTCAATTATTTCATCCACATTTTCATTCTTCGAGACTGAACAGTTGGATATCAGTAAGACATTTCGTAAACTTCCCTCATTATCTACTTGAAATATTCACATAAGAGTTAAGACTTTCAAGTTTCAACAGTTACCAAACTGCATCTTTCAAGAAAAGGTACCAGTGATGAATTTAAACTCTGCTATCTCAATTCCCTTGAGCTGAAATCTATCACAAAAATCTTCTCAGTGAAATTCATTCAGGACCCAAGAAATATACGCAATCATGAACGTGATGATGCCTGCAACTAACTACATTTTATAGTGTAAAACCCTCCAGGTGCAAGAAAGCTCACAAGTCACACATTCTCTTGTCTACCTTCCTCCATCGACAGATCTAAGATTCTTTATGTATCTTACTGTAGCACTTTTCATTAACTTAATATGGATGCATGACCTGCTTATGACTTACATAATCTATAGTAACTCTTCGTGGCTTGCTTATACCTGTTACTTTGCAATGCTTACGAAACAACACGTACAATTCTGATTCCGAATCAACTACTGAAAGGCATAAATCCTTCAACGAGAGGCAAAATGTACAAATCACAACATTAGGAACTTACAGAAGTTGCTACAGTTCAGGTATCCTATTGCAAAATTGAAATTCATCATCAGGTCATGGCCTACCCAAAAACAGTATGAAAAACACCTCCAACTATCCGGAAAGGTCATCAAATGAAATGCAGAGCAAGTAGCAACACCAAGAGTCAAGCCTGTGGAACTAGCAAAGTAGAGGTCTTTGTACTATCACACTTACGTACAAATACAAGTAAACATATTTAGCTAGATGATTACATTGTTATGACAAAGTCCCCATATCTTGAAAACCAGTTTGATGTCTCTAAACTACTACCACCATAACTAAACAGTGAAAAGGTAAAGCAATTAGGAAACAAAATACTTCCACTGCTAAATCAAAACAGAATGCAGAGAAAGACTAAACCTTTCAAAAAGACTTATCCTTCAACGTTCATTTCTCCTCCGTCCCAAAAGCATTCTGAATACTCTCAATGATCTTCTTCTCAGCATCCAAAATCATATGCATTCTCTTATTCTCCATCTCCATTCTCATCTTCTCCATTTCCTTCACCATCTCTATCTTCTTCTTCTCCATCCCCAACAACTTCCCAGCAAATGCCCTCATTTCCTCTGCCAAAACCAATGCCGCCGCCCCTCTTCCATTCTCCTCCCTTTCCTTCACCCCCTCTCTCTTTCTCTTCTTCCCACCCATCTCCTTCAAACTCCCTGAATCACTCCCACCAAAACCATTACTAGAACTCGGCTGCCGAATTATGTAATTGATACTCCTTGACCTACTCCTATACCCAGATTCCTCTTCTTCTTCCTCCTCCTCCTCTTCTCCCTCACCGTAATCATAATCCTCTTCTCCATTAAACCCATCGGGAATTGGCAATAGCGGCAATCCCCTTTCCAGAGCCTCCATCAACCGAAAGTAAGGCCAGGAACACACAGCGCCAAGGGAAGCGCGGCGTTTCTCCTCCCTGTAACGCTTCCGGAGCTTGTCCATTTTGTGGCGGCACTGCGTGGAGGATTTCACCGGCTGGTAGCCGTTGTGGCCGCACCGGGAGACCACAGCGGCGGCGACCTCTTCCCACTGGCCGGCCTTGAGCTGGCCGCGCTCCAGGGCGTACCATTTCTCCTGATACGCCTGGATCAGGTGGACTGTTTGCTGGTGGGTCCAGGGCACCGGTTGGGGTTTCTTGCCGGCGACCAGCGCCGGCGAATATGGCGTCGACGAGGGGTGATCGAGTGGAGAGGAGGAAGTAGGAGATGGAGTGGACATTTGGTAGTGGTGTCAGGGGAAGGGGAGTTAGGGTTAGGGTTTATGGCGGAAGTGGTCAGTGGGGAATTATGGGAGGTGGTGGTGGTGGTGGCGGCGGCTGGCGGCGGAGGATGGTGGTGGTGGTGATTGTGGATGGGGTTAGGCTGAGTTTTGGAGCTCAGCTTAGTGGGCTTTAATGGATGGGCCTGTTAAGCATAGCCCGCTCATCAACTAGTCCAGCCCACTTACAAGTTACAAGCTCGGGGGTCTGCTTTTCATCTCCATTTCGTGCCTTTGCTATCAAATCTGAAACGACAGCGAAAGCGACGATGAATCTCCGGCGCCTTCTAATAGGCTCCGCCGTCTTCCGGCTGGCTCTGATTCTGTATGGGGAATGGCAGGATGCCCACATGGAAGTTCGCTATACCGACGTCGATTACCTCGTCTTCTCCGATGCAGCTTCGTTAATGGCTTCTGGGTCTTCTCCTTACAAGAGAACAACTTACCGCTACTCCCCTTTGCTCGCTTTTCTTCTCATTCCCAACTCTGTTCTGCACCGCTCATGGGGGAAATTCATCTTCTCCGCTTCAGGTGCGAAAAAGTTTCCAAATTTGGTCCTGTTTCGACTTCCAGATAACATTTCGTGTGTTAGGATTCTTAGTGATTTTTACCAAGTTGGAATCTTTGATGAGTTCACGATTTGCCCTCTTCCAGAATAGCTGAACTGGCCTTCAATTGACCTTGTTTCCGTTGCTGTTTGTTGGGCACGATTAATAAATGGGTATCTTGAACTGATTGTTTACAGATCTTCTAGTTGGCTACTTCATATACAAGATTTTGAAGCAACGTAAGGTGGCTGAGGATCTATGCTTATACTCAGTAATGGTATGGCTCCTCAATCCATTTACCTTCACCATTGGAACCCGTGGGAACTGTGAGCCCATTGTTTGTGCCATGATTTTGTGGATCCTTATCTGTCTGATGAATGGTATTATTTCTTACTTCTGTATTCCTGTCTCCACATTTCAATTGCATAATCAAAGTTATGTTTTTGGAAATGTGTCTCTGCTCTGTTGGGCCTGTTTTAATCGCATCGGTAGCCCTCCTGCTGCATAATTTTGTGTTTTTTCACCTGTTAGTCGTAGTAACTTATCCGAGTTAATGGAATACCCTCAAGTTATCGTCATGTTCGTGGTTGATATAGAGCAAAACTGATTTAAGTTTGGTCTTCTAGGTTGATCCTCTTATGGTGCCTTAGATATCTTGTAGCTTAATATTGATCCAGCATTTAGGTTTGACCTACATTTCAGTTATAGGGCTTGTTAGTGCAGCACACAGCAGTGATATTCTAATTCTTCCTTCATTTTGCTGCATCTTAATTCGGTTACTGTACAGGTAAAATAATCCAAGCAGCAGTTTGGTATGGACTTGTAGTCCATTTCAGAATCTATCCAATAATCTATGCCCTGCCAATCATTTTGGTCCTTGATCCACGTTACGTCCAACTGGGAAAGAAGCCTCTCCTTGTGAACTGGAAATCAAACGCCCAAAGGCCATCATCCCAAAGCAGCATGGAAGCATCCACCCGATACAACCTATGGACAGCAGCAAAATCCATGTTTTCCAAAGAGCGAGTACTATTCGGTCTAGTCTCTGGAGGCATCTTCTTCCTATGCACCGGGCTTTTCTTCCATCTATACCAATGGGAATTCTTGAACGAAGCGCTGTTGTACCACCTCACTCGTGCAGATCCAAGGCACAACTTCTCCATCTACTTCTACCACATCTATCTCCAGTATGGTCACCAGCTTTCCCCGATCGAAAAGCTCATCTCTTTCTTGCCTCAGTCGATCGTGCAACTAGTTCTCATATCAAGCTTCGCCCAAGATCTCCCCTTCTGTTTCTTCCTGCAGACGGTGGCGTTTGTAGCATTCAACAAGGTAATCACAGCGCAGTATTTCGTCTGGTTCTTTTGCCTTCTGCCTTTAATCTTGCCGTGGAGCGATATGAAGCTGAGATGGGAAGGGTTGGGTTGTGTCGGGTTGTGGATGGGAGCTCAATTGCATTGGCTTCTGTGGGGTTACTTACTCGAGTTCAAAGGCCAGAATGTATTCCTTCAGCTTTGGATGGCGAGCTTGGTTTTCCTTTTGGCGAATGCTTCCGTGATGACTGTGTTCATCCGACTGCAGAGGTTTTCTCCCATCTTTCTGCAGATCAATGTGACAGATCCCAAAAGCGGAGTCAAATCCGAGTGAACCCGATGTTGATTTGGTGCCAGGAGGCCAGTTGAACCTTTGTAGACAGTACTGTGAAGTTGGGAGGATTTTTCGCCTTCTGCAATATTTCCACTCTCGCAAAGTTGGGCAGTTTGTCCAACGTGTAAACTCATTCTATCACATGTATGTCTTTCTTCCTGTTCAATCCACATCATCAATCACTTCCACATACTTGAGAGACTACGAGGCTGCTGATGTGGCTAGATGCTGATAAAATATCACCATCAGCTGCCCACGTCAGCTCCACAAACGGCACCTCTCCGTACACCTATCTGGTATTTGCAGTGGCAAAACCCAAATCAGTGCATATCTGCTGGATCAGCCGGCCCAATCATATGCATTGAATTCCAAGTGCTGATAGTTCATTGCAATCCGCTTTTGATTTCATATTCAGAATGCAATTGCAGGTTGCTGACGCTGATGATCTTAATTTTTTTTTTTTTGACAAAGGGATCACTTATATTGCTCAACTAATAAAATCGGTTACAAAGAGGGGATACAACATGAGAAAACAAATCAAAAAAGAACAACCTCAACATCTAGAGGAACACACAAACCAACGAGGGGAAGAACAGAACAAGAGAAAGCCAAGCATGATCCAACTAGACAAGGGCATTCTATTCTTGAACCGCAAACCAAAGCATCTGAATCACTCTTTGCAACCTCATTTATCAGAAAAACTCAAAGGAAAGCTTCAGCTCATCCAATACAGCAATGACCATGATGATTGAACATTGCAACACCATATGCCGCCTCCTGGGAGTTGTTCGAAGACGACCCATCACAGTGAATCACCGAGGAGATTACATGGCGGTGGGCAGCACTATACAGGATTGTTCAGAGCTGAAACAAAGAGAGGGAGCCGGCAGCGGAAGCATCCATGACAAACCAGAGAGCAGGGAACACAAAGAGTTGAAATGCCCACAAAAACCACAAGAAAGAAGACCCACCAGCATGAGCCTCACCTGCAGAAACACAAGTGGCACAAGTGCCACTGTGTCACGAGAAGCTTATTAATGGCGGCTGGCGAGACAAAATCAAGCCAACCAGCTGCCAGGATTTACTAGTGTGTCTTTTTCGATAATGGGTTTCTGGGCAGAGTCTTATCCGCCGGAGTTCACAAGCATTTATAGCAGCTGAGAGTCAGATAAGCAAAAACGGTATCTTTAGCGTATCTAATATCCTGTTATTTATCTGCTAACCGTGATAACCACTAAACCACACATCAATAAAGAGATTAACCAAATGTATATATACACATACGTCAACATTGACCGTAAACTAATTAGCTTATCAAACTTAGCCTCAAGAGTGTTAGGTAGGTATTTGTGGTCCAGGACAGTCACCATGGTCAATTATTGAACCAGGTCATCTTATCAAGTTTTTGCGCAGTCGATTTAGGTTTAGATCATATACGAACAAACTCAGGTAAAATAAGCAAATCATTTTAACTGTCAGCAAGTTCTTTTTAGAGCATATTCGGGCTGACCTTGATTGGTCGAATTCAACATCAACCCACTTGGTTGATATACTCGATGTTTAGAACCGACTCGACGATCTCGACAATCACGGACCACACGACCGTTATCCCGTCACTAAAGAAAACTTAACATATTAACATGGAAAAATATTTCTAAATTAAGTCTAAGAAAATTGGAGGGTTTAGTTTCCATTGGCACCATGATGACAATGAATGATCAGGGGAGCTTTGGCAAGGGGCAACTCGATTGAATGGGTGGGCAAAGGAGAAAAAAAAAAGGAAGAGAAGTGTGAAATTGATGTTTGCTGTTGTCAATAGAACTGTGATGATATGTGTGGACAGAATGAATGAATATGCACTATTGCCATCCAACAATGGAATTGGAAAGAGATTTGCAAATGTGCAAACTAGTGAATAACACATCATTCTGTTTAACCAAAGTACCAAACCCCAAAAAAAGAAAAGTCAAGATTGTCATGCTCCCCTAACTCCTGATCTGATCCCTCTGTCTGTCTTCCTCACCAAATGAGCTTTCAGAAAGAGAGAGAGAGAGTTACCACTTTGACAAATCTCCTTGCAATTATAGCAGGACGATTTTGCTGCAAACCCTAATGGAGAGTCTTATCGATCAATTTTCGGCACCTTAATTTGTTATATGATGGTCAGTTGGTCACTAACACAAGTAGTTGTACTTTTCTTGTTTGGCATCTAGTCCATTATATGGCTAACCTCATTGTGGACAGTTCTGGACAGTTATTCATTATTGCAATAAAAATGCGTTTCTTTATGGTGACCGATAATGCTATGAATGTTACTAAATTGGTTAAACTTTTCAATCTACCTTTGTGCCCGATATTGAAATTAATTTTGTTGGTTTTAACTTGAGACCTTTGTTCGAACTATATGGTGGAACCATTGGTCATCTTTGGATCACTTGGTTGTGTGTGATGTATAGGATGGAAGGTCGTAAAGGAGATTTTTCTTTTTCTTTGGAACTAAATAGTCCGTTAGTTGATTTTTCTTTTTCTTTGGTAACAATTTGAAGGTCAAAAATATATACCCGTATCACGGGTAGCAAGATCAAATCATAGTAAATCAAAATGAATGAAATGAAATAGTAAACATATATACTACGGTAATCACTAATCAACAAAATATACTCACTCTTTCTTCTGTAAATATGAAAAGTACAAACTCCTCGACTTTCAGAGAGTAATCAAACACAAAATTATGCGTGATTAGATGATATTGTTTCACCATACATGCTTTGTATTTCATTTTGTTCTTTTTTATACAATGTCCACTTAATAAAGTCAAACTTACCATATCCATATAAAAAAAGGGAAACAAGAACATTCTTCTTACTTGAGAAAAAAAGAAATCAACCAACAATCACAATGTATTGTATATTAAGAGTCAAAGTCAATGTATTTGGAGTTTAGACCAAGTTACTATAATTGAACCAAGATTTATATAATTAAATGTCCGTAATTTTTTTTTCTTAAATGGATAAGTTACAGGCGTGGGAAAAAATCCAAAAGTACCATTGTTAAAAAAAAATTCCAAAAATACCACCCAACCCCAAAAAATTCCAAAAATACCACCTTTTTAAAAAACCACCACCCGACCCTGCGGTTTACACGAAAACCGCTGGGCGGGGGCACGGTTTTCTATGCAAACCGCTGGGCTAAGGGGCAGTTATAAAAACCGGACCAAACTGCTGGGTGGGTCGGCGGTTTGGGCCAAACCGCCACCCCATCCAGCGGTTTGGTCCAAATTTTTTTTTCCGATCAACTCCTAACTTCGGTCGAAACTTCAAACGAACATAACTTTGCACTCGGATTCAATAATGAGAATGAACTAACTGTGATTAAGACAGAAATTTTGATTAAATTAATGTGCCCCTCAAAATCACATTATACTTCTTTTGTCCTAACCAAAGCTTTCAATAATATTTCAAACAAGAAGGAAATTTGTTTAATAATTACGGAGCCTGAATGCAGCTGCAGCGGTTTGGTCCGGTTTTTATAACCGCCCCTTAGCCCAGCGGTTTGCATAGAAAATCGTACCCCCGTCCAGCGGTTTTCGTGTAAACCGCAGGGTCGGGTGGCGGTTTTTGAAAAAGGGTGGTATTTTTTGGAATTTTTTGGGGTTGGGTGGTATTTTTGGATTTTTTTTTTAAACAGTGGTATTTATGGAAAAAAGTCTGATTAAGTAAGGGAAGGAGAATGAGAAACAATACGACGTTCAAAGCTAACACCCATCATATCATCTCTAATAATCGAAGCTAGCCCGGATGGTGGGTGTGCAAGCTCATACATACCATAGGGATAGACGAGACTGTGCTTCGAGAGCCAGTCCGCGACTCTATTCCCTTCCCAGTATGTATGAGTGATGCTAACCAACCAGTCTTGACTAAGCTTCCTGCGAATCGCCGCCAGAATCGTGGAGTGAGGGTGAAGTGGATCATGCCTATTCTTGAGTAATTGAATAGCTAACTTCGAATCAGACTGAACCACAATGACGCGATGCCCACTCCTCTAAGCTATGTCTTGTCCATGAAAGAATGCCCACAGCTCCGCTAGCACAGCCGTTGCGTGCCCAATGTTAGCCACAAAACCACCCAACCAATGTCCATAGGAGTCTCGCAGTAGACCACCAGCTCCTGCATGTCCCGGGTTTCCATTGGAGGCGCCATCAATATTTAAAGCCACCCATCCAAACTGAGGAGCCTTCCAGCTCACCTCGGCTAGAACTCGGTTCGGAGGGTGGTTTCTCGTACCCGGTAGAGCTGCAGCTGCATTCCAGGCTCCGTAATTATTAAACAAATTTCCTTCTTGTTTGAAATATTATTGAAAGCTTTGGTTAGGACAAAAGAAGTATAATGTGATTTTGAGGGGCACATTAATTTAATCAAAATTTCTGTCTTAATCACAGTTAGTTCATTCTCATTATTGAGAAAACCTACATATCCAAACCAAATCGACACACCATTAAAGCATAAATTGATGAGCTGCCGACAACAAAGATACAAAATTATTAATAATAATAATAATAATAATAATAATAAACTGTGAATTATTACTACTTGTTTTTTATAAATTGGGCATTGTCATCATTACTACATTCTAGCCGTATCAAGTAGAAAATCCAAAATCAAATTGTATATAGATACGGTATAGAAACGACTCTTGAAAATTTGATGGCAATTAAGTCTTGGTGTCCAAATTCCACAAGAGAAGTGAGGTGGGTGGTGGTGGTGACGGCGGCGGCGGCGCGGGCTTGTGGGCGGTGACCGGTGATGATGACGGTGGTGGAGCCACAAGGCACAGCAGGTGCGACATCCCATAATTCTACTCTTACCTTTCTTCTTGCAAATTTCTAGACATGAGATTATGAGATTCTTTAGTTTTGAATTTATGTTGGGATTTTTGGCAATGCATAATATGGGAAAGTTTAAGAAATCATGTAGTCTATAAGTTGGGATTGTGATCATTTGTGTAATAATAGAATGCAATATGTTCATTTGCAAGGGTTATGGTGTTAACACTTAACATGTAATCTAACATTGCATGAAAGTCAAATAATATGATTTTTTTCCTTCAAAACACTGAAACAAGAGATGTGGTGTACCGAATTTGTGTGGTTTAGACACTCAAGTGGGCGAAATACGTGCTCACCAAGCGACCTGCTATAGGATTTGAAGATAAATATTCGAGGTGAAAAAAATTTAATGCCTTTATCGGCTTACTTTGGCATAGGACGACAAATCCTTATCCTCAAGCAACAATTAATCTACTCGAATGATTAAGACAAAGACGAAATTGTTGTAACGATATTCGCTAAGAAAGTTACATGAAAAATCTATGGTTGTCAATACATGAATCCATAACCTATTAAATCCAAATCCTTTACCGGCCTACTTGGAATGTCACAGAGAAGAAACCCCGATTCCTATAAATACCAAACAAATCTATTAGTCGAACCATTAAGACATAGACACAATCATCTTAATGATGTCCACCGAGCTGAGTTACACTCCGACGTGATAATTTCCACAACTCGAACATAAAACCTCTCGAGTTCAAATTCGCGCACTCATCACGATGGTCGGAGCATGGAGGGTTAAATTTTTGGGACCCTTGAAGTCTCTTTCATTTTAACCGATTAGTGTGTTCGTGAGTGATTGGGTGAGTGTTGCTTTGTGGGTTAGTCATGATTTGTAGTTATGTGCTAAATTGGATTATATATGTTTTGGACGGACAGCAAAATCCAAAGGGTGGACCAAAAAAGATTTCTCCATCAATAATATTGTGTAGAAAAGAAGGGGATGAAATCATCACTAATTTCTAACCAAACTACAAAAACAAAAAGAAAAGTGGGGGCTGAAAAAGATTAGGGAAGATCATCATCATCATCATCATTCATCAAAGATCATGGCGATGGATGGATCGATCGAGTACGATACAAAGAAGTCCACCACTACAGATTCTCCACCATTACTACGTACTACTTCATCTCTATCCAGTGGCGCCAGAAATTTTACATAAGGGTGTCCTCTTTTAAAAAATAAATTAAATACAAATAATTCTAAAAGAATTAATAAAAAATAAATAATATTTAAATAAGAAATACTTTACTCATATAATTTGAAAAAATTCACAATGTGTTTTCATATTAAAAAATGATTGTAGAACACACTTGGGGGTCAACACTATTAAAAAAAAATTGTCTCTGTATATCATATTAGACAATCATTCACGAACTGATCACATATTCAATTTCTAAACTTGAATTACCCAAACTACGACTTAATTTCTCATACTCAAACTAAAAGATGAGAGTAGGATAATCACTTTTTTAAAATTTAGGGGTGTCCCCGACTATCAATTATATTTTTTTTTGTCAATACGTAAATAACTACCAGGGGTTGGATAATCGTTTTCCCAAAATTTAGGGGTGTCCGGGGACACCCCTAAACACCCGTGGGTCCGCCCCTGTCTCTATCTGCGCTAGTGGGGAATTGTAATGTGGTCAAATCTTTCACACTAAATGAGAGAGATTTGAAGGAGGTAGAGGTAGAGGTAGAGGTTGAGATGCATACCGAAGAGAATTGAACATAGAATCAGGAACTGAATGCACCAAAACAACGCGATATGATTCCATTTAGAGCATCGAATTAGGAATTGCAACATGATCAGATTGAATCATGTATGATTCATCTCAAACTTAAATCAAAATTTTTAAAATAAAACTCGAAGTACTCCAAATTGGGACCTTAAAACTGATTTGGAGCGACCTGATAATAGATTTTGATAGAGAACTAACTGCTAGCATGATCGGTATCAAATCAGCTATACTACGATGGATCCTCGAACTTAGATCCCAGCGATTAACATGAACCATGATTCCTTGAGTCCATGACCCATATCCAAATTCAAGTTACAATAGAACATTGATCCATTCTGAAGTAGATAGAATGTTGGAACCCTTGTTGGGTATGGATACAAAAAGGTTAATTATCATATATATATGGCCTATTTAATTTGAATGTGCATGGAGTATGGACCGATCTCTTTTTTTTTGGTAGAAGACAGGTGCAAACAGCACCCTAGATCATCTCATTAACCTCACGACAACAGGAAATACCCATGTTGTCGTAAAATAACCAATAACAAAGGTTCGGGTCGCTCACATTGAAGAGATGTGAGCCAAAAGAGAGGGAGTGACCCTTGTTCGAAAGGAAATCAGCTGCAAAATTACATTCACGGAATATATGCTTCATTTCAACATTCCATTCCCTACTAAGTAACTCCCCAAAATAATCAGCAATAGCTCCATGGCAGAGATCAGTCTGATCCCTGTTTCTGATGATGTTGAGAGCAGTGGTTGAGTCAAGATTGAGCTCAACTCTTCTGTGGCCGAGCTTCCAAGCCATTTCCAGGCCTTCCACTGCTGCCCTCAACTCGGCTCTTGTGATTGAGCAAGCCCCAAGATTGGAAGAAAACGCCCCTAGACATCTGCCAAGGTGATCTCGAAGAAGTCCACCTGCAGCAGCACGACCTTATGGACCGATCTCTAATGATGTGCAATGCCTTGAAAACAAGTATTTTTTATATATATAATATCTCATTTGATTGAGTAGAACTTACTCCTTTCCTAGTACATTGATAATAGCAGAAATATATATAACAATTATCTATTTATATATATGTTTATTCTACAAGCAAAGGTTGTCTGTCTGCAGGTATAAAACAAGGACACCTTCATGCGTTTCTGTGGAAGGAATCTTTTGCTATTTACCACAAATATTGTGATTTTTTTATCAAATTACCACAGAAATAAAAAGGTTTAATCATGAACTTTTTTTTCACCACATACCAAAGAGGAGTAGCAAACCCCAAAAAAAGAAACATATCCCTTTCATGTGTCCCCAACTGGGGCTATGCATATCCTTTTTATGCATCATTTATCATCACACAAATTTTATCTTTTTACTTTTGCTATTTTCTAAAATTATTTATCTTCTCAAGGCATCCCTTGCAAACTTGTATTATGTTTTTCGAGTTTTATACCTAGAAGATTATATACTTTTATCCATCAAAATCATTTTATATATACTTTTCGCTTATTCTTGATCGACCCTTATTCACATTGACTAGGGGTGGACATTCGGTCGGTTCGGTTAAAATCGAACCGAAATTGTGAAGCTACTTGTATTTTATCACTTTTAAATTATTTTTCACCCCTAATATAAACAATAAATATCAATTATATGCATCATCAATGATAAAATCAAATTTTTCAACACATAAGTCATAAAACATTTCAAATATTTAAGTCTAAAAACAACTACAAACATAAAAATCCATCATTTGGAGCTTGCAATTATAGTATTTCGGTTTTTCGGTCGGAAATTTGGAAATTCGGTTCGGTTGAAAGAACCTTGGTTTCCGAACTATCCATATTTTCCTTCCGAATTCCAAACCGAATAGCATTAATTCGGTTTCGGTTTGGTTTAATTTGGTTTCGGTTCGGTTCCATCACATGTCTGAATTGTTTCTCTTCCTTTCATGACCGAACTGATTGCACTTGCATCACGGTACAACTAAATCACACCACATAAACACAAAATAAGGAACAATATTACATTCAATATATCGTTAAATTGTGTTTGCAAGATTCCTTTGTCACACAAGATCTTGTACAAAAGATACTAAATAAGAGAGACAGATCTCGATATTTGAACTCACTCTTCCACAAGATCTTGTGTAACACTCTTACTCTTGGATTCAGGTTGAAAGTTTTTAATTCAAACGATTGAACCATCAACCTCACCTGAAAATGATCTCATATTTGAAGTCACCCAACCCACAAAAATTCCTTCAAATATAACCATTCACACCAATAGAAAAAGGTTAAAATAATAAAATACAAGCCGTTACCAGCTTTTCGGATAGAATATGCAGTCCACTAGGGCTATAAAAAAAAGTTTCTTTAATACATTTTTCTTTTTCTCCTTCTACCACAACAACAAAAGAAAAATTAATACGAAGCTTGGAATTTCTACTTGACCATATGAAAAACTTTAAGAACACTTTAGCAACTTACTTACCCACCCATGTGACATACGGCTTTAAACCCCAAAAATAATCCATAATCAAGTTTATTTAAATCGTTGTTAAGCCATCACATGCTTGTTTACTTACAGAAAAGAATGGAATTATTATAAATATAATCAAGCTGATATACGTACGAACCCTTTTTCCTTATTATTAAAGAATTCACCACCCGACTATATGTTTGAATGGAAACTGCAGTAAACAAGGCATGCATGTCAGTCAGGCAACACCAAAACCATAACCCACACAGATTAATCAAACATTAAACTCCAAGGTAATATTATTATTATCAAAGTACGCAGAGCAAGAAAAGAATGGAGAGTCCACAGAATTTGCAGAGGAATAACATAAAAGAGAGTGTCGTGTAAAGACTAAAGACAACAGAGATCAAAGAACTAAACATTTAATTATTATCACCGTTGTTGCGATGGAAAGTGACGACAATACATGAAAATCAAGCTACACAGATTTATATGGTTCACTAACACGACATGTTAACTAATTAGCGGAGATATAAAGAGATCAATTTTACTATACTAATATGCATAGGACTAAATTGCATGCTCTTTAAAACTTAAATGCTTACGCTTTTACGCTTCTAGTTCACCAAAACCCTAATTCCGACTTTAAATCATAGCACCGTTGTTATTATAATATAATATTATTGTCTGGTGTAGTCCTATGCATATTAGGGGTACAAATGAGTTATTAAGGGCACATCATGAATCCAACCATATGGGGGTTAGGGCACAAAAACCATGGCAGCAGCAGCTAGCTAGCTTAGCTGGTTGCAGAAACCAGTGTAGTGGTCTCTTCTCTGGGGAACTTTATTAGTGGAATTCATCAATTGAAGGTCTGAATATATCGAAAACGGGAAATGCCATTGCCAATGAGATAGCTAGGAAGAGGTTGGGGGACTCCTTATTCCCTAGGAAATGGGGAACAATGGAAGTGTAGTGTAGTTTTATGGGCTCAAAGATAGTTGGGATGTGTTCATATTCCTCTTTTTCACCCCCCACGATACTGTCCCCCAATTAGTGCAAGGGAGACTGAGAGTAACATTGGAGGACAATTACAGAAATGGTCACTCAACTTTGAGGCGCCGATAGATCGCGGTTTTTAGTTTGTGCCCTGCTGGTAGATTTTTAATTCAAATTATCTAAGCTTCGTACATCAAATCACTCAAATTATTGAGGAAAAGAAACACGGAGCCTCGTTTTGTTTTGTGGAATCACTCATTGCGCGGGGGGGGGGGGGGGGGGGGGGGGGGGGGGGGGGGGGGATCAAACGTCGCCCCAAGCACATGTGAGTAGCATAAGCGAGTTGCACCAATTGACCATCTAATTAGATACCAGGCTGAGTTTAGGGGCGCTGTGGAAGTTCTTCAGGTGGCGTGGGAGCAAGGACATAGACGTGTTTGAGTGCAGCTCGACTCCTGGGCAATGTGCTGTCCAGCTCATTCAGCAGCCGCAGTCCGTGGACCACCATTGCGGAGCGATCCTTGATCGATTTAGGGGTCTTTTTGTCGAGACCCTGGGAGGTTACTATTGGGAATATTTATCGAGAGGGTAATTGATTGTTGTGCTGATTATTTAGCTAGTAGGGGGCCATGTTCTACCATTTGGCTTCTATGAGGTTGCGAGTTATGATCCGCTACTTTATTATTGGACCATGTATGACTGTCAGACGATTTCCGAACCCCGGTTGATTTTGAATGAAAGGTAAGATGTAGTTGCATCCATTATTAAAAAAAATAATTGAATTAGGGCTAAGTAACCTGTTTCATTTAGGTTGTATAAGTGAAATTAACTTGTCAAGGTCATCTAATATGTGGACATGTATGTGATAGTTTTATTATTAATTGGACAGTTTGTTAAAAAAAATGATAGAGATGTCCGGAACGAGTATTGTGTTAGTTACCTAAAACCTCAATAGTAAGTTTGCTAACTAATTGAAGTTCAGCTATCAATCTGTTTGTCACTCCAAAGACCATTGATGATCATTTGTGTAATTGACCAAAGTGACATATGAGAATGACGAAAAAGCTGGAGAATGATAATTTCCTTGAAGAAATTACCGCTCCACTCGAATTCCACCATGGACATGTAAGGAAAAGGAAAGAAGGAGAAGAATAAGAGGGGATAAAAATGACTTCTCAACTTCTGGGAATCTTTGTCTTCTGATCAACAGACAATGTGCCCGTTTTGAAGCATTAGTACTATTTCAGGTTGTAGTTTTCATTGATAAACTTAAACATACTTGTATTCTTTTTTGTTTTGTTATGGTTCTTAAATTATTATGGCATTTGGTATGGGGGACTATTAGCAATACAGCCAATACTATCATGGTGCCAAGACTTATTAAATTACATAATGTATTAATATAATGACATATGTTCCAAAATGAAACAAAAACAATGAAACACGAGATATCATGTAATATAAAAATCACGAGATAAATTAGTTCTAGTTATTGTCAAAGGACCCCTAAAACGGTTAAATCTCTCATGAAAAGGAACGACAATCGACTCTCATCCCATACAACCATCACACAAAATAATCCCTGTTAGTTCGAGTCTATTATGGTACGAGTTGCTTCATACTTATCAAGTTTAACGAAAAATATCCGACCAAAATACATAAAATTGCATTGAAATAAAATGATATTTATATCCCCTTTATATTATTATTATTTTGTGGAATAAGAAAAAGTAGTGGGTAGCCGAGATACAATTTGAACCCCCAGTCCCTTAGTTATGGCAAAACTAAATCTGATAAAAATGATAATAATAAAATTTTATATAGAAATCATTAGAAATGATAATAATAAAATTTTATATAGAAATCACAATTGATTACATCCAATTTGATCCAATTTCAATAGGTTCTGTTTACAGTAACTTATACAATCCAATACCTTGTAAACCAACAGTTCAACGGCTCAATTTCTTATCAAGAAAAGGAGAGGATTAAGACTCCTAAACAAATCACTTGTTTGTGTCTTTCCTTGCTGGAATATCCAATCCATGAAAAAGATGCATTCATAACCAAAATTAAACAGTGAGTCAAATATATAGTTGATGATGATTTGTCCTTTGAAATTTTTTTTCCATCCCTTCACTTTCTATGAGTCATCATGGACACTCACTCATTCCATCATTCCATGCCCTCTAGAGAACAATAATATTGCTCCAATTTCCATCATCCCCCCTTATTTGAACCATCCACGTCCCCAATTCTTTTTATGTGAATGTACTCAATCAATCCTTTATTTTGGTGGGAGAGTGCATTACTTACTCTACTTATGACAACATTGATGCATAACAAGCCTTTCAAAACCAAAGAGCACCGTTGATGTGACTTGAATCGGACTATCAGCCGCTACGACTGGTAGTCGGGGGTCTCGCTGCCCGGTCAGCGAGTGGGGTCCAGGGGCAACGCCCCGGTGGGGGTGCGGGGGCAATGCCTCCGGCCCGCGGTGTATGAGCTCAATGTTATTTGGGTTAGGGTTCTAGACCTGGTCTGTAACCGTTTCTTTTGCCAGATTGGATTAGGTTTAGACCCACATGGAGAAGTACTATAAATACTTCTCATACTCCTCTGTAATCTGTAATCTCCTCGATATAGTGAAACTGGCTCTCTCTCGCCCGTGGACTAGCTAACACACATCGTGTTAGTGAACCACGTAAATCGTGTGTCTGTGTTTTTTTTATTCTCGCTTTCGTATTCTTGCTTTATCGATTCCGGCGATTTTCCGATCCGTAGCAGCGCGTTTATAACAAGCACGTACCTAAAACCATATGTTCCAGATACATATATCTTGCAGTGATCGTGGTTGGCGTGTCAACAAATGTGTCATTCGTCTCTGGTTTATGATAGTATAAACGAAACGCTTGTTCGACATTCTCTTGAGCATGAGATAGCGAATCTCTGTCATGAGGGCTACTCAAGCACGAAAAAATCAACGAGAAAGGATCTCCTATGTGTCTACACCGATTGATCAATGTCCAAAGAGGATGCACTCGGCCTTCCTTTTGGCCAATGTCTAGTATATACTCATATAAAAGAGGAAATAGATATTATGAGTCCTAAAAAATGAAATCCCTTATAATAGAAGTGACTCAAAAAGAAGTCAGAACGGAGTATTACAACTAAAAATCAAAACGATGTGCACGCAACCATCCTTTTGGCGTTAATATGTAGTTATTGAACAACTACACATTTACGGCAAAAGCAGGAACTTGATAAAAACTTTGGTTAAGAGACTGATTTTATGCATATGATTATGGTCGCTCATTATCATGATTTGTGACGAAAAACTCCAAACATCTTTCAAATGTCTTTTGTTAATTAGAGAGGAACAAATGAAGGGTAAAACGGTCAATCCAAACTTATGACGTCAGTAGGACAGCAACCCGCACTAGCAAGAAAACAACTAACCAATTGTCCAATTCCCCATCTCACAGTGGCATATCGTCGTAATTTCATCTCAACTCCAGCCCCTTTTCCAAAACCTAACCTCCCCCACCTTTCCAAATTAAAATTTTAATTTCAATTTCATTTTTCGTTTTAATTTGGGGGGTCTGCGTTTGTCGTCTCCTGCTTTTATCGTTTGTGGCGCACTTTAACTTAAAGTAAAAAAAATTAAAAAATCACTTCCCTCTCTCTCTCTCTCTCTCTCACTATCTCTGCATCAAAAGGAGAAAGACAGAATATTTAGCATTTAGCAGCAAGAGAGAGCTCTCAAGCTGAGCGAAAGAGAGAAAGAAAGACAGCGAAACAAACCAAAATCCTGAAATCCCCCCATCCTTTTCTTCTGCTTCCACCCCTCAAACTTCCTCACTAGCCAATTTCACCGAGAGTGAAAAATGGAGCAGATTAAGGCCACCTTCAAGCAGGAAGCTTGTGGGATAATTTAGGGCTGGCTCTGTTTTTCAGCTCGAGTGTCCAGCATCCCCTTTTCCGAAGGCGATTCTGAGCTTTCTGGGTTGTGTTTTTGTTCGGGTTTCTAGTTCTTCTTCCATTTTCTGATGGGTTGCCTGAGAAAGATCGTACGGAACTTGGATCCAGAGAGGAAAAGGAGCGGTGGGCTCAGGACTAAGCAGGCGGGAAGAGGGTCGTGTCGTGGTAGTTAGCAGCGAGGAAGAAGAAGAGAAGCAAGTGGGAATGCTGAAAGTTCGTCTCTTTTTATTCTGGCAAAGTAAATTATTCACTCTAGTTGCTGGTGGTGTAGTCCGATTTAGAGGTTGATAGCTGCTCTGTTTTTTTGGGAAGAAACTAATTCTGGTAGTTGTATTGAGCTGCCATGGGTGTTCTGTTGAGAGAAGTCTTGAGGCTGCTCTGCGGCGTCAATCACTGGTCTTATGCTGTGTTTTGGAAGATTGGCTACCAGAATCCTAAGTAAGTGTGCTGCTTTGAAAGTTGGGTCTTTTTCTAATTTTTACTTCTGCAGTTTTGTTTCATCTGGTTTGTTTGGTTGCTGGGGAAATGGAGGTATATGGAATAAAGCTTAAAAAAAAGTGGAAAGAAAGCAGCTTTTTATGAGTCCTGTGATGATAATTAGAGCTTGCTTTTCATACTTGATGTTCACTCAACTTGGCTAGGCTAAGCAGCTTGTAGTGTTGATTGAACTATGATCCATTTAGGTTCTGTTTAGAATCATTCCAATTTTCTTCTTGGTAGCCGAGAAAATTGAAGGGAAAGCTAGATAAGGTATTATGTGCCCTTTTTTAAATACTTTTTGCGTTCTTAATCCTTTTTTGGTACTTCGATATGGTTGTTAATTAAGTTAAATGGCTGGCTCTACCGCCCATATAGTGGAAGGGGATCTCAGAACCTAAAAAGTATTAGCCATACTTGCCTTTATCTTTTCATATGCTTTCTTAGCCACCAAACTAAGATCTGATTCACATAACAAGGATTCAACTCTTTGACATGTTGCAGAAAAGACTGTAGCTTTAGGTTATATAATAAAATGTGAAACAAAAACCTCTTCTTTGGGGGAAGAAAATACATAATAATTTTCTTTCTGACTTTTTTCTCAGCGACCAAACGGAGATATTCTGTGTTTAGTCATCATCTCTTGTCAAGTAGCTCAATTTTTCAGCCTCTCCCGGGCTGTGCTAGCCTGGCTTCTACCTACAAACATGTTTCAATGATAATTAAAAAAATAAATTAAAAAAATAAATAAGAGAGAAACAAGAAACAAGTCTCTTTAGTTGGGGTATTTTGGTCTTTGAGAGAGATGGTTTCTAGGTCTGATTTGGCTACTGTTGTCTTTATCAATTTTCTCCTCTTTCTACTTCACCAGATTTGTTCTTTACTTTCTTTGTTTTTCTGCCTTTCCCCTTTGGAACTTTGTGTTATGGTTTTATTCCCTTTTGTCTTTAAGAATATTATGTGGAAAAGTGGATTTGGTTTTAACTTTGGCCTGACTGACCCCTCCTCCCTGTTTAGATTGATTTCCTGTAGTTAGATCCACCTCCCACTTTGTGCTTTATTTCTAAATTGGCTGCATTTCTAGTTTCATCAGCGGTGATTATTCTGCAAATAAGTTGTTCTGTGTGTCTTGCTTATAGGTCCCTTAGAAAATGTAGTATAAGAAAATGTAATTATGGTTCTCACTTCTGCTCTCAATCTGCAGGTTGTTAATATGGGAAGATTCGTACCATGACTCTGTATCGTCAAACAAGCCTGTCTCTTCCTTTGGAGAATGGGAAGGTTTTTGTGGTACTGATGCTCAATCCTCAATGCTTGGGCTTCAAACTGGTGGTAGTGGTGTGCATTTTCTTGTAAACAAGATGATGATGGGTAATCAGGTTATCATAGTGGGAGAAGGGTATGCCTTAGTTTTCTTCTTATTCTGACTTCCATCCACATTTCCCTTTTTCAATACAATACAGTTCGGTGAAACTCTTACGAATATGTGACATATTGTGCTTTATGGTGACCAGAATTGTGGGTCGAGCTGCATTTACGGGCAACCATGATTGGATTCTTGCCAACAATTACACAGGACACTCTCATCCTCCGGAGGTAATATTAAGTCACTGTCTTTGTTGTTCCTTTAAGCATGAAATGGTACTGAATAAAGATGGGGCATTTAATATCTGTGGATGGCTATATGTGGTATATATTGGTGCTAATGCTCAGTGTCTAGTACTCGAAATGTAATTCCGTTCATCTTTGTGTCTCCTTCCAGGTTGTTAATGAGATACGCCACCAGTTTTCTGCTGGAATGCAGGTCTTGATAACTTTCAGTTGTTTTGTTACTTTTTCCTGGTAATTTGTGGTATTTTTTATTCCTTAAGAGAATCCTTTTCTTATTTGCAGACTATAGCAGTTATTCCTATTTGTCCTCATGGCGTGGTGCAGCTTGGTTCCTCCTTATCTGTAAGTCTTATTTCTTATTTATTGTGTACTATATAACTCGATAGAAGATCTTTCCCCATGCTAGGTTGTTCAACTGTCTATACTGCTAGTCCAATCTAAGTTGTATCTCATGTGTCTACGTTTGTTTCTCCAGATTTCAGAAAACTCGGGATTTGTGAATAGTGTTAAGAGTTTGATCCTGCGACTAGGATGCGTACCTGGAGCACTTCTGTCTGATAACCATGAAGAAAAGGACTTGACTGGAAGAATTGGGACACCTATTCCTTTCGGACAGCCTATTTCCCCACATTTGTCGAAGGTCCCAACTCCCACTTCTTTGCCGAGTGAAACTTTGAAAATGCAAAGTTTCTCGTCATCGCAATCTTCAAAAGTTCCCTCTCATCCCCAACTTGGACAATGCCAGGATAATCTAAAGTATCCTGCTGCTTCCATAATTTGTGGTCCAAATCTAACTGACGGAGTAGCTCAAGTGATTCCCCCAACTCCTGAACCGTTGTTAAACCACCACCGTGCAGCAAATTTCAGTTCCATGACTGGATTTCATCATCTTACTACTGGTCGTTCTGATACCAGCAACCCTGTGTTACCATTACCGGCACAGCAGATAGTGCTAGAATCTGGTGGCCCATCTCATTTTGGCAATACCAAGAATCCATCTGACAGCTTTTCTTTGATGAGAAGAAAGGGGAATGAAAATCTTAATTCTAGTGGAGTACCTGGGAAGGTACACACTTCAACTCCTTGTTTGTCCATCAATTCATCAAATGTGGGGAGACTTGCTTCAACAACACTGGTGGATCAACTAAGTAATGGTGACAGTGGTATGCTTGGCGATGATTCTGATTGCAGATTCAACCCTGCCACGAATTTTAATCATGGTGGCATTACATCACAAGCAACAATGCAGAAGAAGATGGATAGTGATCTGTTTCAAGCTTTGAACCTGCAGTCAATCCAACTAACTGGGCATCAAAGTGGAAGTCAAAATACAATAACAGTGAACAATGAGTTCACCAATCTATGTGCTGCTCAGCGTACGTCTGGAGATGACTTGTACGATATCTTGGGGGTGGATTTCCGGAATAAGCTATTGGGTGGCGAGTGGAACAATGTGATCACAGATGTGCCTCATCAAAAGTCTGAAACTTTGGTTGAAGATAAGAGAAGTTCTGATTTCTACAGCACTACCTTACCTGCAAGGGGTACTAGTGATCATCTTTTGGAAGCTGTGGTATCTAGGCCTCACTCTAGTGCAAAGCAGAACTCTGGTGATAGCAATTCCAGTAGAACGACCGTGACAAAGGCAAGCAGTCCTTCTGTTCCTAGTGGGCCTCGTATGTATGGCCCGGTTAGTGTGCCTGATTCGGTGAAAACGGAGACTTTTGACATTCCTGGAAGAGGTAGAACATCAATGGATGACATGATAAGTTGTTCTCAGACGACTTCAGTTTATGGATCTCAGCTGAGTTCACTTGGTAGCCATAGTGGGAGGCGGGACAATAGTGTATCAACAACTGGATTTTCGAAGAAGAATGAGGAATCAAGCAACAAAGCTAACCGTAAGCGGCTGAAGCCTGGAGAAAATCCTAGGCCTAGGCCCAAAGATCGCCAAATGATTCAAGATCGCGTGAAGGAGTTGCGGGACATTGTACCAAATGGAGCCAAGGTAACTTACTTTCGTTGTTATTATTATCCTTTTACTGCTTTTTGTTTCGTTGCATAACATGGAAATTTGACTCTTTTCTTTGGATGATAATGTGATTTGTTAACAGTGTAGCATTGATGCTCTTCTTGAACGCACCATTAAGCATATGCTTTTCCTGCAAAGTGTTACTAAACATGCCGACAAGCTCAAGCAAACTGCGGAGTCAAAGGTATTTTTTTGTAGCTTATATGTAAATCATTAACTTGAAATGCATGACAAATAGGTGGAAAATAGGGAGTCTAAGGTAATTTGTGGTTCAAACATGCAGTTCATTAAAAAAGATGGCGGAATACACTTAAAGGATAATTTTGAGGGAGGGGCAACATGGGCATTTGAAGTTGGGTCACAGTCTATGGTGTGTCCTATTGTCGTCGAGGATTTGAATCCGCCTCGTCAGATGCTTATCGAGGTAAATTGCTGATTTGGACTTGATCATGCATGGAGGTTTGCACCATTTTTCTGTTATCTGGCTTTTCTGATCATCTCCTTTCTTCTAATTGGCAGATGCTTTGTGAAGAACGAGGTTTCTTTCTGGAAATAGCTGAAATGATTAGAGGAATGGGGTTGACAATTTTGAAAGGCATCATGGAGGCTCGCAATGATAAGATATGGGCTCACTTTGTGGTGGAGGTAAATCTTTTGGATTCTACTAGCTACTTCCATTCCACAAGTTGTTCTGTTCTGAAGTGGCTGAATGAGTTCTTGGTGTGTGCATGGCAGGCAAACAGGGATGTAACGAGGATGGAAATCTTCGTGTCACTAGTTCATCATCTGCAACAAACCATAAAGCTAAGCAGCACACCATCAGCAAATGCCGTGGAGAACAGCAGCGATTTAATGGCGCAGCAGCACGGTTTCGCTCAGGCTGCTGCTTCCATCCCTGCAACCGGTGGGCTCATTAATTTACAGTGAAGAAACTGGGAAATTGTTAAGAGCAAGCGTTGGTCTTCGCTTGCCGTGACTAGCAGGACTTCCGGTCTAAATCTCTCTCGCTCTCTATCGGCGGCTCGTACATTTTGCTTGCTAACCTTCATTGCAGATGCCAATCGCGCGATCAAAACTGCTGTGGCTGATTGATGACTCGATCCTATTAGCGGAGGACGATGATTTGTGACAATGTAGGCGTGAAAGGATGTAGAATTTTGGTTTAGATTGATTGATTTTCATGGTTAATCCTTTTGTAAGCTGGTTTTGTTGGTAAGTGTGAGATATGTATATGAGGGGAACATAGGGTGGTGGTGGGCGGTTTAATGAAGGCGAGTCTTGTTTGGCAGGGACTTTTGCCCTCTTTCTGTTCTGTTGGTTTTTCTTGTAAGTTCTGTTGGTTTTTCTGCAGGTTGACAGTAATGACTAAACACTTGCCATGAGTGATCGAGCAAGGTGATAAGTGACTTGTTACAGAGCTGTCGATTAAACACTCAGTATCGAAATCACGCAAGGTGATAAGAGCATATATCGAGGGAGAAGGGTCCAACCTCTTGCCTCATGAGTCAAGATTACAGAATTAGATTATTGACCACCATGCAAGTTGCAACATGTTTCTTTTTGTGGGTGAGATCATTTTTCTCAAGAAACAAATAATCCTCTTGTCTGCGGTTGACATTCACATGACACATGGGACCAAAAACCGAACCATAATATACTTGGTTTGGTATGGTCTGATCTAAGCTAAGCGTCGATTTGGTGTGGTCCAATACGGACCAACCTGTTGCACAACCCTACTTAGGAGACAACTACATATTTGGGGTTACCATTATAACTGACGAGCCATCATCTTTTGTACCGAGTAGTTGATTATCATCTCGTTATGTGTGATCGTACAAAGCGGCAAAAGAATGGTCGTAGAGTGATAAGCTCGATCTATTTCCGAAGAAAAAGTGAACCTTAAGTCGAAGAGGAAATGTTAATGGGACTAGCTAGTAGATCGAGCATCGGATGCCATTAGTTCATTCCCAATTCACCAGCTATATATACATCTAACATCTTCAAGAACTGGAAATGCCCGACAATATGCGCATCCCAGCTGCTTCAATTCTTAGCGGTCTGCATTCCATCAAAACTGCCGTATTTGGTAACAACTGATCTCCCCCTCACATGCTGTATATAAACCATATATATGTAGTTTCGTGGATATGACTCGATTCCTAGAACATTAAGGCATGCAACAGAAAAAGCAACATCTTTTCTCGTCTTTCCCTTCGACAGTCTTATCATATGTTGTTTGTTGCTGCAGAGAATCATATTCCAGATTGCATGATCAAAACCCCCAGAATTCACAATCACGTATGCTATCAGCTAGCTAGCTCTCTTCCATCGTCTTAAACTACTCCCACACCCACCACTGAAATCTACGTAATGGATCTTATACCATTTACTAACAGTTGCGACGACGCTGCTCTCTACTCGATTGCATTATGTGCAGAGAAATCTGGAAAAAGCAGAGGATGGCGTTTCCCGACAATGTCAGAAACAGGGGAAAGGATCGTAGGAAGCCCCGAAAACTAGATCAACCGGGCTAATATATATCCATGAAAGGACGTGCATGGACGGACGAGAATGAAACTGAGACTTCAATTTGCTGGACGAATCATATCTTCGTGCATATGGCCTTTAATTTGTTCCCTCTGTTTCACCTTTCACTTTTCCTGCCTAAGAATCAAATAAACTTGCAAGATGGAATAAGAAGAAACCAAAACACTATATTCATGCAGTCAGGGGAACTCTAGGTTGTCGTGCTAACTTAAGTTTATATGCAAGGAAGTTATTAGGATCTATATGGTTCTTTCCCAAAAATTTGAGTTGGTGGGATGGATCGTTTCTTTACATGTAACTAGTTTTTTGACCCGCGCTTCGCAGCGGTAAGAAACTAATTATATTTAAAAGTTCATCCATTTATTTAATGATTCAACTGAAATTAAATAATTCACAAAATTATCATAGTAGGGTTGTTCCATAAGTTTTATGTAATATCTTAATCATTATGAAATACATAGACCATATGTTTGTTTGAGTGATATATAACTTACCTTAAAGAATATTTGAGAGCTTTATATAATATATTTTTAATTACAAAATTTTTATAGAATAGTGTTACACAAATCTTTTCGTACAGTGTGGTCCAATGGTGAAGTCAACTAAAAACAATATCAAATTAGATTAATTTGTTATGTAAAAAATAACTTACCTAACAAAAACAACAAATTGTGAAGAAAAAATGTTGAATTTGTGAGCTTTATATAGTATATTTGTAATTAAGAATAGTGGTAGATGCAAAAATCTTTTGTACTATGTGATCTAATGATAAAAAGTTTATGATGAAATTAGGAGCATTTTTAGTTACATGACTTTTAAGAATACTGTTACACAAATCTTTCGTACTGTGTTATCCAGTGGTGAAGTCAAGTAAACAGAATTGTCAAATTTGATAAAATTGTTATGTAAAAAAACTACCTTACAAAATTTTGGTATAATGCAAATAATAGAGAAATAATGCTGAATTTGTAAGCTTTATATAATATATTCTTAATTACCTAATTGATATAGAGAAATAATGTTGATATTTGCAAACGGTTTTGTAAAAAAACTAACCTTAAAAACCTTAATGTAATGCAAATAATAAAAAGATTATGATAAAATTGGATGTAGGAGATAAATACATCTCATGAACAGTACACGTGGTAAAAAAATATACTAATTGTCTATTAAAATAAAATAATGTTGATATTTGTAAAAACCTAACCTTAAAAACTTTAATGTAATGCAAATAATAAAAAGCTATTGGATGTAGGAGATAAATACATACTAATTGCCTATTAAAATAAAATAATGTTGATATTTGTAAACGATTTTGTAAAAAAAAACTAACTTTAAAAACCTTAATGTAATGCAAATAATAAAAAAGCTTGTGATAAAATTGGATGTAGGGGATAAATACCTCTCATGAACAGGACATGTGGTAAAGAATATACTAATTACCTATTAAAATATAATAATTGTCTATAATTTCGTATGCTACAGTGCCGCATACTTGCGGCTTTAATATACTAATAATTAGAGCTGGTTTGATTGTAAGGTCATGTGTTCAAAATCCTCACAAGTCACAACTAGGGATGGTAATTTTGCTCATACCCATGGGTTTTTTACTATCCAACCCAATTGAATTGGGTATGAAATCCAAATAGATGGATATAGGTAGATTTTGATGGGTTTGTACTCATACCCATTTACTTGGGTTGGGTTGGGTTAGGTTTATAACAAATGGATTTGGGTTTGCACCCATGCCCATATGCAAATTACAGTTTGGTATTTAAACTTAATATATGCATATTTAGTACCTAAATTTATTTATTTTTGCATATAAGTCATCAAAATATTGATGGAAAATTACATTTTGGTACCTAAATATTTTGGTCTTACATTTTGGTACCTAAACTCTTCAAGTTTTACAAATAGGTCCAATTTTTGCATGTGTAGTTAAAACACCATCAAATAAATGGATATCCATATCCAACCCATACCCATTTAGATTATGGAAGTAATACTCATACCTTACCCAAACCCATTTACAAACCCCCAAACCCATATGCACTTCACCCATACCCAACCCATTATGAATGGATCTACTTGGTTTTGGGTATAATTACCAATGGGTGGGTAATTGACATCCCTACTCACAACCCCCCATAGTAATTGTTGTCTTAAACCCCATGTCATAAACCAACTGATTCCAAAAGCGAACTCATGAGCTTGAAATTTGCACATGCTCGCCATACTGTATTCTTGAAGACAACGGTTAATGTGTAGGGGTGGTGAGGACTTGAACACGTGACCTCAAGGACAAACCAGTTCAAATACCATGTCATAAACCAACTGGTCCAATAACTCGAGTGGTTGAGGAGATGCCCCATATATGATGTATGGTACTTAACCACTTCCTTACATGACATACCTATGCAAACTTCAAACCCATGAGTTGACTTCTCGCCTTACTTTACTCATGGTTGTTTCTTATATCTTCATCATTGTTTCCTTTCTTCCCTTTCCATTTGTTTTGTTGTTTTCTTTCTCGCCACGAGTCAATCCTTTCGAACCGTGCGGAACTTCTTATGTGCCGACTTCTTTCGATTTTGTTCTAGCAATATTTCTTCATCACTATTATAAAGAATCGATACATATATCTCTTCCAATAACTTAGAGTAACTTGTACCGACGGGTTCTTTTTCGACAATGATGATTGTATGCGATGATTAAAAAGTCTATATCCGTACACACTGGCGGATGCAGGGGTGGCAACCCCAGGCCCCGGCCCAGCCCTCCTATGGATCCGTAATTACTATAGTCCTTATGAAATTTTTGATTTTAGACATTCAATCCAGTGTTATTCTATGATAAGATTGGGTTTAACTAGAAACATTATCAAGTTGAACATATTCAAATCACTTTTCTAAAATTAGCCTAGAAATTTTAGCCCCAAAGATTATGCGTCTTAAAAAAACAATGAAACCTAAAATTCTAATAAGTTAAAAACGTAAAAGACTAAAAGAAATATGAGGTTTGTTCCCTTACAAATTTACTAAAGCAGCTGGTGTGCAGGGATGGACACACAATGTAAATTGATTAGTCGATTGATTTATCTAGTGTTGATGTTGCTCGTTTCAACAGCTACTACGAAGAGAAACTTTTTAACAATGAAAGATATGAGAACTATTTGCTCAACAAAATGAGCGATGAATTTCTCGCCGATTGCTCAAGTATTTTATTTGAAAAAGTGTATACTATTAGTATGGATGTAGACTTCATTATTGATGCATTCCCTAAATTAAAATACAGTTGTGTACAATTTACATTGCAAAAAATTATAATTATATTTTTTTACGATTCTAATTTTCTAATGAAATGCGGCCCAGTGCTCTTCTGTGTTCTGGATCCGCCGCTGTCCGTACATGTGAGGTAACAATATTAGAATTGGGCAGATGAGATTAATCCCCGTTTCACATTTGCTTTGCTTAGTGGATAACGGGAAGCTAATTATAGGAAATCCGTGATGGAGGCTGATTAGATTTTAGACTTGCAAGAAATGGGCAGTTATGTTTATGAACATTTTTGCTAGCTAGGTTTTGTTGTTTTCCCCGGCTGGCCGGCGGCTAGCAATAGCATGCATGCATTCTTGCGGCCGTATTCTACGCGTATAAGCTTTTTACTCCTCCACATTATTAGTCTTTCAAGGATATCATCATTGACGTGCGTACGTACGTACGTTCCTTTTCCCGTAGAAATCCAGTTCTTGTGATGGAAAGCAGAAATCCTTCTAATTACCCAAACTGTTGGACAGGCTGGATGCTATGATATTTTAGCCGAATGTGATGGGCAAAAATTTGGGGTTTTAAGGCTGTTTTAGTTTTTTAGTCACTTCGAAAACAGAAATAGCTGTAACCCTGATGACTAAAAATTTATATTTTATATTAAGTAATCCTAACTTATGGATAGTAATATTTATGTTTTTAATTTAAAATATATATATTCATTCACAATAATTGAATACGAACATTTTCGATAAAATTTGAATGAATTCTAAGACACTTTGTTTTTAGTTGAAATGGAAGAAAGTTACATCGAAATGAACTTCGTTCATCAAAATTATCAAGATTTTAAACAATTTCGAAGATGCCTTTTTTTTAGTTGAAATGGAAGAACGTTCCAATTTTTTTTTTTTCAAATAGCAATCGAATGGTTGAAAGTTACTATGAAAGTAATTTCGTTAGTTAAAAGCACTCACAACAACACAAGTATATTCAATTTAAGTACTAAAACAAAGAAAAGGTAAAATAATCTCCACCAGTTTAGCCCCCCTCTTAAAACCCTTCAAAGAAGAGCTAAAATAGACCCCTAAAACCCCTTATAGTCTTTACCCCCCTCCCCCCAATTTGCCTCATGGTTAAAGATCATTTATTGGGCCTAAAAGGGCAAAATGTCCTTTTAGGCCTAGGGTTGTGGATAGCTTTAGGAAGGATGCTAATGAGTTTGAGCTTTTCAGGAGCAAGTTGTTGTTCGACTTGGGGGAAAAAAATATTAACTCGATTATTAATGAGAAGTTTGAGTAAAACCCTTGTTCACCAGTTTGCCAAATCAGCTCGACTCGGTAACTTGTTGATCAACTCGTCAACTGTCTTGTTTTGAGATCATGAAATGTCTCAACATTATGACTAGCGAGCCACCTTGATTGCCGGTTTATGAGAAAATAAATAAATAAAATTTAATTAAATTGGTTTTTTGATAATTCACATATTTGTTAATGATATATCTCTCCCCATGTTTGAGACTTTGGGTATGTAAGCATATATGTCTCATTTATGATTTAAAAGATAAATTATGAATCATAGATTTTTTAGATACTAATTACTATGAAATTACATTATATGAACTAGTAAAAATTGACGAACTAAAAAATATGATACCAATAGAGTATATGAAGATAAGATCACTAAATCACATGTATCATACATGACATACAAATATTAGGGTATTTAATTTATAAATTATATTAGAGTTTAGTTTAAGGGTTCAACTATTTAAAATAAATGAGTTATGAATCCGCTAGACTAGACCACATCATACCAATATACGTTTGAACTTACAACGTACACATGTAGTTATTGGCGTAAAGGTGAAATCCCATATGCTAGTCCACAGCTACAAAGCATTCACTCTGTAACTAAGACTATAAATGAGTCGAGCCGAGTTTTACTTGACTCAGGCACAACTTGTTAATGAACAAGTTAATGTTAAGCTCGACTCTTTTACTAAAATTTTCACCCGTATCTAACTAACTTAGGATTCATAATTTATCTGATAAATTATAAACGAAACTTATTTGCTCAAATAATCAAAGTCTTAAACATCATATGTGATAGATATATAATCTAACAAATTCATGAATTATTAACAAAGTCAACTCATCAGATGTAGATCCATTCACTCATAATTCAATAGTCGAATTGGTTCACTAGTCACAATATCCTGCCAGAGTGCCCGCTCATAAGCTCAAAACAAATAAACTCATAAATTGAACTCAACAAATCACCAAATCAAGTAGACTCCCACGAATCTCACGAGCTGAACAAAACTTGGATGAAACTCAATTGATTAGTAAAAGAATCGAGTTTTCAACAAGGAATTTTCCGAGCCAAACACTGTACAACTCCTTGATTAGTAAATTGAACAAGCTGCAGCAGCTCCATAACAAACGCGCCGGTTCTCCATCACCTTTCCTGCACGAAATCACTTTTTTTTTTTTTCTTTTTTCAATTCCCCGCGGCTGAAATCTCCTTCTGTACTTTCCAAGTACACCCAAACATGGAAAATCTACAAAGAAAAAGAAAAGGAAAGAAGAAACCCAGAACTCTGTCCAATTCTCCCCCACCAAATGGCTTTTCCTCTGCTTATAAATAAGCTTCCCCGCGACCTCCTCTGCTCTCCACAACACCACAAACCCATTCCCCCCAATCATTTTCCTGTCTAATATCTCCACCCCTGTAGTTCATGCGAGTTTCGCTGCAGCAGCCATGGAGATAACGGCAAAATCTAACAAGCTGCAGCGGCTCAAGAAAATGCCGGCGGCGGTCAAGAACAAGTTGGCTGGCGTCATGAATAGCTTGATCGAGCTCGGCAGAGACGACCCGAGAAGAGTGATTCATTCGCTCAAAGTTGGAATAGCCCTCTCTTTCGTCTCTGTTTTCTACTACTACCAGCCGCTCTACGACGATTTCGGCGTCTCCGCAATGTGGGCTGTCATGACCGTCGTCGTCGTCTCTGAATTCTCCGTCGGTAATATATTCGTTTACCCCGATACAAGGAGACGTTAGTGTTGGAGATTTGTAATGGAGAAATTTCTGATTTTTTTTTTTCAGGGGCGACTCTGGGGAAAGGGCTGAACAGGGGAATGGCGACTCTGCTCGCTGGAGCGCTAGGGATTGGAGCCCATCACGTTGCGAATCAATTTGGGCATGCGGGAGAGCCCTTTGTTATTGGGTTCTTCGTTTTTATGTTGGGTACGAACTGTTTGTGAAAATGCCCCAATGAAAATTGACCCCCTCAAGAAGTTCTGAACTAATTAAATGGCTGTGTTTTAACGTGAACCAGCGGCGGTGACGACGTTTGTGAGGTTCATTCCAGGGGTGAAGGCGAGATACGACTATGGACTCTTGATCTTCATCTTGACCTTCTCTTTCGTTTCGGTTTCTGGCTACCGTGACGACGAGATACTGGATGTGGCGCAGAAGAGGGTTTCGACGATCATGATTGGCGCATCTGTATGTGTCATCGTCTCCATTGCTCTGTTTCCTGTTTGGGCTGGTGAGGATCTTCATTACCTCATCGCTCTCAACTTGGAAAAGCTTGGCAACTTTCTTGAAGGTAACACGTTCAATCTCCAAACAGAATTCAGTTCAAGACCCAGAAGAGATTTTGCATATTCAGCAAGAAAAATGAAAGCTTTCTTTCTTTTGGGATGCTTTTACAGGATTTGGAGATGAGTACTTTCAGGATCATGAGTCCAAAGCAGAGGATTTAGCCTCGTCACTGCAAGATTACAGGACCATTCTCAACTCCAAGAACACTGAAGAATCTTTGGTAAGTATCTTTCATTTGAATCAAACTCACAAATTCATCATACTCTATGGACTATGTGAGTGGACTATGATTATGGACTATAACAATGTCATGGGTGCAGGCCAATTTTGCAAGGTGGGAACCATGCCATGGAAGGTTCCAGTTTCGCCATCCATGGAAACTCTACCTCCAAATCGGCACTCTGGCTCGCCAATGCGCCTACAGGATCGAAGCGCTCAACCGCTACCTAACCGCCGAAATCCAGACGCCGGTTTCAGTGAGGGACAAAATCAAGGAACCAGGAACCAAAATGAGCAGAGAATGCGGCAGGGCACTGAAAGAGATGTCCACGGCAATCAAGGCAATGTGCCAGCCCTGTGCAGCCGATGCCCACATCGAGGCTGCGAAAGCCGCAGCCAAAGGGCTCAATTCGCTGCTGAAATCCGGGATATGGGAAGGCATTGATCTGCTTCAGGTGACGCCAGTGGCCACGGTGGCTTCCTTGTTGATCGACGTGGTGAATTGCACTGAGAAAATTGCTGATGCTGTTGCCGAGCTTGCTTCAAAGGCCGAGTTCAAGAGGTTGAGTGATGGTAGTACACCGTCGCCGGAGAAATTGGTCCGGCGAGGTCATGTTGCTATTACGGTTGAGGAGTCTAGTATGAACAATCGAGCGTCGGACGAGTGAGTACTCGAAGAATAATAGTGTAGAGTAACATGAACATGATTTGCTTGATGTCCAAAGGTGAGTTATGTGATAAAGAGACTTTGGATCATGATGGCAATGATATTTGACATGGTTCTGTTGTAACGTAAATAACGATGCAGTATATTTGTACTTGAATATTTTTTCTTCGTATTATCAGAGAAACGACGGTGATTAAATTCCGGTTGTATTGTCCTCCACTTTATTAGGATAAAGCAAAGTTTTATCTCAACAAACATTCGATATATTGGATATTGTTAAACTATGAATATAGAATGGAAAATGGTTGCATAGTTTAACCTCAACCAAGAATTTATAAAAATGAGAAGACACGATACATTTTGTAATAACGCGGATGGTTTTATACGTCTCGTACCAAGGATTATGAATCTATAAAAGGTATGTGTTCGTCCAACATAGAAAACAAATGAAAAAATAGTGTTAACTAGCTATAAAAGGATATAGCAATACATATAGAGTAAACTCGTCAAGAATATGATAGAAATCCCTCTATATAAAAACGTGTGTGAACTCATGATATAACAAAATGGAGATCTCCATTAAGTGTACGAAAATGATGGAGCTATAGCCTCATACTTCTTCTCCAGTTTGCTTGAGGCAGGCAATATGTTTTGGCTGTTTCTCTCTTCATAAGTTGTTGAAAAACAGAATGCCTTGTGTTGATGAATAACTTGGTAAAACTTAATGCTAATTACCTTCTAACAGAGTTGGCATTTAAATGCATGTTTTTTCTATGAATAGGATTCAAATGTGAAATTTAAGATGGATTGAACATTTTTCATTCACATTGTGATTATAGCAACTCTTGACAATTACGCTACATGGTTGCATATGTAAGCTTAACTTATGGTTAATATATGGAGGGTTTCTTGTCGAATTTACCAGACTGTTTGATGTGATTCACTGACGTTTTGTTAGAAGTACTGGACCGACCATAACCTTAACCAAATTACTTATTATGTGGTTGTTAAGTATGTGCTTTAAACCAATCAATAACTCGAATAGCTGAAATTTTTTCCAAAAATTTGAATACCATGTACGTCCTAGTCTTGTAATATGTTGCTTGGATTTGTATGAATTCGGTACTAGGTTGGAATGCTTTTGATGTCCTGATTATTACCAGTTCGATACTTAACTTGTTTAGTTGGATACGAAATTCTGACGCATCTTAATCTAATTTGTAAACAACGTTTACATGGAATCGATCAATGATAAAATTGAGATAAAAGAACTAGAATTCGTAATGCTTTAACATTTTCAACAAAGAAGAGTAGAGAGGGAAGATGGTGAAGATCATGATTCATGAGAAACAAGTTTGGTAAGATATGAGAGGATATAGGAAGTTATATTTAAATTGTTAAACCCCAACTTTTTACCCTGTATTCCTATATCAATGTGAACCCTCTCATCTATCTCGAACAAACCCTAATAATAAGTAATTATGAGATGGGGATGTCTAAGCCATGGGTTTAGGCACCTAATTTTTATCACTTTCGTGTGCCTAATACAAAGTTCAGATATACATATTAGTACTCTTATGTCCTTAGAGAAACTAAACCTAAAACTTACACTTTGTTTAGGTACTTTAGTGAGTGCCCTAGCTAGTCGACGAAATTGCTTGGACATTCAGTAAGTTCTCTAAACTGGAAAAAAGTGGGCTTGTGGAGAGTGCAAACTAACCACAGAAAAATGAACTTGAAGGCAAAAAGAAGAAGAAGGGCAAGTGGTGAAGAGATTAAAGCGTGGGAAAGAGACAACATGGTGGTGGGGCTTGAGTTGTTTCCCACTATGATCGTAAGGACTGAAAATGAAAGGAAGTATAAAGAAGAATTTGAAGACAAAGTTTTGGCATGTTGTTGATAGGTACAAGAAGCTAAGGATTGTGCTAGGGTTCTTATAGGGTAGGCAAATTGGATTATGTTGCATGATTTGTGATCTCGACTATTAGAAATATGTGGGTAGATGTTTCATGTTATCTTGTGCATTTCACGATTGAGATCACTAGAGTTGTTGATGTCAATCCATGTGGATTGCAACTCATATCAACATATTAAGTATATAGAAAATGGAAGGAAAAGTTATAACGTCTTGCTGATAAGTATAACGGGATTTTGCTAGGGTTTTGCTAGGGTGAGTATCATAGAGTTTGATTAGTCGAATGATTCTATTTGTGCTCTAACTCTTGACTATCAGAAGTATGCATATTGATTTTCAGTATATTTTTTTTTATGAATGATGAACTTCATTACCAACAAAAAAAAACATGAGAAAATACAACAAAACGAATTCATATACATACATGAGAACGAAAACCCAAAAAAAGAAGTCGGACAAAGCAACCAGAACTCAAAGAGAACAAACAAAGATTAATATGCGAACTCCTAAGACTGGAGACGAAGTGCTTGACTTTCATAGTTATTTTGTATGTATAACAATTGAGATCCTACAATGATCCGTTAGTAGCGTTCATATTAACTAGATAGAAAGAAGAAAAGTGAGAAATAAATAAACATTCAAACTCTTGATTTATTTAATGATGTAAATGTGAGAGCATATATCATCAACTTTTCATGAATATTCCACCCCACTTATCATAGTAAAGATCCACTTACATATCCATCTTTCTTATAGCCTTTGACTTGTTGTGCTTATCAGGCACTATTTTATTTTTCAAGGGCACCTTGTAACCCTTCTTTTGTGTGTTCACTTTACTTAATTTCCAGCTTATTAATTCTCTTTTTCTCTTTTAATAAGGTGGAACATGCTAACCATCATTATCATCATGGATCGAATATTCACTTTAATTAATTCAGTTTACGTGGAACTGAAGTCAGCAGATAGCACTAACCTAACATTTTGGTGATGATTCAGTCTCTTCAAAACAATATTATATTTCATGTTTACGTAGATTAAAAAAACAAATATTTTAATTAAACAAGCTTTATAAACAATGTTAATAGTAGGGGTGGCTATACGGTCCGGTCCGGTTAAATTGGACCAAATTGATCCGGTCCCAGTCCGGTCTTTTCGAGAATATAAGGACCAAAGATTGGATTGGATACACTCTGGTCTTGATCTGGTCCGGTCTTGACCCGGTCCAGTCCCAATTTGATTTTGATTTTAGATTGTCCCAATTTGATTTTGATTTTAGATTGAGCTTGTGGGGATTTGAGTGTTGGGGTCTCTTATCCGGTCTTTATCCGGGTTTTTTTTACCTTAAATCTAACCCCGAATATGAGAATGGATTGTTTGCTATCTTGTTCCAGTCCGATCCCGATCCGGGTTATATGGTCCGATTTCGGGTAAAACCAAACAGTCCTTGACCAAATTACCAGCCCTAGTTAATAGTAGACAACAAATTCCGTTTTACTTCTTTGTCATACTCACTTGTGTTGGGAATGATACGTTATGTTTGATTTTTTCATACATTTATCGGGTGATTGAGTCTCCCATGGCTAACAATATATGTTAAGCCACCCTTTTGTGCATGTTTTTTCATTAAAAAACAAGACAAAATCATGATCTTCGATTTTGACCCAAATGTTTGAGATGTTATCTATAAAGGATTAAAGCGTTCCAATAATTTGATTCACCTTACAACACTCAAGATCTTATCTATAAATAAAGGAACAAAACTGAAAGAACTACTGGTTCCATCAATTCCTCTACAAAACCAGATCAGGCAAACGAAATGCAACAGAATTTTCCAAGGAATCCGACTCAGTAAGACACCACAGGCATTCAGGCAATCAGTGTTCACCACCCAACCAGTAGAAGCTTCAGAAGAGCCATACGAATATAGAGCCCGTTCTTGGCTTGTCTGAAATACGCAGCTCTAGGATCCAAATCGACATCCACAGTTATCTACATTCCAAACGAAGATTAGATCATCGTCGGCATTAAGAAGGAACATGACAACAGTTATCTACATTCCAAACGAAGATTGTATCATGACCAAAAAGTTCCCAACAGTAATCAGATCATTTGCATTTACCTCGTCAAGCCGTGGGAGAGGGTGCATGACAACAGCATGCTTCTGCATCACATCCAGCACATCACTGTCTACTATATACTTCCCACGAGCTTCTTCATAGAGATCAGTTCTCTCTCCAAAGCGTTCTTTCTGAATTCGAGTTTGATACACGACGTCACATTTGGATGCCACGTCGATTAAGTCGGCGCTCTCTTCCCATTCTACCCCCTCGGATGTTAGATAATCCTTTATGTCGTCCTGAGTAGGGTTTTCAGGTCGAGACAACAAAGATCCAGAGATCAATCATTCTTGTGAAGTGTTTCCAGTTCATAAAAAAGCACTTTCAAGTTCAGTGACATCAATGGTTCAGTTACCTTCATCTTCACCACCTCAGGGGAGACAAAATAGATCTTCACGTCTTTATATTTTGCAAGTAAATATGCAAGTGATCGAACTGTCCTTCCGTTAGCAAGATCTCCCACAAGTGCCACTTTGATACCATCCAATTTGCTGATCTCTCTGTCAATAGTGTAGATATCCAAAAGGGCCTGTGTAGTAGTGATAAAGCTTCAGACTTAATCAAGCATGAATTTTTGCAAGTACTAAGTTCAGAGATTTTGATAGTAACTTCAAGCAAACCCTCAACTATGGAATATAATCAATTTTTCTACCATTAAGTACACCTGAAGTAGAATAGTTGTGAAGCAACACTCTGTCAAATTATACATCGAGTAAGTATGACAACATCATCGCCAGCATGCTATCGGAGTATCTGTATAATCTGTTTCTTTTAGGACTTTATATATATACTATTAAACATGTCTCTGCTGAGTAAATCACACGCATGGATTGATTCCCATAGACAAGTTCTTACATGTGAAGAAAACAACAAAAGCACACATGCAAAAAAAACCTGGGTAGGATGCTGTCCAGGACCATCCCCTGCATTGATGACCGGAATGCTAGCTGTTGCAGCTGCTCTCCTCGTAGCACCACTTTCAAAATGACGCAGCACAATGATATCCGAATACCCTTCAACTGTCCGAATCGTATCTGGAGATATCAAATTCCTGCGCCATAAGTTATCACCAATGCAACCAAAAGCTCAGCTAAAAGATGAACCACACAGTTAAATTGTTACCTTCAAGTGTCTCCCCCTTGGCAGCCGAAGAAAACTCTCTGGCATTCTCGGTCGTCAAAACTTCCCCGCCGAGCCTCTTCATCGCACATTCAAAAGACAGCCGAGTACGAGTAGAAGGCTCGTAAAAAAGGGTAGCCATAATAAACCCCTTGAGAATTTGGCTTCCGGATGGATTCATCTCAATCTCTTCCATCTCCCTAGCAACTTCAAATATAGCATTGAGAGTATCCCTATCAAATTGCTGCGCCTCGATCACATCATCGAGATGGAACTTCTTCCCTAATGTGAACAAAGGACTGATCTTCGTCTCCACGGCACTGCAGCAGCGAGCGGGACCTCTCGTAGTAGTCGACGAAAGCCTACTAGCCTCCATGGACTGTCTTAGCCTAGATGACATAGACAGTGACTTTGCAGACACTGCTTGCTTAGCGGTATAGCACTTTGCAGGATCACCGGCAGCGATTCCATGATCGCTCAACAAGCAGGAAGAGAAGGAAGACGATGTAGCAGCCATCGGTGGATAAACAATGAACAGCACAATGTAACCTGTAAAGAATCATACTTTACTCGTAATACTTCCTAAAGAAACAGAATTCAGGATTCAATTCGGCCAGATATGCAAACCATCTCTACCCAAACTTCTCAACCAAACCATTTAAGAAAGGCAGTGCTTAAAAACAGTCTAATGAAATCGGAACAAAGGGGATTTCGTTATTCTGTGCAATGAATTTTTAATTACAGCGACAAGGAAGCGAGGGAGAGTCTAGATTAGGGGTATTACCTCCGGCGAAGTTCCTTCTATCGAAGGAGACGAAGGTGGTGGTGGAGGAACAAGCGAGCAAAGGCAGCCGGAGGATTTTGCCGGAGAACAGAGAACTGTAACTGCGGCGGAGAAGGCGAAGGAGTGATAGCCGAGTGACGACGGTTACGGTGGAGGAGGCAGAGTAATCTCCTCTGCTGTGGACTCTGATGGAGGGAAGCGGCGGCGGTGGCCGGGGTGAAGGGTTTATGGCGCGGTGCGACTGAGAGTGATGAAAGAAAGGAGTCTCCTACTTTCCTACTACTTGCGACTTACGAGGGAAAGCCGAAGTCCAGCTGTTGAATTTTTTTTCCTCTTTATTTTTTTGGCTTTTTTTATTTAGGGGTATGAACAGTTCTTTCTTCTAAAAAAGTCATATGTGAATATTAGAGTCAATCAAGAATTAGGATTGCCACAAATTGAGGTACTAATCAGACTATCCATTTTCAACACTTCCTCTTCCTCTATGTATCAAGCTTCTTAGTCTTATTCCGATTTTTATAGTGAGCCGTGATTATTACTTCCTATGTACGCGAAAGGAACGTTTGATACTTGTTTGACTTAACTAGGTATCAAATTTTGTTATAGTCCAACTAAAGCATTGAACTCCAAGTAATAGGTAGAATATTAGTATTCTTCCTCAATTCCCCATAAATCCGTTTATGTTTGTCGTTGACTCGTTCATGTGGGCATCCTATTAAGCATACAACTCGCCGCCTTTAATATCATGTGAGTTGAATCTTTGACCGGTCGAGAAGATGACTACCAGGTTAAATTTTTTTGCCTATCATAATGCCACGTCGAAAAATAAACGACAGAAATAGACGAATTTAACCGAAACTAACAAAGAGCGTTGACTACTTTAGTTGTCCTATGTGGAAGGTCAGTCAGTATAGTGTAATAGTGACCAGCTTTGCCTTGGCCAGGGGTTGTTTCAGGGTAAATGTGCTCTGCAGACTGCAGTAAGTTGAGGTTGGTGCAGTGCCATCCAAGACACCTACTTTGCTTACATTCATAGCAGGGGATCCAGAATCTCCTCCATCCTCCATTAATTGCTTGCAAGATCCAAAAGCCGTGCTGCATGCATATGCATGCGAGCCAGGTGTGATCTCTCCGCCGTTTGACCTGGTGGGCAGCGGGAGGACGCTACTGTGCTACCATCGTACGGAACTAAACGCCACCTCTGTACTTCCCCTGCCTTCCATCAATCCTCTGCACCACCTCCAAATGTCAGTACCCAAATGTTCCAATTTTTGCAGTTGGGAGGAATAGTCTTTAAATACACTGACCGCTATATATCTCTCTCTCCGTTAAGGGGAAAGCAATTTCTGGGAGCAAAGCCCGCAGAGGTTCAGAGAAAGAAACAAAAGGAAATGGCAGCTCCAGTTGAGGAAGGCGGGCATGCAGGAAAGAGGGGCTTCGATTGGATCCTCGATTTACCCAGTGGAGCTGCTGCGATTGCAATGCGGGTTAAGGAATTCGGGGAGGAAGATCCCAGGAGAGTGATTCACTCTTTCAAAGTTGGGCTGGCTCTGACAATGGTGTCACTCTTCTACTACTTCAAGCCACTTTACGACGGGTTCGGCGTCAATGCAATTTGGGCTGTTCTCACCGTCGTCGTTGTCTTTGAATTCTCCGTTGGTAAAAGTTCACACCTTTTTTCAAAAACTTTCCGATTGGCGTTTCGAAATTCAAACCTGAAAACACGGTTTTGTCTTTTTTTTGGTGGGTTGCTCTGTTTTTCCTCTGTTTCGTTTGGGGCAAACAGGGGCGACGCTTGGGAAAGGATTGAACAGGATGGCGGCGACATTCGGAGCTGGTGGGCTCGGCATTGGAGCCCATCACTTGGCGAGTCTCTCTGGCCCAACCGGAGAGCCCATTCTAATCGCCGCCTTCGTTTTCATCATAGGTATGTTGCTAAGTGGTTTTTTTTTCTTTGTCGAAAACTTTCCACCGAGAGGTCATGTTTTCGAATTCTTATGACAAATGTCGATATAAAACAATGCATGCAGCTGCGGTGGTGACATTCACCAGGTTCTTTCCCAAGGTGAAGGCGAGATACGACTATGGATTCAACATTTTCATATTGACATTCTCCCTCGTGTCGGTTTCGGGCTACCGAGACAGCCAAGTGTGGACCATGGCGCACGAGAGGCTATCGACCATCATGGTCGGCAGCAGCACCGCCGTGATCGTCTGCGTCGTGGTTTACCCTGTTTGGATTGGGGAGGAGCTCCACAATCTCGTCGTTACCAACATTGAAAACCTTGGTGAGTTCCTGCTAGGGTTTGGAGATCAGTGTTTCAATGCAGAATCCAATAACAATGGCAAGGCCCTTGGTGAATATCATAAATCAGTTCTTACTTCCAAGAGCAATGAAGAAAACATGGTACGTGGATGACTATGGAAGATCAAACATGTTATGTTTCACCTTCCTTCGTCGTCTGTGAATTAACTGACACGTACTGTATTAATGAACCACGTAAATTTGTATATTCTTTACTTTCTTGTGTATGGATTTCACAATCCGTTAGAACATCCACATTTGTCAACTAATGGCATGACATGTAGGCAAATCTGGCGAGATGGGAGCCAGGGCATGGACGGTTTAGGTTGCAGCATCCATGGAAACAGTACCTGAAAATAGGGACACTCACCAGAGAATGTGCTTACAAAGTCGATGCTCTTAGCAGCTACCTCAACCCTCATGTTCAAGTAATAATCTTAAACGACTACAAAAACCCATCTCCGATCAGCTTGCTCACCAGATTAAAAATCCTTGTAGCCTTTTTTTTTTTTTTTTTTTTTGCAGCCTGTTGATGAGATGGGAAACAGAGTCGAGGTGGCATGCAGGGAGCTGAGCACAGAGTGTGGCAGAGCACTGAAGGAATTGGCACTGGCAACCAGGAAAATGAAGAGGCCAAAGCCTGCGGACGCCATGGTTGCGAGCTCCAGCGCTGCAGCGGACAATCTCAAGCTGGTACTGGACACCAGCAAATGGGAACGACAACGTTTGGTCGAGGTGGTGCCAATTGCGGCGCTCGCTGCCGTTCTGTTGGAGATCGCTGAGACTACAGAGAGAATTGCTGATGCCGTTGTTGAGTTGGCTTCCAAGGCTCACTTCAAGAGCACGGACTCTGCCGTCTCGCCGGAGCAACCGAGTCCGCCGCCTGCGGCGGCTCTCCCGGTGTCTAGCGGTGGGGCATGATTGGTTGCTTTGAAGGTGTATGGGTGTGTCTCTGCATCTTGTGCATGAATTTCAGAGTTCTTTGGTGACGAATAAAGTAGATGAACTAATGAAATTTCCTGAGCACAGAGCTACATATTCTAGGATGGGAATGAGTCGGGTTTTTTCAAAATCTAAATGCAACCAATAAGCGTATTCATTGAAAAAATAAGGTAAAATATCCATTGAAATTTGGAAAAGCAAATCCAATCCAATTCAACGGGTATCTACGAATGTATAGACATACGTTCATGAAAATAACTATATATTATTTCTCCAAATACTAATACTGTAACATTATCGAAAATTTCCGCAAAATATATCTTTATAAATATTAAGAACATTCATAAATTGTCCGTACATAAAACTAATATCATCTATAAATTATCCATATTGTTCATGGTAGATACAAAACAAAGTCATGTTTACATTTTTGGGTGCGGGTGGAGGGGAAAGTCGGTTGAATTTTGACAAAATCCACTCCCAACCTATTAATTTCGAAAACGGATAAGACTCACACCCGACTCAAAAATATAAACACTGAGTTGGATCGAATTGAATACCGGTGAATTCGAGTTGAATTGAGATTTCTAATTGTCATTGAGTGCTCCAGAGTCAAAATAGTGACAAAGAAACAAATAATACAAATCTAAGAAGTAAGAATTTAATTATTCTGTTGCAAAAAGATATCCATATCACATTGAGGTCTGAGGAGAAGTAAGGTAACTCCAGAATACAGAAGTCTCACTGTTAAAAGGACCAGCCCAACCCCTTGAGTGCATGAAGTATCAAATTAGGCTTCGCTCAAACGGACCCGATTGGGCCGGGCCGCTTCAATCGGCTCGACAAGTTGAAGCCTAGCCCACGTAATGAAGAAGTAAAATTACAGTCGAGTGTTGACTATGGACTGCTGCCCTTTGACTAGAAACCAAGTTCGAATTTCCGTTATCCAGACATTTCTGGCTGCAAAACTTTCGATACACTCCGCTTCCTTCCATTCCGATCGCCATCATGGCCGCCGCCGACGACGTTACCTCGGCTCCTCCGTCCAACCGCATAGACGTGTTCTGGCACGAAGGAATGCTGAAACACGACGCCGGCACCGGCGTCTTTGACACCGCCGACGACCCAGGCTTCCTCGACGTCTTGGAAAAGCACCCGGAGAACGCCGACAGGATCAAGAACATGGTCTCGATCCTCAAGCGAGGCCCAATCGCTCCTTACATCTCATGGCACCTTGGCAGAGCTGCTCAATTGGAGGAACTCCTCTGCTTCCATACCAGAGGTGCACTCCTAATTCAGGGTTTAACGTTCTTGCTTAGGGTTTAGCAGAATCTTGATTGGTATGGTTTTGTACAGCCCTAACCTTCGGAAATTTGATGTCTTGTTACAGAATATATAAATCAATTGATCAAAGCAGATAAAGAAGGGGGTAAGCAGATGATCTGCGCTGGGACATTCTTGAACCCTGGCTCGTGGGAAGCTGCTCTCCTCGCAGCTGGTACCACACTATCAGCGATGAAGCATATTCTCGATGGAAATGGGAAAGTGGCGTATGCACTGGTTAGGCCGCCGGGGCATCATGCTCAAACCACTCAAGCAGATGGATATTGTTTCCTTAACAATGCTGGTATCGCTGTTCAGACAGCATTGGACTCGGGGTTTGGAAGTGTTGCAGTTATCGACATCGATGTTCATTATGGCAATGGTACTGCGGAGGGGTTCTACTGGACTAATGAAGTGCTTACTATTTCATTGCATATGGATCATGGCTCGTGGGGGCCGTCTCATCCGCAGAGTGGATGTGTTGATGAGGTGGGAGATGAGGAGGGACATGGGTATACCATGAACATTCCTCTGCCGAATGGAACAGGTGACAAGGGGTATCTGCATGCTATGACCGAGCTGGTTGCTCCTGCCGTTAGCCAGTTTGAACCCGACTTGTTGGTTTTCGTGATTGGCCAAGATTCAAGTGCTGTAAGTTCCGTCCTTTTTATAACTTAATTTGCTAGATGGCTCTCAAACTGATCAGTCATATTGGTGCTCAGTGTCATGTGTGGTATGAATGCATAAGCTCTTTTAGGGTTATCTTGTCCATGTCTTTGCAACCTATTGCTGGTGAAAACTTGTTAGAAGGTGAAATTGTCTGGATCGTACTATTTGTCAGAAAGACAGGAAAACTAATGGTCACTGGAAATGTTGTTTCCTGGTGGAATGTTGATTCATGCTTATTCTTGATGGTTTAATTGTTTTTGGTATGGATTGGATCATTGCAATGATAGGCTGTTCGATACATACAAGAACAACCCACTCGCTTCTAGATCAGTAGGTGTAGGTACTTAAGTTCCAGGAACAGTGATGTAAGATATTCGAATTGAGCTACTACAGTAAGCTGGCATATCATTTTGTGTGTAACTCTAGATTCTTCAGTTGTTGGGGCTTGAATGTTGTAGTCTTAAATTTGCCTTCGTAAACTCAGAAATTAACCCTGTAGTTGAATAGACAAATTATCCAATCTTTTTAAACATTCTTTTTCTTCCTTTTCCTTCAACCTAACTCAGTCTGCTTAAATTTGTTTATGATAGGTGAATATTATATTTCCATCATTTACTTGTTCTGTTTTCCTATAACAACAGTGTCGTAAGGATAATTTGCTCAGCAGTGTAAACTTTCGGTAACTGGAACCAAATTTGCTTTGGATTTTTAGTTTGACACCAATGGAAGGCTATGCTTGACAATGGATGGATATCGAGAGATTGGACGGATTGTTCATGGTTTGGCGAATGCACATTGTGGTGGGCGTCTGCTTATTGTTCAAGAAGGTGGATATCACGTCACCTATTCGGCTTATTGTCTCCATGCAACTCTGGAAGGGGTGCTCGACCTTCCAGAACCACTTTTATCTGATCCCATTGCGTACTACCCTGAGGATGAAGCATTTGCTATGAACGTTGTCAATTCAATCAAAAAGTACCAGACAAACGCAACTTTCCCATTTCTCAAGCAAGGTTGACTAGGAGGTGCGTACTATCTATGCTTTTCATCTCATGCCGCCTTCTGTGAAATATAATTGTAGCGAATAATCTCTAGTGTGTTTCTACTTCCAAAAAAGGTTGCATGTTGGCCTACTTAGGCATGGATCTTTTCATGAATTCAGTGAAGCATAGCTTTACAGTTCAGTACTCCTTTTCTGGTAACCAAAGCGAGCGAGTTTATATTTTTAAGATTGTCTCCTGCATACATTCTCCCAAGATTGGTTTGCTAGGAAACTCTTTTACCATCTCTATGCCATCTGAAAATTTTCCGATTGCCGGCCATCAATTTCCATTATAATAAAGATGTGTTAGTTGGTATATTCTACTAGGAGGTTTGGTTAATTAGCACCTCCAGCGGATGAAAGTGTAAGCTGCTATATTATATCACGTTATTCCAGAGAAGCTCATGCTTCTTTCAGTCCTGCATTGTGCTCAAGAACATGAATATCATGCAGTGCACATGAGCTGGTTTGCCATTAGTTGGGAAATGGATTAGGCAGTTCTCATCTATACTTGCCTGCCATATTGATACATCAGAATGTGTGTAGGCAGCATAGTGGAAGGAGGGTTTCTACATTACTTATCTGCCCGAATCTCCATGTTCTTTCCTCATTTAATCTCTTATCTTATGTCAGTGTATGCTGTTTTGTGCATGTTCCAGGCAACTTGCTCGGTTCTCACCTGAGGAGGGCAAAGTGTTTTTCACCCCATCAATGAGGTGAGAGGTTTGGTGCTTTCTCATCCAGATCCAACCTTGATACATAAATTCCAAATGTCTGAGTTGCAGGCTTGTAAGAGATATGATGATGAGTGATAGGTAGACGAAAACTGGTCCCCTAGTCAGTAAAAAAAAAAACAGCTCAAGATATACATAGTTATTATGGTTTGTGAAATCAGAAATGTATCATTCTGTCAGTGGGTTGTGATGAATGCAAGGGCTCTGCTGCCTTTTTTACAAAGACCTTACAATTGTTGCATTATCAGGTGGAGTGGTTGTGTGGCATATGAACCTTATGAATGCCCTATGTACCTGACCACCACGGCAATCTGTTCATTTATTCTCCATCTTTTGTTGTGGAAAGTATGATCGATGGTAATGAGAAAAAACTTTCGAGAATTTTTGGTTCTTCCTTGGTGTAAATATTCTTAATCACTGTCTTTACTGATTAACTCATGTTCATTCTCATGAGCACTTCTCATTATTGTAATATTGTTCAATAAGTCACAATGGCTTAAAAATCAAGAATTGTGTCGGTCCTGGTATGCATTACGGTTCTCGAATCTGAATTAGTTCGGGTTTTGTCAGTTTGTTTACACGAGTCGAAATTAATTTGATCCTCGTAAATGAGGTCGGGCATTGTGTGGAGTACTATATGGATTAGGTGAATTTTGGTTTCATATATTAATTTATTACAACTCGGGTTTAGTTTACGCTAAAATCACAGGTCAAATGAAGATTGCATTCCAACTTGAACAAGATTTTATGAATAATTTGAGCTATGCGTTTTTATGATTAATTTGAGCAAAACTGAAACCGGATTCCCAGCCCAAAAACAACAAAGCATCTGTGGGAAACAGAACAAAAACCAGAAACGAAGCTGAAGATTGTTCTTCATCCCCCTTTACCTTTTGCCACTTTTCTTTTCTCTGCTCACGAATATTTTCCCTTTCCTTTTTTCCTTTGGTGCAGATGGCGGGTCCTTCACTCTTTTATGTGTGTCCCTCTGTCATCAAGTGCCCCTTTTTAACAGTTATCAGTAGCACAAGAACGTGCTGATCTCCTTGAATAGTGGAGGGTCTTTTTCAGTGGATGGGCAGCAGCATATTACTACTGCTAGCAAAATAGAGAAGTTAGCTCAGCTAATTGACTTGACCCACTTGTTAGTATGATTGCTCTCGACAGCTTTTTTACCCATTTGATTAGTTTTACCTGGTCGTTGGTGCTGTCCTCGAGATGAAGAAGAGGGATTGCTTCCTTTCTCGTTGAACTTATGGTGTGTTTTAGTTACAGACATGATTGACAATTAGCATACTCTCATCATTGATGGGAAAAAAGAGAGAGGAAAGGCTGGTCAGACTCTAAAGCTTATGGCCTGGATCATAAGCAATGAGTGGTTGTTCAGAACAGAGAAGAACAGCCGATCACACCATTGGAAGTCTTGTATCATAAGTCTCATACAATCTTCATCTTCTGAACTTTTTTCTAAGCTAGAATCATAACCAGAAAGGTGTGGTATGGTGGTTGACATTCTCGTCCTATAATCATGAAATTGAGGATGGATTTGATCCTTGTTCATGGGAATAAACCTCACCATGTGACCAACCATTTACCGCTTCTCGCGAACACCCGTAACGAAGGGGTGGTCACTGTTGTCGATGGTGGAGGTCAGATGTCGTAATTCTTTTGTTCGTGACAAGACGTGCATAAAGAAGAGAAGTGTGCAATCAATATTATCCAAGCATTACCCGATTGAACTCTAGTTTCTAGAATGTCGATGAAAGTCTAATCCACGTTCATATGACTACCTTCATATTGAAATGCTCGACGTGATGCCTATATGGCAAAAATAAGTGATCTGTTATCGATTTTGTATCAGAAAAATTAATCTGTAACATAGTTTATTGGTCTATGACCATATTGAATAACATCAAACATTTAAATGATAATACATCAAGAGTTACCCCTAACACAATTGTCCACCTCTAGGACAGAAATTGACATTGATACTCTTCTCTTGGTATGAAAGCCATGGTATGAACTACCAATTTCTCGTACCTGCCCTTATCAAATGGGGTCAAAAGATCCTCTCTTTTTCCTCCCCGAAAGAAATCTGCTGACTGCTGCAGAAGTGAACCAGTCCAGAACAGAAACTCTCCTTTCTAGGAATTTGGGAATTGCTGTTTTTGTATTAGATCAATCGAATGTGGAATTCTTTCTCCCAATAACCCAGAACAGAATTAACACATTCTACAATAGAAAAATCAAACTTCCTCTGTCGGTTCCAGTCCCACAGAAAGAAAGTCCAAAAAGGGTCTCTGTCTGTTGCCCCCTAATTTGTTTAGTTTTTGCAGCAAAAGAACAAAATGGGCACTGTTAATCACAGTCTCTTGCTGCTGGGGCCTCGCCATAGCTTTTGGATTCTTGTACAGAGAAAGATGGTACCAAAATATGGTCCACAAAAAAATGATTCCGCGGAATCGTCGGCAGAGTCCTGCCGTCTAACGAACCCTACACACCTTTCATAGTCAAAATGAGGCTGCTCGCGGTGTAGAGGGTTATTGTGCTAACAAGGAGGATCGAATGTACGAGCTGATATCGTTCGATTGTGTACTAATACGCTCTCTGTCATTAGATTATTACGGTAATGTAAATGTACTGATTTTTTTGGTGAGTGAAAACGTTTGTGTTGGCAACTAGACGGTGCAGGTAAGTACATCAGTTCACTCGAAATTGAATTCGATCATTGTTCTTGAACATGATTGTTGAATCGGTGGATTTACGCACGTGCTTACGCATTCCCGACATTCACTAAGTAATAAGGTTTTGGTGCAAGCTTGTTTACCCATTGAAGAAATCCTCTTTTTTTCTTCTTACCACCTCCCTCTTTTTCTTCTCTTTTGTTGTGGTGGATAAGAAGTTTGTTGCTACCTACTCACCAATTGCCACGCTAGTAAGATATTGACCAGTGTGCCAACTCAACAAAGAATGTCGGTCTGGTTTTTGGAACCTTCGGTGTGGTTGTGGTTGGACCAAAGTAAACCGGGTCAGAACCAATGCGAAAAGGCAAACTGTAGGCTGTATAAGCGAACTGCATTAGTTAACTAACTTTCATTTCTGGCAAACAATTGTAAATGCAATAAAATTTTGGCCATCAACCATAAATACGGTTTTCAAATTGGAATCTAAATCTGAAAAAATTGAAGGGCTTCTCTTCTCTATTAACAATCAACCAACTTCATTAATCCATCCACGTGCTACAGTAATGGTTGGGGATATATGCAAGTTGTAACGACCATGAACATGCATCTTTTCATTTATTCGATTGGATTTTGGATTCATGTATCTAATAATATTTTTCGTTATAATAGAATGAACCGTGCAATTAACAACGAATCGTTCCAATAAAACAAAAGAAACAAGAAAAGAATCTTATATTCACAATATTACCAAAAACAAAATATTTTGACAATATAAAATTATTATTATTCTCCCTTGTTTTCCTAATGATATCATTGATAGATTTTTTCTTTACTGCCGGATTTCCCGTTTAATTCTAGTTTTTTTATATAAAAAGTCAGAAAGCTCGTTAATCGGATTATGGAATCAAAATCTAAAGAAATTGAAGAACTTCTCTTCTCTACTAATCATCCAAATGCTACAATAATATATAGTTGGGGAATTTGTAAGTTGTAACGGTCATGGGCATGCATATTTCCATTCATCCTTTTTGGGATTCATGAATCTTATTCACAATATTTTCGTTATAATAAAATGAATCGCACTACTAACAACGAATCAAACCAATATACCAGAAGAGACAAAACATAAAACGGGAAAAGATATCTTATTCACAATATTACCAAAACAACATTTTTTCACAAACTATAAAATTATTATTATGCTCCCTTATTTCCCAATGGTATTATTTAAAGAATTCTTATCATCTTTCCCTTTCTTCTTCGTATTCCCTGCCCGATTTTCCGTTTAATTTAGTTTTTTTAAATCAAAAGTTATAAGACTCGTTCATCAATTTATGGAATGACCATAGCTAATTACACATACCCATAATCATTTCACTTTCGAGCTCCCATATTGATTGTCATCAAGATACTTAGGGTTTTTGCCGACTTAGAAGCGCGATCGTATAGACAACGTAAATTTCTATTTTAATAGGTTATAAGTATAAACTTTTCGTTAGGATGAACCAATCAACTCGATTGAACATTGTGACAGTCAGTGTAACCTATTGTCCGTCTACCCGGTTTGGAAGAAATTAAGAAAATAATATAATCTTCCACCGTCACTACTACTCATTACCGCTCATGAAGAGAGAGTCAAAGGAGGAGGCAACAATGGCAATCCAAGGAACCGAGGGTGGCCCCACCGTACTAAAAATGGTGGATGGGTACTGCGGTCATTTCATCCACCAACCGAAAACTCGTCCAAAGCAGACAAAAAGGAAAAGGATCAAGCACAGAACAGTCGAATGAGTCGATAAATCTAGTGAGAGAAAAGGGAGGTGAGAGAGAGAGAGAGAGAGTGCAGCCGAAGGAAGGAGAAGAACAGGAGGAGTGACACTCATCAATGCAAAAGAATGGAGCTCTCGAGAAAATCTCTCCCTTTTCCCTCCCTCTCTCGATCAATCCAACCCCTCGCAATCATAATCGGCTTCTTCAATCCAAACCCCTGAAAATTTAGGACCAAATTCATCTCCTTTTTTTCGGCCACAAATTCCTCTCCGTCGTCGCTCGCCGCTTCAGTTTCTGTATACATTTACGTGTAAATTTCACTGACTCTGTCTCTGGACACCTGTCTCGCCATCTGGGATTCGCTTTTCATGCCGCCCAGGCCCCAAAGTTTCAGTCTTTTCCTGTAATTCGGAGCTACATTGTGAACCCAAGGGGAAGAAAAGGGGGGGGAAAAAAGAATTTGACTGTCGGCAATGGCGGAAAGTGGGAATGTGAGCCGGCTGAGAGTTGGGTTGGTGTTGATTCTGTGTTTCCTGAAATGGGTTCACGCCGTTACGGATCCTAACGACTTCGAAGTGTTGATGGATTTCAAGAAGGGGCTGGAAAACCCAGAGCTCCTCCGGTGGCCGGAGGAAGGCGACGATGACCCGTGTGGCCCGCCTCTGTGGCCCCACGTGTTCTGTTCCGACGGGAGGGTGACCCAGATTCAGGTCCAGAACATGAGCCTCGCCGGTTCTCTGCCGGAGAATTTCAACCAGCTCACCAAGCTCTACAACTTGGGCCTCCAGAAGAACAATTTCACCGGCAAGCTGCCTACTTTCAGTGGTTTATCCGAATTGCAATACGCCTTCTTGGATTTCAACCATTTCGACACGATCCCTTCTGATTTCTTCGACGGGTTAACCAGCATTCGAGTTCTTTCGTTGGATTATAACCCTTTGAACCACACCGCCGGATGGTCTTTCCCGGCTGCCTTGGAAGGTTCCAGTCAGTTGACCAATCTGTCCATTTCCAGCTGCAACTTGGTCGGTCCGTTGCCTGATTTTCTAGGCAAATTGCCGCTTCTGAACTCTCTGAGGCTTTCTTACAACCAGTTGGTAGGTGAAATCCCTGCGAATTTCGGTCAGTCCTCGATGACGGTTCTGTGGCTGAATAACCAGGAGGGAGGGGGGTTGAGTGGTACATTGGATGTTGTTGGTGAAATGACTTCATTAACAGAACTCTGGCTTCAGGGGAATTCTTTCACTGGGATTATTCCTGATAGTATTGGAGGTCTTGTATTGTTGAAAAAGCTCAATCTCAATGGAAACAAGCTAGCTGGTGTGATTCCTCAAGGATTGGCTGATCTTGAGCTTGATGACTTGGACTTGAACAACAATCACTTCATGGGTCCAATCCCAAAGTTCAAGGCAAGCAAGGTCAGTTATGCTTCCAATTCATTTTGTCAATCTAAACCAGGGCTCTCATGTGCTGAGCAAGTCAATGTACTGTTAGATTTTGTTGCTGATTTGAATTATCCTGTGAGTATTGCTTCTGAATGGTCTGGCAATGATCCATGTGGAGTGCCATGGCCCGGATTGAACTGCGATGCTAACTCGAAAGTCTCTGTGATCAACTTGCCTAGACGGAATCTAACCGGTACACTCAGCCCTTCTCTAGCTAAGCTTACTTCATTGCTTCATGTCAATCTACAAGGAAACAATATAACCGGTTCGATTCCTGAAAATTTCACTAGTTTGGAGGCCTTAAGAGTGCTGGATGTTAGTGGCAACAATCTAAGCCCTCCGTTGCCCAAATTCCATGATGGTGTTAAGCTTGTCATTGATGGAAACCCTCTTCTGGTCAATCAAGGTCACCCTCTTTCACCCCCTAGTGGTACTCCACTTCCTCCAAGTTCACAAACCACTCCATCTGGGAGGAAGCCAATTATAAGCTCACCACCATCGTCTTCTAGTGTGCCAACTTCAGCCAACTCAACTGTCCGTGCGAAGGAAAGATCTAAAGGCAACAAACTGGTAATCATAGCCGGCATTGTGGCAGGTTCACTATTGATTCTCTTGGTGATTGGTTTGTGTATATATTTAAGCTGTATGAAGAGGAAGAAAGCAGCAGGGGCCTCGAGCTTGTTTGTAGTTCACCCTAGGGATCCATATGACCCCGAACGTAATTTGAAGATTGCAGTCGCAAGTAACTATACTGGGACACTTTCCAACACTTCATTGAGTAGTGGTACAACCGAAGGCTCTCGCACGATGGACTCTGGAGGCATGGTGTTATCGGTCCAAGTTCTTAAGAAGGTGACCAATGACTTTGACCCAGAGAATGAGCTTGGCCGCGGAGGATTTGGAACAGTCTATAAAGGTCAACTAGAAGATGGGACGATGATCGCTGTCAAGAGAATGGAGGCTGGTGTTGTCAACAGCAAAGCACTTGGTGAGTTCGAAGCTGAGATAGCTGTTCTTTCTAAAGCTCGCCATCGCCATTTAGTCTCGCTTTTGGGGTATGCTATCGAAGGATGCGAGAGGCTACTTGTGTATGAGTATATGTCTCAGGGTGCTCTGAGTAGACATCTTTTTCAATGGAAGAAGTTTAACTTGGATCCTCTTTCTTGGACGAGAAGATTGAGCATTGCCCTTGATGTTGCTAGAGGAATGGAGTACCTTCATAGCATGGCTAGGGAGACATTTATTCATCGAGATCTCAAGTCGTCCAACATTCTTCTGGGGGAGGATTTTCGTGCTAAGGTCTCGGATTTTGGGTTGGTGAAGCTTGCTCAGAATGGACATGATTCTGTTGCTACTAAGCTCGCTGGCACGTTTGGATATCTTGCTCCTGAATATGCTGGTAAGTATCGCACTTACTCTATCTATGAACAGTTACAACCTTATGCTTCAAGAGGTTTAATGGTACATTATATAATCCCTGTAGTGTGCCGTTTTCACTGTGTTGTTTATCCATTTCTTAGTTCAGCAATTGAAGATTCCATCCAATTAGTTATAGTTGGAATTTCACGTTTCTCCTCAATGTTACTCTTAAATCTCATTTATCCTTCCATTGCAATGCATCTCTCATTTCGAATTTAATGAGACCAAGATTAATAGAATAGTGGACTGATTGAGGGGCGAAATATGGCTCTTCAGCATAAATGACATGAGTTAGCTAGAACGTGCTCACTGAGCATTGGACCGCCCTGTCAGTAACGGATTTGGACTGAAATCTTTAACACAGGCTAGAGAACAGATGAGATACATAGTAGATATGCGCCTTGGTGGAAATCTTGTACTGAAAACTCGTAATTGTTAAAATAACATGGGATTCAAAATACTTTGACATGATTTGGACTGTGTTACTTGAATGACAAGCTATTGTTTTAATATTTATCTATATGCAAGGAACCCGTAATTTCTTCCAATTCCTAGTAACCTGACATTCTGCTGTTGCAGTAACTGGAAAAATCACAACAAAATCCGACGTGTTCAGCTATGGAGTGGTGCTGATGGAGCTCCTGACGGGGCTAACAGCGCTGAACGACGAGCGTGCTGAGGAAACCCGGTACCTGCCAGACTGGTTTCACCACATCAGATCAGACCGAGACAAGATGATGAACGCCATCGACACATCGCTCGAGAAGACGGAAGAAACAATCGAGAGCATAGCGATCGTCGTCGAGCTGGCAGGCCACTGTGCTGCGAGAGAGCCTAGCCAGAGGCCCGACATGAGTCACGCGGTGAATGTTCTTGCACCGCTGGTGGAGAAATGGAAGCCAGCCGAGGACATCTCTCAGAACTTCGCGGGCATGGATCTCCATGCTCCCCTGATGCAGATACTGAAAGTTTGGCATGATAAAGGCACGACGAACTCCTCGGACGCTTCTTCAACTTCGGTGAGTTATGGTGGTGATAGCAAGAGCAGCCACTCGGCTGGTGCTACTTGGTGTCCTGACTCCTTCAATTCTGGTAATTGTCGATAAGCCGTTGGATTATCCGATGATCCAGTTTGAGCTATGATCACGTCAATATCTCGTTGTACCGGGTATGTTACAAGGTTTTTGAGGAGGATTTGGGGAAGGGGACATTTTGGTTTTGTTGTGTTTCTTGCAGGTGGCAAGAAACAGAAATGGTGGTTATGTAGATAGGTAGTAACTAGACAGCCCGTTGATGTTTATTGCATTGTTTTCGTTTTCGCAGGTTGAGTTGGCTGGTTTACTTTCATAACAACTTCCTTGAAGGTGATTGAATTCGACTTGTTTTTTCTTTGTTTCCCTAGTGGTAATTTCTGGTCTCTTCATTAGGGCTAAGACGATAGAGATTTTTCAGAGTGTCAATCTGATTTGGGAGATGGTCTTATAAAGTTTTACTAATTTGGAAAATGGGTTTTAGGAAGACAGTTCTATAGGTTGTTTTGTTTAGTGGCGGAGACACAATGTGAGTGATGAGGCTGAAAAATTTAAGTTTTGAAGGGAGGAGATAAAGCGTTACCAAATTAATTGACCACAAAATTTTCCTGTATTTCTAAGGCCTATATGGATTTTGAGAGCTTTACTCCGTCATTACCTGATCTTTGGACAACTGGTTAGATTTAACTGAGCTTCACTCGCCTCGAAGCAACACATTGTTTGGTTAATGCGCTTGAAAATATGTCATATCTACTACAAAGCCAATTTGGTTAAACATGTCGCACGCCAACGGCCCAAACCTCAGTTGGTGTCCATTTCGATGATAGTTTTCAGTACTACACTTGCCTATGAGTTTATATATAATATGTCTAGATTTGAATTTCAATGCCATATACTAAGGCCAAGTCCAATGCAAAATCCCAAATTTGGGGATTGATCCCCATTTTCCCTTCTTTTGCTCCAATGCTTCAATCTCCATATTTGGGGATTTTCATTTTTCTAGTTTTTCCATTTACTTGAAAATGTACTTATCGTAGTCTTAATATAATTTATTCATATTAATTTTTGTATAGTTCGTTATCATTTTTAAATACAAATTTTTCGATAGAATTTTGTTAAATTCCGAGTCCGAATTTTTTTGGCAAAATATTATGTACCTAATTTGGGTTTATACACAACACTTGAAAATGATTGATTTAATTAAATCTCTATCTAATTCCCTAATTAAACTCTCAATTAACCCCTAAAATCTTAAAAAGAAAAAGAAAAGCCACGTGGCGGGCTTTGGTGAGTCTCTATATTTGGGGGATCCCCCATTTCCATCCCCAAATTTGGGGTTCCATTTGCAGGATCCTCCATTTTTAGAGGCCCAAACCTCCCCATTTGACCATCTCCTCCTTCATTTTTGCAGATTCCCCTATAAATGGGGTGCCCATTGGACTCAGCCTAACACATTAGTATTGAATCATCTCTCTGTTTTCTAAAACAAGATAAGGATACATCAAGTTAAAACTCAACTCATCGAAGATTTTCTAGCTTAAATTTCTATCATTTTCCTCTTCCTATGTGGACATAGACGAGGCCACATGGTGGATGCAGAGAGATTGGAAACCAAGCCATACAATTGGGTTCCAATTGAATTGGAGAGAAGAGAAGGTGGTGCAATTCAATCAATCCCCATCGGTGGGAGCAACTTTTGGCGTTTGGTTCTCATGAAATTTGAGTTTGGTATTATTGGCGAGATGTGAAAGAGAGGGTTTGCCATGTGCAACTCTGCAGTGTTCTTAAATTGCATGCCTCTCTTTGTCACTCTTCTTTCCGTTAAGTTGTTGCTATCAAATGTGATTAGGGTTGTACATGGGTTAGGTGGTCCGAGTTTAGTCATTTTAATCACCCGATCCATGCACTACGGTTTGAAAAATATTAAACCCAAACCCACCCAAAAAAATTAGGGCTAATACCATTGGGAAACCCGAACTATTAACTTTGTGTCATTTGTGTCATAAAGTATTCGATATGACATTTGTGTCACAACGTATGATAGTTGTGTGTCATTTATGTCCTGACGATTTCGTTGACCGTTATAGATAACGGTTGACCAAACGAAAGTCAACATTAACATTGACTTTTGTTGACGTGACAGCCACGTAGATGTCACGTCAATGACACCTCATATTTTTAATTTAAAAATAATAATAAAAAACTCTCTGTTCTTCTCTCACTATTCGCTTCTCTCTCAAAGATTTTCCCAACCCAGAAAAAGATTTGGCCGCCTTTGTTCTTCTCTGTTCTTCTCTCCGTCCACACTTCGACCGCTCCTCTTGCCAATTCCAACCTCGATTCCCTCTCCCGCCTTGCCAAGCTCGCCGCCAGCTCGCCGAATCCAGCGCCCTCTACGCTGTCCTCAATTGCATCACCTCCCCTGCACAGATTCAGTCTTTCCAAGAGAAAGCTCTCTCCCTCCTCCCCAACCTTTGCCTCGACGACGACAACAAAGTCGGGTCGGTCGTTGACGATCCAATCGACCAGATCATCAACATTCTCAGGGCGCAAAAGAAGGATCGATCTGCTTCTCATCTTTTCTCCGAGCTCTTCAAGATCTGTCCCCTCCCCCGGCTTATTTCCCTTTCTTTTTCCCCTGCTTCGATCTCGCTCACTTCTAGCCACCCAGAAAACACAATCCGAACCCAACTCACTGACCTTGCTTCTTCTATGCCTCCTTCGATACCAATCGGTTTATGGATCTGGCGACGGGGACGGGTTTACGAAGGCGGAATCTCATGACGACGGCGGTGAGTGAAGTGATTGAAATCTAGCCGCTGTTGTAGCGATTACGACACTCTACTTCGTGGGTTAGTGGAGCAGAAATGGACGGAAATGGGTTCTTCATCGGGCGAGCGAAGGAAGACGAAGAGAAGCGTAACTCCCAGCCCGCCTCCTCCATTTCCATCGAGGGCGAGAAGGCGCTGATGATGAGGACGACAACGGAATCCCTGGGACCCTGGCCGCCACCTCCCCAATCCGTCGAAGAAGAAAGACGATCTGAAACCCAAAAATTTGGCGAATAATTGATCGGAGAAGAGTGACGATCCAAAACCCACAAATTCGCCGAAAACCCACAAATAATAGAGTTTTTATGTTATTTTTTATAATTATTTTGTTTTATAAAAATTGAATTTAAAATTCCACGTTAGATGCCGCGTCAGCGCTGACTAGACTTTCTGTTAAAAACTAACGGTCAAAGAAGGTCAGCACTTACGAAACAATAGTTTAGGATACAAATGTCATATCGAATACTTTAGGACACAAATGACACAAAGTTAATAGTTTGGGTTTCCTAGTGGTATTAACCCAAAAAATTAAAACCTACGGTTTGTTTCTAATTGGGTTGGGTCGGGTTGACCATATTTCTAAGTAAAAACCCAACCCAACACAAAATATGTAATTATTCTACACCATAAAAATATTTTTATAACTAATTAAAATTTCAAACGAATAAACCGAGGTGAAAGGCATCAAAATTCACAATTGTTCTTTAAATTTAAATAAAATGTGATTTACTTCACACATGTCTAGTTTTTTCATGATATTTTGTTTAAATAGGCTAAAAAGTTATAAATGAACGCATCCATAATATGTTATTCTATTAAAATTGTACACAACTAAAAAGATTACGTGAATCATAGCTATATTAAATCTATGTCTAAACTTTAAGCCGGAAAATGCATTAGATTAGGAAGATCATGAGAGAAAAACATGACAAAATATCTTAATTTTCTAATAAGTATGACTATATACGACTTAAATTTTTTTTGTATACGAACTTATACCAATAGTTAGAACACGGATTGAGTCGGGTTCTACGGGTTGTATAATCCAATATCCAAACCCAACCCAAAAGAGGCGGGTTGTAAAAAAAAAACCCTCACCCAACCCAAAATCTTAGTTTTAGCGATAAATACTTGTGGGTTGGGTCGGTTTGCGGGTGAGTTTGTTCATCCCTAAATGTGACTATCCATTCCCAGCAGCATGCAAGATTCTGTGGCTGCAATGGTGCTTTTGTTTTTGTGGAGAAGGTCTAACTTATCTCTATTAAACCAGTAAAATTTCATCCTACTCCTTACTTAGCAATGTCATGACAAATTACTATAATGCGATGGGATGCTACTACGAATGATTATGAACGGAATCATTTAATTATGTTCATATTTGAAGTTAACGAAACTTAACATCAAGAGTGTTTCATTTTCTCGTACTTGCGCGTTGTGCCATTTGATGCATAATCCATCAAGCTAATCTCTTTTTGATTCGACTATTTGGACCATCAATTGAGAAACTTGATCATGAAGGACTTTCATGATCAACTGTGTTTATTTATAGGTTGGATTTTTGTTATGAAAACTGAAATTATTTTGAATGTCATACAATCGCACGCATATCAAACCTATTCATATGGACAACGAATGGAATTCAATAATCTCCAAGATAGAAAGTGAATGAGTGAAATTGTCGATTTATTCTCTTCATTTGTAGCTTCCGAAAATACCCTAATTCTCTTCCGCCGTTAGATGAGAAATAGATATCATGTACGGGTGAGATTGACTTCGCCATCTACTCGACCAAATGGGGTTCAGCACCCTAACGTCCCTCTGCTCGATAATATTTGGAAATCCACCTCTGCTTTCTACTTTTCTTCTCCTGAAAACGGTCTTTCGAACAGATGGCGCTTCCCGCGCTTTCTTCAACTACCCAACTCCCACACCGCCAGCCGCCGCCACCACCACCGCCGGATGTGAAACCGCCGCACCAAATCCAAACGCGAACTCCTTCAAAATCGAACCTTTCCACCAAACAACACACCTATCATCAGCAGCCAGTAGACCCCACAGTTTCATGGACCTCTTCCATTTCCCGCCTCTGCCGCAGCGGCCGCCTCGCTCAAGCCGCCACGCTCTTCACCCAGATGCGCCTCTCCGCCGTCGAACCGAACCACGTCACCTTCATAACCCTCCTCTCCGCCTGCGCCGATTTCCCAAAAGCGGAAGGCAGGTCCTTCGGCCCCATGGTTCACGCCTACGTGCGGAAATTGGGGCTGGATCGGCATCACGTGATGGTCGGGACGGCGCTGGTCAAAATGTACGGCAAGTGCGGCGAGGTGGAGCGGGCCCGGGTTTGCTTCGATGAGCTCGAGGTGAGGAATTCGGTTTCCTGGAACACGTTGATTGATGGGTACATGAGGAATGACGAGATGGATGTTGCAGTTCAGCTGTTCGACGAAATGCCTCAAAGGGATGCAGTTTCGTGGACACTGCTGATCGATGGGTTTGTTAAAAAGGGTTACTTTGAGCAAGCACTGGAGTCTTTCAGGGAGATGCAGGTCTCCAAAGCCGAACCTGACTACGTGACTATTATTTCAGTCCTGGCCGCTTGCGCTAATTCTGGCGCGCTGGGCTTGGGATTGTGGATCCATCGCTATGTCTTAAAACAAGAATTCAGAGACAATATCAGGATAAGCAATTCATTGATCGATATGTATGCTCGATGTGGATGCGTGGAGCTAGCCCGCCAGGTGTTCGACAAAATGCTCAACAGAACTCTTGTCTCGTGGAATTCATTGCTAGTTGGTCTAGCAGCAAACGGGTTTGCAGAAGAAGCCCTACGATACTTTGAACTGATGCAGGAACAAGGATTTGTGCCAGATGGAGTCAGTTTCACCGGCGCTCTCACCGCCTGTAGCCATGCCGGTTTCGTCGAAGAAGGACAAAAGTACTTCAACCTCATGACAAAGAAGCTCAAAATCTCCCCCAGGATCGAACACTACGGATGCATGGTAGACCTTCACAGTCGAGCAGGAAACTTAGAAGCTGCAATCAAAGTAATCGAAACCATGCCCATGAAACCGAACGAAGTCATACTGGGATCCCTTCTAACAGCCTGTAGAACTCACGAAGATACTGCAGTGGCCGAAAAAGTAATGAGCCGTGTCGTTGATCTACAGCCTGATGTCGATTCAAATTATGTGATACTGGCCAATCTATACGCGGGTGCAGGGAAGTGGGAAGGAGCTAGCAAGGTTAGGAGGAAAATGAAGGCGCTTGGAATAAGAAAGACACCAGGGTTTAGCTCGATTGAAGTTGGACCGAGCATTCACGAGTTTGTGGCTGGCGATAAATCTCACGATGATGCTGAGCATATATATGGTATACTACAGCTATTATCTCACGATCTGAAGTTACTAGGATATGATCCACAGGCCAATGAACAAGATGTCTATCAAGAGCAGTAAGAGATTGCAGAGCAAATGAATCTCCAGAAGGCCATCAGGAAAGTGTGAATGTACTTAAAGCTATTAAATTGAACTCAGTTTGTTCTCTTGACTGATATCATATGCTGTTATAAGCCTTGTTGTTCCTCTTTTAGCCACTTTTGGTATCAGAGGTAACATAATGGATTACTGGCAAGACTTGCAGTGAATATGTAGGAGCTATGCAATCCTTTTTGAGTCCCGTCAGGGGGATGGAATCTATCCAAATATAGTTCAGTTGCAGTACTGGTTATGTGCTTTTTGCATTCATTAGCAAGGAGTAGAGAAATCATCGGAGGAAGTAGAAAAGGCCGGTGATGTCATAACTAATTTAAAAATCGGGCCAAATTCTGAGTTTGATTGACATGGACAGCATTGTTTATCTTTATACACAATCTGCATTACGTTAGCAGCAGCGTCACTCTGGGAAGGGATTTTACCTCTTTCTGTCACTATCGTAGCAACAGAGCATCTAGTTGCTGCTTTGCTTTGTAGTAGAGTAGTACCTGCGGATCCAGGTTATGATTTGATTGCTATTTACTGACCACTTTTGTTTTCATCTGTCCGAACTTTTCACCTTTCCTTTTTACATGTTGGAATGGTATAAAGTAAACAAAAAAGAGACGAGCGATAATTTAGTTAATATGATTAATATACACCATTTCTTACGTCTGCAGTGCCAACAGAGGTAACAGCAGAAAGCTTGCTACTACAAAATTAGCCCAAAACAGGGGAGGGAGGAAAACAGAGGAAGGGCACGTAGTTGCATGGAACACAGTGCAAAGCAGGGCCTTGCATGTACTGAATGGAATAAGCATAATCTGAAGATGTTGCTAGTTAGCTAACGACAAAAGCCTCCTGCTTTACATGAACAAAGATCAAGGGGAAGAAGGTCTGGGCTTCTTGGGGCTACCACCGTTATGGTGCAAAGGGTCTGGTCCTGATGGAACTGATCTCAACTCTTCCTGATGATCCCCAGCCTTAGCTCCCCCAGCGGCAAAGATGAAACCTTTATTAGAGCCCTTCACTGCAGCAAGCAGAACCTGAACCGCACACCACAGAGTTGTAGAGATGTCAATAACAGCAACAACAACAAAAAAAAAAAAAAAAAGGGATGGAGAAAAGAAAGAGAAGAAATATAGAAGACATGGAACCAGACCTTCCTGGTACGGGCTGCTGGTGAAGCTGCGGACGGTGGAAAGATTGAAGCTTTGTTGTCAACGGCTAGGACAAGTGACGAGAAAACCAGAAATAGGAATGCTGATGTTATGAGTAAGCAGCAAGGGGGGAGCTTGTTCAGGGAATTGATACGAGAAGCCATTGTTTACTAAGAAGTTTTGGTCGGAAGTGCAAAGAACGATATAGGTATTGACGTTTCAAAGGAGGAAGATGAGTAGGAGTTATGGAGTTGTGTGAGTTTTGTAAACAGAGCACCTCTCTATTTATACCAGCAAGCAAGGCAGCGACTTTGGATGGTAAAGAGGGAGAGAGAGAAAGAGGAATATCAGAATTGGTAGTAGGGGCAAATGATTACACAGAGCAGCCGTTTGTAGAGGAAATTTTGTTTTCATTATTACAAGGATCTTCTTTGGGCGATATATATATATATATGTATAAATACAGCTAATGTGTTCCTGTTCCATATCAAACAGCCCCATCACAAGAGAGACAGAGAGATGGAGAGAGAGCGAAACAGAGGAGAACAGGGGAGGGGATCTTCTCTTCTCTGCATAAGATAATGTAATTATATTCTTCTTCTAAACTGCGTGTATAATGATTTGTCAGGCGAAGGAAGGGCAAAAGCACCTGAGGGAGGCGCCGTTAATGGAGTAGGGATGCGATGATGGAGGTGATGGTCACAGGCAACGTCATTGCGTCATTGCCACCCCATTGCTTCCCTGCTTGCTTGCTTGCTGTCATCTTCTCTATCTATCAATCAGTCCTCAGTTCGTTTCTCATTGGAGGGAGGGAGGAAAAGGGAGATCACCTGAAAGAGGGGATTCTATAAGGTGAAAATAAACTCTCCCTGCTCCTAGTCCCTTTGATATTCAATATTCAAATTGTTGAGATTAACTAGTTCACAATATTCAATTGACTAAAAGTTCCTGAGTTTAAATTTGGCTAATTGTTGAGATTGGAACAAAACATAATGCATGACAAACATGTTATACAAAAAAAAAAAAAAAAAAAAAAACTGAGCATAAATATGGTGAGATAAATATTAAGTATTGTGTAATATCATCGAATCTTTTTGGAAATTTGGAACACAATAATTTTTTTTAAAACGTGAACAGTATAGTTAAGTTGACTAGAAACATTTGAACTAATTGAGCACAATATAACTTTCTTAATTTTTAGTAGGGTTTTACAAAATAAAAATATCTTGGTAAAACTAGTATTGATACTTGTGCTTGCAGATATCGGCATCGTAATCTCTCTGCTTTAGACCCTTTCAATCTCAACATTAATTAAATTAAAATATAAAAGTCAAGGTTGTAGGTTACTGTTGAAGCCCGGATACTTCACTCTACCAAGCGCACCCTAACTGCCACACCACAGGCGCTCGGACCCTGCAAAACTAACGCCTAGAGGGCCGGAGCCACTCGTTAGCACTCCAACGATCAAGTCAGTGCTAGTTCTAGAGAGATAAGTAAGGAAGTAGAACTTTAGTCAGAGAAACCGACCTGAGAAAATGCCACCTACCGAGTGCTCTTTATACTACTCGAGCTCCTCGACCAGGCTCCGACCAACTCCTGCCATCAAGCCTTACGTCAGCTAAGGCATTTAATGCTTGGTCTGGTCCAACGTCCGAGCGCCTCCACGTGGCGCATCATCAGGCTCGGGTGTTAGGGTGCATGGGGGGACCATCCGCCCACGTGGTGCTTTTCTGATCCTCCTCAGCCGTAATTCTTTGTCCATGAGCCTATTTTGTCGCCATGCGCCCCCTTTACCATTGGTCCCCCCAAGTCATGTCTCAAAGGGCCATTAATGGGCTCAAAGCCCATTAGGCTTTGGGCTTATATGAGCTCATCTATGTTTCCCCAACAATTGCCCCCCAGTTAGGTGCTCATAAGTGAGCGCCTAACTATGAAAGAATTGATTTGGTGCATGGGCTCCGTTAAGGTAGCCGTTCGCCATTCTTCTTTATCAGAGGCTTTAGCAGGCACCCTGTGTTACCTCCCCCCCCCCCCCCCCTGCGTCCATCGGCCTCTATCCATGCTTGTGACCATTTATCCGCTCTTATGAAAGCAAGGAGAAATATGTATGTCGTTGGCATGGATTTGACATTGGTGGCATTCGGCCACATGCTTCCCAGCGTCAGCCCTCATTGTGGGCCAATAATAACCCTGCCTTAGCAGCACTTTCTCTAGGCTCCGGGCGCCTGCGTGCATTCCACACGTTCCTTGATGCACTTCCGCGATAGCCTTTTGCCCTTCGGCCTCCGTGAGACAACGCAGATAGGCGCCCGAGTGGGATCTTTTGTATAACACTCCTTCCATGAGGACACATCGTGCCGCTTTCCTTCTCAAACGCCAAGCCTCTTTGGGGTCCTCCGGGACCACGCCCTGCGTTAGGTAAAGCATGATAGGCGCCATCCATCCTTTCATGGTTCCTACGAGGATAGATGCCATCACCCCCTCATCACGCGGGGCTTCCTTGGTAACGATCACTTTTCTGTCTTCTCCAAAATCCAACGCCGTGGCCAATTCAGATAGGGCGTCCGCATGGGCATTCTCTTCTCTTGGGACGTGTGTGAACGTAGCCTCCCGAAACCACGCACACTTCTCCCTGACGGATTGAACGTATGCCCCGAGCGCCTCCTCCTTCACCTCGTACACATTGTTCAACTGATTGACCACGAGCGCTGAGTCAGTCTGGATATTAACCCTCTGGGCGCCCAACTCCCTTGCCATGTGAAGCCCCGCCAGGACCGCTTCGTATTCCGCCGCATTGTTCGTCTTAAGAGTTGCGAAACGCAGTGCGACCTCATGCATCGCGCCCTGGGGACTAATTAGCACAATACCTGCTCCCGCACCAGCTCGACTTGCCACTCCATCCACTTGAAATTGCCAACATTCTTCCGCGCTATTCCCCGCGTCGACCACTCCTTCTGCCACGAAATCGGCCAACACTTGCGCCTTGATGGCTGGTCTGGGCGCATAACTCACATCAAACTCGCTCAACTGGACGGCCCATTTAACCAGGCGCCCCGAAACATCCATGGACCCAAGGACCGTTCGGAGAGGCAAGTTCGTGAGTACCACGATGCTGTGAGCTTGGAAGTAAGGTCGGAGTTTGTTAGCCGCCATCACCACCGCCAACGCTGCTTTTTCAATGGGCGCATACCTTGTCTCGTGTACCACCATGGTGCGGCTCACGTAGTATACCGGCCTCTCCTCATTCGTCAGCGGATCTTTGGACACCAACACCGCACTCACCGCAATCCGGGACACCGCAATGTACAAGTATAGCGTCTCCTTGATCTTAGGCGCGGTCATCACAGTGGGCGCGGTCAGCAACTTCTTTAAATCTCCGAATGCCTCATCGCACTCCTCCGGTCATTTAAACTTGCTTGCCTTCTTTAGAGTTCTGAAAAAGGGGGCGCCTAGATCGGAGGCTCTTGGAATGAAGCGCCCCAGCGCCGCCAATCTTCCCGTCAACCCTTGCACCTCCTTAGGCGTTCGGGGGGGGCTTCAAACTCATGATTGCCTCAACTTGCTTGGGGTTGGCCTCAATCCCTCTTTTTGTGATCATGAATCCCAAAAATTTACCAGCTTCTGCTAAGAACACGCACTTCTTCGGGTTGAGCCGCAGCTTGTACAGGCGCATAGTCTCGAATGTTTCCCTCAAGTCCGAGATGTGGTCTTGGCGCCTCTTGCTTTTCACGATCAAATCGTCAACATATGCCTCGACGTTCATTCCCAACTGCTCACGAAAGATTTGATTTACCATGCGCTGATATGTGGCACCTGCATTCTTCAAACCAAATGCCATCACTTTATAACAGAAATTGTCAAAAGGGGTCATAAAGGCGGTCTTTGCTCTATCTTCCTCCACCATGGGAATTTGATGATACCCCGAAAACATATCAAGGAAGCTAAGCGCCTCGTGATAGGCCGTGGCATCCACAAGCCGGTCAATGCGCGGCATCGGGTAAGCATCCGTCGGGCACGCCCGATTAAGGTTGGTAAAGTCCACGCACATTCTCCAATCCCCCGACGGCTTTGGGACGAATAGAACGTTCGACAGCCAAGTGATATACCTGGCCTCCTCAACAAACCCTGCCTCGAGCAACTTATCGACCTCCTTCCGCAGGGCTTCCTCTTTCTCTTGAGTCAAATTTCTTCGTTTTTGTTGGACAGGTCTTTTTCCCTCTTCGACGGCCAATCGATGCGCCACCACGTCTGGAGACACTCCCGGCATGTCCTGAGGGCTCCATGCAAAAAGCTACCCGAATTCTCTTAACAAATTGACTAAGGGCGCCCTCATGTGCTCTGGCGCCTGTGCTGACACTCGCACTTGACGGTCTAGGCGCCCTTCTTCAATCGGCACACTGAACTCATCATCCACAGGCTCTGCTCTGAGCGAATATCTATGTTGTTCACCCTGTGCCTCCGGGCGCCTTTCCTTCTCCATTCTTCCTCCCGCGCGTATCGGGGGGCGCTTTCTCCTCTTGAGATTCCTATGCCTTGCGGGGCGACGAACTTCAACGTTTGGTGACAAGTTGAGGCCACCCCATTGAATAATGCTAAAAGGGGCCTCCCCAGTATGACATTGTACGGTGAGGGGCAATCCACTATCCCAAACTCCACTGCATGTGTTACTCGATGCGTTCCATCACCCAATGTAACCGGAAGGCGCACACGCCCTATCACATGAGCAGGCGCCCCCGAGAACCCAATCAGCACTGAATCAGAGGGGCTCACCAACTCTGGCGCCAACTGCATGCGCTCGAATGTGCTTTTGAACAAAACATCCATCGAACTTCCCGTATCTACCAACATCCTTTTGACTTTGCACCCTGCAATGATTCCTTGTATCTCCAAAGCCTCCTCCGAAGGCACTTGACATGCCTCATCCGCCTCCTGATTAAAGCATATCTGGACAGCTGCCTTTGCTTCCACGGACGCCGCCCTGAGGCGCCTAGAACGATCCAACTTATCTCGCAAGTCAATGGTACCAGTTATGGATTCCACGGTGAGTCTTACCCGGCTGGGTTCTCCTTCTTGATTCACTTCAAACGGAGGCGGGGGTATCTCAAGCGGGGGTGGGTGAACCTCAGGCGCCTGTTGCACTGTGGGGAGGATGGGCGCCCTCGGCGTAGTGGGACCAACAGGCGCCTGCCTTGTTTCCCTCGTGACGTAAGCACGATGGGTCCGCTCGTCTGTTTTTCTTATAAAGTCGTTGAGCATCCCTCGATCGGCTAGAGTCTGCAGCTCCGATTTTAGTTGGTAGCAATCGGCCGTATGGTGCCTTTTATCCCGATGGAAGTCGCAGTATCGGTCAAGATTTCGCTCATTCGGTTGCCCACGCATGGGTCCCGGCCAACGCACATGGTACCCTCTATCCTTCACGTACTGCATAATGTTCTTCAAGGAATCGTTGTACTCCGTAAAGTTTCCCGCACTCCTGGGCAAGGGGCGCTGACTCTCCACTCTCCTCTGCGGAGCGTTGTTCATAATGAATGGTCTGGGAGCCTGGCGCACTTCAATCTCTTCTCGGCCCACGCGCCTCTTCTCGGCTCTTCTTGCAGCCAAGGTCTCCTCCAAGGCAATCACCTTCTGAACCCTTCGATCCAAGTCTTCTGTTGAAACTACAGCCTTCTTCGACAGCACTCGGCATAACTCCTCACTGTTCGTGCACTCCTCTAGGCATACGCCCAGGACGGGCGGTTGCACATCCTTCACAGCCATGGCGACCGAAATCCACCGGTCATAGAACTCTCTAAGCGCCTCCCCGTCCTTCTGCTTGACTTTAAACAAGGCGCCTATAGTCAGTGTCCGACGCTTCCGGCTCGCAAATTTGGACAAGAACAATTCCGCGAACTGTTCAAAGCACTCAATGCGTCCCTCCTCCAATTGATGATACCAGTCCAAAACTACTCCCGCGAATGTCGAGGGGAACACCTTGCATAGCGTGGCGTCCGTGCTGTTATACAGCTGCATCTTCGTAAAATAGCTATTCAAATGATCCTCCGGGTCAGTGACCCCATCATAGCTGGTCAGAGGCGGGAGGGTAGTTCCTGCTGGTTCCATCAGGACACTTTGCGCCAGGGGTTGCCTGATCCCAAAGCGCCTGGTCTGGCGTCTAGGCGTCCATGGGTTTTGCTCCTCCGGCCCCGAGCCGGCCAACTCACCAGGCGCTCTCCACCCAACCGGGCGCCTAGGTGGAGTAACTTCCGCATGCGGCCCTTCATAGTATGGGCGCCCGTACTCACTAACGTCCGAATCATCCACGAGCCTGTCGCGCTTCCTTACTGGGGGGCTGTATTCTCTTGTATCGGCGCTCCTTCCACCCTCCAATTCCCTCCGAAGCATGGCTATTGCCTTGTCCTGGTCCGCGATGATCTTAAACAGCTCCCTCTTTGACAATGAGTCACTCTCAAAAGATGGGCGCTCACGACTTTCTTCCTCTACCTCCATGCTCACCACTGGGCTAGACCGTTGCCCGCTCTCCTCATGACTGGAGTCCTCCGTTCTCGCATCGTCCACGCCCGCATTTCCTTCATTCAAGTCTTCCATCTTCCTATATCCTCTCAGGCTATGCGCCCCCTTCTTGGCGCGCCAATTGTTGAAGCCCGGATACTTCACTCTACCAAGCGCACCCTAACCGCCACACCACAGGTGCTCGGACCCTGCAAAACTAACGCCTAGAGGGCCGGAGCCACTCGTTAGCACTCCAACGATCAAGTCAGTGCTAGTTCTAGAGAGATAAGTGAGGAAGTAGAACTTTAGTCAGAGAAACCGACCTGAGTAAATGCCACCTACCGAGTGCTATTTATACTACTCGAGCTCCTCGACCAGGCTCCGACCAACTCCTGCCATCAAGCCTTACGTCAGCTAAGGCATTTAATGCTTGGTCTGGTCCAACGTCCGAGCGCCTCCACGTGGCGCATCATCAGGCTCGGGTGTCAGGGCACATGGGGGGACCATCCGCCTACGTGGTGCTTTTCTGATCCTCCTCAGCCGTACTTCTTTGTCCATGAGCCTATTTTGTCGCCATGCGCCCCCTTTACCATTGGTCCCCCCAAGTCATGTCTCAAAGGGCCATTAATGGGCTCAAAGCCCATTAGGCTTTGGGCTTATATGGGCTCATCTATGTTTCCCCAACAGTTACTATTCATTAGTGGCTCTCACACTCCTCCAAGTGCAAGTAGGAAAGTTCCAAACCCTTCTTTTATCCTACTCTTTATTCTACAACCTTTGTGTTTAGTTATTATTCGCTAGGTTTTTGTATCTTTTTGCACAAATCATCGCCTTTGTGTTTTGTTATTGTTCGTTAGGTTTTCGTCTATGGCTTTTTGCACAAAGCATCGCCTTTGTCTTTAGTTATTGTTCACTAGGTTTTCGTCTATGACTTTTTGCACAAATCATCACCTTTGCCCACCATTTTGCAGCCCATCTCGAAATACTGTCGGCGGAATCTTAAGTTGTTCCCCACCACCGTTTCCCAAGGCCGCTACCACGAGTTTTGTATCAGGACCGAGTTTCATCATATTTAGTGTTTTTTTCCCTTCTTGTTGAGCATGATCACAATTGAATCCAAACACATGGGTATCCTAACTTGAACACAAATCATCGTCTTTGCTCACCATTTTGCAGCCCATCTCAAAATACTGTCGGCGCAATCCTAAGTTGTTCCCCATCATCGTTTCCCAAGGCCGCTACCACGTAGGTTTTCGTCTATGGCTTTTTGCAGAAATCATCGCCTTTGTGTTTAGTTATTGTTCGCTAGGTTTTCGTCTATGACTTTTTGCACAAATCATCGCCTTTGCCCACCCTTTTGGCTTTTGCAGCCCATTTCGAAATACTGTTGGCGGAAACATAAGTTGTTCCCCACCACCGTTTCCTAAAGCCGCTACCAAGAGTTCAGTATCGGGACCGAGTTTCATCTTGTTTAGTGTTTTTTTCTTTTTTTTTTATAGCATGATCACAATTGAACCCAAACACATGAGCATCCTAACTTGAACACAAATCATCGCCTTTGCCCACAATTTTGCAGCCCATCTCGAAATACTGTCGGCGGAATCCTAAGTTGTTCCCCATCATCGTTTCCCAAGGCCGTTACCACGAAATTTGTATATGGACCGAGTTTCTCTTTAGTGTTTTATTATTGTTCGCTAGGTTTTCGTCTATGGCTTTTTGCACAAATCATCGTCTTTGCCCACCATATTGCAGCCCATCTCGAAATACTGTTGGCAGAATCCTAAGTTGTTCCCCACCATCGTTTCCCAATGCCGCTACCACGAGTTTTGTATCAAGACCGAGTTTCATCCTCTTTAGTGTTTGTCTTTTTTTCCCCTTTTTGTTGAGCATGATCACAATTGAACCCAAATCCATGAGTATCCAACCTAATTCGATCAAGTCAAAGCGACTTGAAATCGACTTTAGCATTTATAAATTTCTTCTTCTTCTTTTGGTTGTGAAGACAATTGAACCTGAATCTAAGGTTTTGACGAGTGTTGTATTGTGAGTGAGCTTTATCGGCTTTTATAGTTGGCAGGTTGGACCAAGTGTTAATTTGTTAAAAAAGTGTTCAAAGTGAGTTGAACACGTTGTTGACCAGTTTTATATCGAAAGCGAGTTTTGTACGCTTTAATTTTTTTTATTTCTCATTTTCCTTTTCGTTGAGAATGACATTGAACTCTGACCATCGTTGACGCGTTTCGTATCGAGAACGAGTTTTATCCGCTTTTGTAATTGTCAGGTTGGGTAAATTGTGAATTTGTTAAAACTGGGTCGACCTGGTGTTGACTGTAGTGTTGAGAATTTGTGGTCATGAGCGAGTTTTATCCGCTTTAGTATTTTTTATCTTTTTCCGTTTTGGTTGAGGATGACAATTGAGTCCAAAGTAACGCATGGGTATACGAGCTAATTTGACCCGACCAAAGCAACTTGAACCTGAGTTTTATTTGTTTTTGTACTTGGTGTGTTGTGCAAGGTGTGCATTTGTCCAAAACTCGGTCCAACCAGGTCAAAAAGAGTTGAACTTGGAGTTGACGAGTTTTGTGCCGGTAGCGAGTTTTAGTTTTAATGTTTTTCATTTAGCCTTTTCCTTTTGTTTGAGAAAGACAATTGAACTCAAATCCATGGGTACCCAACCTAATTTGACCCGATTAATGCGAGTTGAACCTCCTCAAACTGCAATCAGTCCAAAAAATTAAAACATTAGTGTCATGAAAGAAGTTTAAACATAAATTGTCTATTCGACGACCTAATTACCTTATGCAAGTGCATTGACCATATGCTATTGTAAATAAAAAACCTCTGAAAAGAATGATTAAAAATGAAATAAAATTACTTTCACTTTTGGGTCAACATTAAAACTATTACTCTTTAAAATATTTATTTTTGTGATACGCGAAGTGATAACGAGCGGACTTTTGCTTATAAATTATAAAAACATCACCTATTGCCGGTTGTTAGGTGTGTTTCACATACATTTTAAAAAATTTAAGCATTCTCTAATTAGGGCTTCAGTTTAGGGATAATCTTAGATAGATCATTGATGTAACAAGATCTCTCTCATCATTAAAAAAGAGGAAATTTAGTTTACAGCCAGTTGTACTTGACTTTATGTTACCAAAGGGCTGACGCCATTAATTGCCTAAAGGTATTATTAGAAACTGGACGCTGATAGTACAATCAGAAATGTCTTCCCAGTTCCCACTAGAAGAAGTGAGTCCCTTTCAGTTTCCGTTATCCTTGCGGATTCCCTTTTTCGGGTGTTCTTCTGACTACCAACACAGAGAGAAAGAGATCTGATGACTGACGCACGAGTGACAGCAAAACAACAGGCTGATCAGAAAGAGGTCATAATTCCTTATCCCTTCCCCAATTCTTATTAGTTTCTTAATTCTTGTATTAGTCTTTTTGGAATTGGGTAAATTTTTGGCATTGGCTGGTGATTTTGCTTCTCCTCTTCTCTTAATTACCATTCTTAATGATGCCCTCCATTTACTTATTTGTCTCTTCCAAAGACTGGGGATGCAATTTCTTTGATTGATCACAGTGGATCTGTTTCTTTTTTTGCATTCTGGTTTTGGATTTTGTTGAGTTAAAAGAAACTCTGTGTTTTTTGGAATGTAACAACAAAGTGATTAATAGTAATCGATTTTTTTGGTGTCAGTAACTTACTTCACCTAATTTGTTGTAATAGGACTTTTAGTTTGCATGTAAATAAAATTATATATTTGTTATATCATCTCTTCATCACTAGTCTAAGTATCTAACCCTAACCCATTACACCTATCCCTCCCTTCCAATCATAGGCGGAGGCAGGGCCTTTTGGATTTGTCACAAGACACGGGTTAGTTTTAGTATAAAAATAATAATAAGAAGTTCATATCTATATTTATGCAATCGATCAAACTCGTTATTTCTAAGTGATGTAACGGTATCTTGTCACTACACAATAGCTCAATTCCTGTTATATGTATTAAGTATTTATTTATGTATTTATATTATGAAAAAAAAATTAACACGCCTAATTTCAAGTCCTGACTCCGCCACCTCTTTCGATCAATGTTGTCAAGCCTTCCTTTTCCAAATGGACCAAAAGCAGAAGTTACCAACACATAAGGGTTATCAAAATTACCATGTGGTTTGATTTTGCATGAAAAGGCTTTACATGTGTCCTCTTTCACTTCCACTTTAGTGTAAGTTTTTTACTATTAAGACCCTATCAATAGTTTTTTTTTATGAATTATAAAACTTTTATTAGAACATAAACGGTTCAAACAAACAAGCAAGAAACAATATTACAAAACAACAACCAAAAGTTTTACTTGGCAATACTAACTATTGTTATGTTGAGGATCTTCTCTCCATGTAGAAAGATTGACTATTCTTGGCTTGGGTTGAAAAGTTAATGGTCTACATACCATGTTTCTGCATATCCAACCCACACCACACAAAAATTCTACTGATCTTATATTAGTCCTTCACTCCTTTTTGCATACATGGCCATCCTTAACCCATGAAATAGAAGACAGTACAGAAGTCTTTGATATGCAAGTCAGATTTTACCTTTGACTAACAATGTTGTTTGATATCAAAACCACATTTCCACGGTCTATTTTGATGGCTATTCGACTATTTACGTTATGGTATATAGAAAACACCGAAATCCACATGTTGAAGTACACAAACAAAACAGTATCATGTAGTGAAAATCTCATAATTTTATTATTCTCAGGGGTATAAACACAATCAACGCATTCCATGAGAACGTAACTTTAATTCGCCCTCCTCAGAGTTCTGGGCCTGGGTGCATTATCCCCTTTACTTGTACCGCAAGTTACATTTTATTGGCAAACATGTATATATATATATATATATATGGTGGCTTCTATGGTACCCCGAGTGAAATCCGAGGTACCGCATACCTCGAGTATGGAAACTCTATCTAGACCTCGAATTACCAGGATTTTTGTGTCTGGTATTATACCCTAACCTTTAATGAGTGAACCCTAGGTCATAATTATCTAAATCATAATCTATAAACCCTAAGATGTTGCATTCTTTTTTGTGCATATATTTGGATGAATCATAACCGTCGATTATTATTTCTAATTAAATTGATCTTGGAGTATAAGATTGGGAGAGTTAACACCTAGATTTTGATCTTTAAGTGTTAGAGTATAGTATCATGTTCGAAAGATCGGTCAATTCAAGGTCTAGATAGTGTTTTCATACTCAAGATATGCGGTACCCCGGATTTCACCCAGGGTACCGTAGAACTCACCATATATATATACATATATATGTATGTATGTATATATATATATATGTGTTTATTGCACAAATTAAGATTCACATTGTCACAATATGCATACCAACATTCAATCTGAATCTTAATTTATTTGTAAGTTCGGTTGACCCAATCCTACTAAGAACACATCATACAACACGAACCATCAAAACACTCATGCTTCAATGGTCTAGCCCCATCGCCTTTCTGGTTTTCCCCACAAACATGTCTCTGGATTTGATGAACCCTGGAATGATGCCACTGATTGTTGCAAACGGGAACTGTGCCACTGCTTCCCTCCTGCCCAGTGAAACCATCGCCATGTCTGCTCCTGGCTTGTGAGTGCTCAATTTGCAGGGGTTTCCTCCTTCTAAAGTTACCTTCAGGTTTTTCGCAACTACTGAAGCGTGGTTTTGGGCCAAGTACCCTTGTTTGAGCTCCTGCAAATCGATTTTGCAGCGGTCTCGTCAGTAATGAATCCTATTAGTTCAATGACTACCAGCTAAAGCAAAAGGGGTTTCAACTTACAGGAATGTCCGTGATATCACCGATTGCAAAGACATTGTCTCTACCTTTAACCTTCAAATACTCATCAACCATCAGCCTTCCCTTAGCATCCAAGTGACTCTTCAACACAGTGTCCTTGAGCCAGGATGAGCCTACCGGTTTCACAGTGCACAAGAAATGGCAATCTGCTTGGATAGTTTCCCCGGATGAGGTACGATACGTTCTCCTGCCATCGTCGTCTAACACATTGTCTAAATCGACTCTCTGCTCCAGCTTCACTTCAACCTTCTTCGATTTCAGCCATTTCAACGCCTTGTCTCCAGCCTTTGGCCCAATGTACCCCAGCAGCCTTGGACCATTATGAACAAGTGTCACCTGCTTTTCGGGGTAATCAACAGCGATTTCTCCAGCAAGTTCAACACCAGTAGGACCACCTCCAACAATCAAAACGGAAGTAGCAGACTTGATCTTCTCATTTTCTGCACATACAAAGTAACAGGAATCACGCCTTCAGTTCTGTTCTATGCGTATCCCTAGCATGAATTTAAAAGCAAGGGAAGGTATAAAGCAAAAGAGCGATTGCTGCTGTGTTTACCTGAATGGTAATGAGCAATCCTTTCCTTCCTAGTCTTGGGAACAGGATCCTTGTGGCCAGTTGCAATGACGAGATAGTCGTAGCCAACTGCTTCCCCATCTTCAGTCATGACTTCTTTCTCGGTGACATCGATTGCATTGGACGTTATAACGCGCCCATTCGTGAAGTAGTCTCGATGCTTGATCACTGCTCTCTCTGCGAACGAAGGCTCTACCGTGCTCCTCAAGGTTGCCCATGGTATCTCGAAGTAGTCCTTCCTGTTTGCAATCATTGATTCAGGTTAAAGTGATCACCAGCAGCAGCTTATCAAAAAGAAAGAAAGAAGGGCTCTCAGCATTTCGCACTATAGTTGAGAACCAAAGAGTAAAGCAAGTCACTTTCTCCTAAAAAAATTCCCCTGATAAGTTAGGGTTTAAGGAATGCGTTCAATTCGGATTGAATTCCTCCAAATAGGAGGAGACATTAAGTTCAAGTTCCCCATAAATCCACCATCGGCAAACATGCAGCTAACTAGATTGAAGTCTGCAATTTGAGAATGCGAAATGCAGAACAATTGGAAAGAAAGAACAGGACAACCGGGGTACTGTTACTGTGCCGTCTCCGAGGCTCCATTCATCAGTTAACAGCTAAATCAATCATAAACCCACAGAAATGGAATCACCATAAGCCACAATTAGAGGGGGAAAGAGCGTACGGGTCGATTAGTGTGACGTCGGCAGTGAATTGGGCGGATTTGGCGAGCATTGAACCAGCAACGCCGCCTCCGACGACCACCAGCCGCCGGCCAGTTCCCGACGACGATGCCTTCTGCTCTTCCATAATCTCCGATCGACGATGGGAAATGGGAAATGACGATTGACGAAGATTTGGGAGGGGTTTAAAACGTAGTGGAGTTAGCTTGGGGAGGAAGGAAGGCGCAACAGTGAGAAACAAAGGAATCCAGGATAGGAAACGAAGAATAAAAAAATCGTTGACGATTCATCAAAAAGAATAAAAAAAAATCGTTGACGAATCTAGTGTGGAATTACTCGATAATCATTCATATTTGGCGAGGCTAACAAATCAGACACCAGACTAATTAAATGACAAAGTTACAATATTATATTATTTTATCGAAATATACTGAATTAGTGAGTGATACTGTTTTACCAATTTTTTTCCTATACATTGATAATGAAATTTAGAGTAAACAAATTTTCACTAATAGTAAAAAAATAAAATGAAATTCACAATTAAACAAAATTTTGGAGTAACAACTAACAAGTTGATATCTCTTATGCTGACATTTTCCAATGTTTTCTCGGTATATGAATTCACGAATAATTATTTCAGATCAATTATTTAGGAGAGATTGTAGCACCTGTTGAACTTCTTGTAACTCCGTTGTCGACTTGTCGTAAGTCGTAACTAGTTGCTATTAAATTGCATGACGAATGAGTAGAATTTTTGAAGTGGGATGATTATATTGTTATTTACCAAAAGAGCAAAAAAGTCACTAAAAGTAACTATTTGACTAGGGGAGGGCCAGTTCTTGTTGTCATTTTTAATTTTGGAACTGGGGGAGCTTTCGACGAAAATCCATGCATGGATGAAACACGGAACCACCTCAAGACTTACGTCAATCCTTCGAGGAGGTGACGACAAACAGCAAAGGAACTAGGAAGCATCATGGAAACTGGGCCCTGGATATTGGGCCGGATGGGCGTCATTAAACCAAGGCCCATTTCCATTCAAGTCGAGGGATAAGCTAGTAGTTATGGCCCAGGTTTGATTATGATCCGCGTAAAACCCAACTACACCAGCGCAAAAAGTTTATTGCATTGCCCGGGATTCAACCCTACAAAGAAAACATATCATACAACAACTTGGCCAAGCTCGAACCTATAAGCTCATAACATTACATGACGTAACCCTCACAGCTGAACCTTAATACAGGGAAAGTAAAACAGTATGGAAGACATACAAACAAATACAACACGGTCACACCAAGTTTTTACCAACAAATCAATGCTTCAGTGGTCTGCAACATTAGGGGTCTAGCCCCATCGCCTTTCTGGTTTTCCCCACAAACAAGTCTTTGGATTTGATCAAGCCTGGAAGAACGCCACTAACTGTTGTAAATGGGAACTGTGCCACAGCTTCTCTTCTTCCCAGTGAGACGATTGCCAAGTCTGATCCTGGCTTGTAAGTGCTCATTCTGCACGGCCTTCCTCCGTTCAAAGTTACCTTGAGGTTTTTCGCAACTACTGAGGCATGGTTTTGCGCCAAGTACCCTTGCTTGAGCTCCTGCAATCGATATTGCAGCGCTCTCGTCAGTAAAGAAACCTATTATTAGTTTACTAGGGGGGGGGGGGGGGGGGGGGGGGGGGGATTCAACTTACAGGGATGTCGGTGATATCTCCGATAGCAAACACATTGTTTGTGCCCTTGACCTTCAAATGCTCATCAACCATCAGCCTCCCCTTACCATCCAAGTGACTCTTCAACATGGTATCCTTAAGCCACGACGAGGCCAGTGGTTTCCCAGTGCACAAGAAATGGCAATCTGCCTGGATAGTTTCACCGGATGAGGTATGATATGTTTTGCTGCCGTTGCCATCTGAGACAATATTGTCCAGATCGACTCGCTGCTCCAGCTTCACTTCAACCTTCCTCGATTTCAGCCATTTCAACGCCTTAGCTCCAGCCTTTGGCCCAATAAACTCCAGCAGCCTTGAACCATTATGAACAAGTGTAACCTGCTTCTCGGGGTAATCAACAGCGATTTCTCCAGCAAGTTCAACACCGGTAGGACCCCCTCCCACTATCAAAATGGAACTAGCAGACTTGATCTTCTCACTTTCTGCACATACAAAGTACCAACATAAACATACAAGCTAAAACAGCATATAGGAGCAACACGCATTGAAACTTAAGCTACATTGCTAGCTAGGCATCAAGTAGAAATGCAATCCTGCGTTCAATTCTGTTCTATGACTAGCCCTGACATGAATTAAAAGTAATGCAAGGGATAAAGCGAAGAGCTTGAATTTCCATTTCATTGTGTTTTACCTGAATGGTATTGAGCAAGTCTTTCCTTCCTAGTCTTAGGGACAGGATCCTTGTGGCCAGTTGCAATAACAAGATAGTCATACCCAACTGCCTCGCCCTCTTCAGTTATGACTTCTTTCTCAGTGATATTGACAGCATTGGACGTTATGACGCGCCCATTCGTGAAGTAATCTCGGTGCTTGATCACTGCTCTCTCTGCAAACGAAGGCTCGACCATGCTCCTCAAGTTTGCCCATGTGATCTCGAAATAGTCCTTCCTGTTTAAAATCACCAATTCAGTTTAATGTGATCACTACCATAAGGCTAACAGCATTGCACAAAATTGTTGGGAACGAGTAGGAAAGCTATCGCTTCCCTCCTACAAATTCCTCTGGTAAGCTAGGGTTCTAAGAAGTTGCTGAATTCTGATGGAATTTTCCAAATAAAAGGAGGCATTAAGTTCAAAGTTCCCCATAAATCACCATCGCCAAACATGCAGATGCCTGGAAATGCTTCGAATTGAAAGTTGTCAGTTTTCAGAATGCGAATTGCAAAGCAATGGAAATAAAGAACAGAGCAACCAAAGCACTTCCCCACCTTCAAACACTCCATTCCCAAATTAACAGCTAAAGGAATCATAAGCCCACAGAGATTCAATCACTATAAAACCACAATTAGGGAAGGGGGAAGAGCGTACGGGTCAATGAGGGTGACGTCGGCAGTGAATTGGGCAGATTTGGCGAGCATTGAACCGGCAACGCCGCCTCCGACGACCACCAGGCGGCGTCCCGTTCCCGACGACGATGACGATCCCTTCTGCTCTTCCATGATTTCCCGGTGGACGATGGGGAATGTGAAATGACGATTAACAAAATTTTTTGAGGGGTTTAAGAAGTAGAGGGAGTTAGCTTGGGGAAGAAGGCGCAAGAGAAACAAAGGAATCCGGGAAAAGAAACGAAGAAGAAAAGGGAGAAATTCGTTGATGAATCTAGTTGGGTTGGTTTGGTTGTTTGGGTTTGGGATAAATTTTTCTGGGTCCCGTGCTACAAGCTTATTTATAGCTTTCTGGAAGAATGAAGCAGCTGGCGTTAGTTGCTGCCGGCTGCTGCGTTCTTTTTCTATTTTCTGGATTGTGCAGATGCTGGCGCAACGTATCGTATGACGTTGCATGGCCAAAGCAAAGATTTTCTTAAAAGTTTTCTGAAACATGGAGCCAGCTCAGGACACACGTCACTTATGAGTCATGACGCGCCAAACAGCAAGGAAGGAAGGAAGCAGCTACAACAGTTGGGCCCTAGAAATTGGGCCGGATGGATTGGGCGCCATTAAACTAAAAAGGCCTATCTCCATTAAAGCGATTAGGCTAAACTAGTTACGGCCCAGGTTTGATCACGGTTCAGGCTCAGTTGATCCTTTTCCGTCGACGGAATCGAATATGCGGTCGTCGCTTCGCTGCTGATGGCGTGGCTGGCTTCAGCTGCATGTTACTGTACGCAATAATGGGGAAGAAGACGAAGGGAGGGAGCATGGAGCGTGAGCCGCACATGGCAGAGTTTGGAGACTGGAGAGAGATAGATAGACAGGGATGGAGACAGAGAGTTCTTCTGATACAGTGACGAGATATAATAATAATAAGTTAATAATTAGTGACCCCTAGGCCTTCTTCTTTCTCATGTATAGTATAGTCGTTTTACTGGTTGGTTTGGATCTTCTTCTTCTTCTTCTTCTGGTTTGGCTTCTTTCATTTCTTTTCGTAGGATGGAAGATCCCGCTGCTACATACACAGGTTGCTGTTGCCATTTGCAACTTTATATGGCCATCTGGTGAGGTCGTGGACTCAATCATTGGGTATTAAGGTCGTATGATAATAAGTTAGCTTTTTTTGAAGGTACTGAAAGCGCTATTATATTCAGGGGATTGGGGGGAAGTACAGAAGTAGGGAAATCCCACTAGGCACAGGCTAGCTAGCTACTCTCGCTACCTAGCTACCTTTCCTCCAACTAGTACTTGTAAACTTGATGAAGAAACAACAAGCTAAATTGTTCGTCTGTCCGTCGAACAATGTCTTACAAACTGCTCTAAATTTTTTTTTTCTTTTCAAATTCGTTATAGATTTTACAAATGTATTAACTTAGAGAATGTTATTATGATCCGTCCTCCTGACTGAGTCCTGACCACTCCATCCAACAGCATCTTGACTCTTGAGTAATGCTTCATCAAAGAACGTAACTTTTGCCCCTAGTTCTTCTCAATTAGTTAGGTATGGAAATGGAAGATAGTTTATGTCTCGGGGGTGGTTTAGATTCTATCGTATTGATCATGAATGACCGGATTATTTTCTTGACTGAATTGTGTTTGCATTCTGATTCGTGTTTTAGGTATAGTCTAGGTAAATCAGATTTGTTGGTTGAGTCATTTGAAGTCTTAAATTAATATAAGAAGTATCAAATTTCTTATCTTTTTTTTTTTTACATGGGGTAGGAGAGAAATTCTACCTTAAATTAGAGTATGAAATGTATATAGTAATTATAGTTATCACTAATATTCAAGCCCGCATTTGCTATTTATTCCCAATTCCATTACCAAATTAACCCAAAAAAGCATGCACTTTATCTACTGGTAGAAGGTCAGGAGGATCAGGCTCACAATCTTTTTCTTGTTACAATTGGCCCTACGTCATCTTCCCATCCAACCCATGCCAACCATTTATTTATTATAAGTTAAATAAGGCAGATCACACATATCAATTAGTTAATGTTTTACCTAATTAAATAGAAACAATATATAGTAATTAATAGGTACTTCTGGAATTCAGAATCTCCCCCAATTAAAAATAATCCACTATTCAATGATAGTTTGGGGAGGAGGAGGCACATCTTTTTGCTAGACAACATATTTGCAACCGTTAGCAACTAAAAATAGAGTACAAAAGTTACTTTAGAAATATTTCATTCGAGTCAGGAACAAAATGGTTACAAGATTAAAATCACTCAAACAATATTGCTTACGTCTTACGGATATTTCGAAACTGAATAAAGAGTGGCTCTAAATTAAAGATTAACTGTCGCAAACTCAAGTTTGTTTCGTAAATTGTTGGTGGTGCTTAGTAGTCACTGATGCTGGTTTATGAATAAAATGATGAAAATGGAACTAGAACTCAATCTCAATATTTGGGCTAGGGGTCTTGGAGACAATATATTCTGTCCGATATGGGGAAAAACCACTTTCTTGATAATTGAATGATAGAAAAAATTTAGATTTGTTTAACTAAGATAACATACACAGAAGTGCTTAGAGAATTTGTGCCATCAGGTGTAATGATTTTGAGAGTTTTTATTATAATGAAAATGGGTGCAAGCATCACTATCTTATTATTACGAAATCGAATCGACAACAAAGCCGTCAACCGAATCATACAAAAGCCAATGACATTGTCAGGATCGATAATATATATTAGTGGAAATAGAATCAGGATCTAGCGGGGTGTCCCCTCTGTACTAGACAATTGTCTAACAATGAGCATCTCTATAATTGCGTCTGAAGCACACTTCTCAATTCTTGCTCCGAAAATCTCAAAAGGCTAACACTAGACTAGCATGCTGGTGACTTATTGAACTATAAGATGAGAGCATATGTGAGTAGTTGTAGTCGAGTCGAGCTTGAGCCTGGAGCTCGATTTTCTTTTCTGTCCAACATCTCACACCATGTAAATTCTCTCAAGTGCGCCCCATAACTCCACATAAGTGATCGTAAATTTTTCCATTTTCATTAAGTGCCTTACTCGTCTCAAGAGTGATTATACACATTGGGAGAAAACCCAATAACCCATCTCACCACCCTAGTCTCTCTCCCAACAAATAACTACATAAGCAAAGGCCCCATCCCTATCAATTGCAATTATGGAGAATGAACGACATCTGTACTAATCAAAGAAGAGAAATCACCAAATTAAAAGCCTGAGTTGATAGCACATAAGAGAGCCAACCAACAACTCCCATCATTTTAGATTACCACATACGGCTTTTTATTTAGGGAAAGATCAAGACATAGTTAGTCCACAACACAATCCACTCCTCTCTATTTTACGTTTAATTAGGTGGATCAAGCAAATAATGATGTAGGAGGGAAAGGGTTAATGTATATTTTCCAAATTAATTATGAGTCTAGTAACTATCACCCACAATCATCGCCAAAAACACCATCTCACATCAAGTAGTAATCATCAATGAATTAAATAATCAAATCCCACAATGATCGATCTCATACATTTCCAGGAGAAGGATTAGGAGCGAAGCACAACAATCAAAAGAGGAAGCACGAGGGAAATTAAATAATATATGTTGTCCTTTGTTATCTCCAACTTGTAAAGCAAGCGAAGCGTGGCTGGCTGTTGCCGGCTTGCATCAATGTTATCGAATCGGTTTAACAAGTGATATGGTTTGACCGAGGTAGAATCGATTCACGTTGGTTTGTGACGATAACAATACATGTAAAAATTTAAAAGATATTATCATTTTAGTGAACAAATTACTTCGATCCCGATAACTCAAGTTATGCAAAGTATTTTCATTAAATGAACTTAGACACATATAATCTACATTTATCTTCAAATAAAAAACAAAATTATAAACAAAATAAAAATTCTCATATTTAATTAAAAGATTTAATGCTAACATCCAAACAATTATATTTGAATTCAACAAATAAATATTTAACTTTCAAATTCATAAAATAAATTAATAAATTCATTTTTACTAATTAAGTTCACTAAAACCACCTCATTTAGTTTAGAGGCCGGAAATCGATCATTCGGATCATACCAGATTCAACCGGCCGATATTCCACTGTAAGGAAGTGGTTAAGTACCATACATGGGCCTGTATAATATCCAACATGACCATCTCCCAACAACTAGAGTTATTGGGAGCAACTGGTTCATGACATTGTATCAAAGCTGGTTTTTCATTGAGGTCATGGGTTCAAGTCCTCGCGACCCCCAATATTAACCGTTGTCTTTCAAGCACGATGCGCCTGTGCAAACTACAAGTCATGAGTCGGCTTTCGTTTGAGGGGGCGTCTCCCATACATGAGCATGTATAAGATCCACCATAACCTTCTCCCAACAACTGGGGTTGCAGGCTTGCAGCTAGGGATGACAATTTCGACCTGACCCGTTTTACCCGACCTGTTTTGGGGCGGGTTCGACCCGCTCCGTAGGCGGGGCGGGGCAGACATGGGTACCTCTCGTCGACCCAACCTGCCTTGACCCACCCCATTCCCGACCCGTTCTTGCCTAAATTACATGTAATCTTAGTCAATTACTTCGAATTTTCCTCATATTACCTAATTGTTTAGCTACAATAAAGTTGTATAAGTGAAAACCTCAATTTCTCCAATACTTTAACTACAATATATCATATTATGGTTTATTTCTTAGTCTTTTAATGAAATAATGAATATTTTTAAATGTTCTCACATAAATCACATACTCATTGGGTCGACTTACCCTGACCTGCGCCTCATGATAAATTATTCGACCTACCACGGAACGGGTATGGGTATTGATATACCTGGCCCGAACCTACCCATCGCCATTCCTACTTGCAGCTGTACGAACCCCACCCGCCACTGCAGCCGGGCGGGCTGTGTGTCGGCGGTGCATACTGCGTAGCAGTCGTAGAAACAACCGAAAACCCAATTTGCTTTGCGGCACTCTCCTTTTGGCTATCTTCCATTTTGATCTTCGTAGTTCTTACTCCACTCCCCCGCACCTAAAATACTCTCTCACCTCACTCCCTGTCACTGACACCATCTCTGCTGGAATTCATTTTCATCAATCCTATCATTCATTACCCATCGTTCTTGTTTCCCTTCCCCTTTAACCATCTGCCCTGGTTAGCTCACCCGATCTCCAACCCACGAACAAGAAAGAGCTAAAAAAGGAGAAAGAAGAGAACTTTCCTTGTCAACCAAACTTCCCCACCTTTCGTTTTCAGCCACCGGACAACAAACCAATCATTGTTACCAAATTCCCAATTGGTGTCGAAGCCCAGAGAGAGAGAGAGAGAGAGAGAGAGAGAGAGAGCGGCAAGTCGCCGGCGCCGGCGGACTTGGGGGAGCTCTGCTTTTAGTTTGTTTGCTTTTCCCCGACATTGTTGGGGGGCGGTGAGGAAGAGCCGCTTCGTCATTGGGAGAGTCCGGGGCTTTTTCTCGATTTGATTGTTTGCTTGCTAAAAGGCGCTACAGTGATGTAACAGAGTCTTCAGATTGATCTTCCGTTTCTTCTGCGGAGTTCCTTTGGTAGGGGAAAGTGAGAGAGATGGAGTCTAAGATGGATCAGTATGAGATCATGGAGCAGATCGGGCGTGGCGCCTTTGGCGCTGCCATTCTAGTCAATCATAAAGCCGAGAAGAAGAAGTATGCATAATCCTCTCTCTGTCTCTCCCTCTGGTTCGTTCAGGAGATTTGCATTGTTAATTTGATTTCGGAGCCTTGATTTGCAGGTATGTGTTGAAGAAGATCCGGCTTGCTCGCCAGACGGAGCGGTGCCGGAGATCTGCTCACCAGGAAGTATGTTTCTCCTTCTCCTCTGTCAGTCAATGCCGTTCTTTAGTTGACTAAGCTGCTGCTGTTGATAAATCTTGTGAGATTGCCTGAAATTTCTTCAATGCAGATGGCACTCATTGCACGAATTCAGCACCCTTACATTGTGGAGTTCAAGGAAGCCTGGGTTGAGAAGGTTGGTATCATTGGCCAATTGGATTCGGTTTTCTTCTGTTTGGCATCACTGACAACTGAATGGAAATGTTGCCATTTTGGTAAATGTAGGGTTGCTATGTATGTATTGTCACTGGATACTGTGAAGGTGGAGACATGTAAGTGTTTGGATCAAGTAATTCAGAGTCGTGTAACTTTCTCCACGAACTTATTATTTGCTAATGTATTGAATCGGTTGTTTCGGAATAGGGCTGAATTGATGAAGAAGAACAATGGTGTTTATTTTCCTGAGGAGGTACTTTTTTTTGGTTTCCTGTTTGTGGTTGTCATTGCATTTAGGCTAGTCATTGGAGTAGAACTGATGGCCATTGTTGGTTGCAGAAACTTTGCAAGTGGTTCACGCAACTGCTCTTGGCTGTTGATTATCTTCATTCTAACTATGTCCTCCACCGCGACTTGAAAGTATGTGAACTAGAGTTTTGAATTATGATTTGGATGTTCTGAATGAAGCTTAACGATGGTGACTTTAGTGATAAAAGCCTTCTTTTTGCAGTGCTCAAATATCTTTCTGACTAAAGATCAGGATGTTCGCCTCGGTAAGTCTGTTTTTATTAATGTTTGAGTGTGTCTTGGGTGCATTGTTCTTATGGTCATTTTAGTTTTGCTGATCTTGTTTTGTTCCAATTCAGGGGATTTTGGACTTGCTAAAACTTTGAAGCAAGATGACTTGGCTTCATCGGTATGTTTAAGCTTCCACCATTCTTTTCTATTCCCTATTACTTTTTGGGAATGTTGTTACACAATGTCACAATGGAGTGAAGAGCTCATGGTGTTTCTCCATTGAGTATTTCATTTGTTGCCCAAGAACAATGTCAAGCCATTTGACTGGAATGTATCAGGCCTTGGAAGGCAACCTTGTGCTTGAACTTGATCAGTTCTTATACTTTGATGCATGCATTTCCCCCTCGATTTTCTTGTGTAGTTGTGTCATACGGCAAAAGAGAATCTGACTGTTCTGTATTTCGCTAGTAATATTTGCGTTTGTGTTTAGGTGGTTGGAACTCCCAATTACATGTGCCCAGAGCTACTAGCAGATATTCCATATGGCTTCAAATCAGATATTTGGTCTTTAGGTATGCTGTGTTCAAGGTCTTGAATTTTTTCCACGTTTGTATTATATTACCTCTTGGTTAATATGGGTTTGTTAATGACCAGGATGCTGTGTATATGAGATGGCTGCTCATCGCCCTGCTTTCAAAGCTTTTGTAAGATTTTCTTTAACCTGGAAGTTTCTCTTGATATGATGACCATCGCATTAAAATATTGCATGCTATTCGGTAGAACTTAGAAGCATTTTCTGCTCCATTGATTTCCATACACTTAATTTCCTTCTGTAACTGTTCTATTGCAGGATATGGCAGGGTTGATAAGCAAGATCAATCGTTCTTCAATTGGTCCTTTGCCGCCTTGCTATTCTCCATCCTTGTATGTTCTCATATAGGTTTAATATTTACATTTCCCTCCAGCAAGTCTTTATGTTTTATGCATGATTCTCTTCCTGAATTTCCCATAAGAAGTGCAAAAGAAAAAAAGAAAAAAAAATCGATGGGATCAATTACAGAACTGATTTTTTTTTTTTTAAAGAATCAATTACAGAACTCACAAGTATTATCTTTGTCTAATTTTTATTGATTGTATAGGCCAGTGATCTCTAGAAAATTGGTTACAATCAGCACTTTACTCTCTACTGATTGTTTGGGACTTACTGTGGATCCATTATTCACAGGAAATCACTTATTAGATGCATGCTGAGGAAAAATCCTGAGCACCGCCCTACTGTAAGCATACCTCAAAAAAATTCTGCTCTGTAAGTTTTATTTCCGATTGGCAACTTAACAATCCGAATACCTCTTCCTTTCAGGCATCTGAGGTCCTGAAGCATCCATACTTGCAGCCTTATGTGGAGCAGTACCGGTCAACTTTCAGTCCTCCAACTTGCTCTCTCGAGAAGGCTCCTTCAGCTGGTCGTGGTTCAAGGAGAAGCATGGCTGACAGCCAGAACAGCAACAGCTCTAGTAGTGATAGAGATAGTTACCTCTCAAGCGAGAGAAACATCTCAACTATGGGAGAGAATAAAGGTACTGACACAGATCTGGCATCTATTGATGATGATAATGACACTGAACAAACCACGCCAAGTGAAGGAGATAGCAACCATACAGTTCATACCGACAAAGTCAATGAACGGAAAGTAATGAAGGTCAACCATTATGAGGATGGACCCAATGTTGAGTCCAAGCAGCAGCCTAAGACTATTAAAAGTATTATGATGTCACTGAAAGAAGGCAAGGCTAGAGAAAATGGGTCTCCACTTAGAGGGGCTCGTGCGAAAGCTACAGGCATAATGACAACACCAAGGAATAATGCAGATTCAGTGTCGAAAATTCCTCGACCCTATGCTGTTGCTCCGATATTTAAGCCTAACGTAGTTGATGCAACACCTGTTGCTCAGGCAAAGTTGACATTCGATTCTATTAAGCGGATTCCAGCATCAACCCCTTCCAAACACCAGGTAGAATAATATTTTCCAGTCGCTTTGTTTGGTAATTGGTATTCTCATTTCTTTAAACTGCTCATATGTTCAATCACCTCCTTTGCAGTTACCAATAATGGACACATCGCCGAAGACTAAACCCAGATACGATGGCATTCCGCCATCTGTCCCCATAAAGCTTTCTGATGATGGACTTGCTGCTAAGTCTAGGCAGAGAACCCCGCCTTCCAACATTGTTCGGCGGTGTTCATTCCCTGTACGGACAAGACAAGTTGGAAATGACGCCCTAACTGAGACTGCTGCCATGACTAAGTCCCCCGAACTTACTTCTCGTGAAGTTCCCGATGAGCAGTTCATGCATTCTACTAAGGAGATCAAGCAAGAGACATTTCAGAAAGCTACAGTTGGGGTTTCGAAAGTGACTCAAACAGATGGCAGTAATTCTGTCTCATCTGTGGTTTCAGCTGAAGCATCTGAACTTTATGATGATGCAACAACTTCATTTGATGACATGCAGACACCTCCAAATCATGAGATAGAAAGAAGGCCTGGAACTTCAGATACTCCAGCATTGAGAGTCTCATCTTCATCCTCTTTCCACTCTGATGCTTCTGATAATTTATCAAATGGAGATCATGGAGAATATCCTGGACCCTTGCTTTGCTCGGTTGAACCTAACGGTGTTCAGGATGCCAATGCAAATTCTTTCAATGGTTCTGGTAACATGACATCAAGTGCAGCGCTTCATTTATCGATTCCAGCTACTGAAGGAATAACAATTCATAAGGATGATATCCCTGAAAGTCAGCCCAGTAGCAGTAGACCTGATATGTCACTTGGATCAAATGTTACTTCTCCATGTAGAGGTGATGACAAGTTTACTGTGACAGAACTTCTATCAGTTTCAGAGGCTACTACGTCGGCTCTCTCACCAATTTCAGCCGCTCAAAACTATTTGCAATCAGAAAAAGGAAGAACGATTTTGCAAAATCCACCAGTGGAAAAGGGTTCTGCTGCTGCTGCTGGCTGTCCTCCTTTTGATGATGTCATACATGTCATACGTCACAGCAGTTTCCGTGTTGGGAATGAGCAGCCAGTCATGGAAACTGTTGAGATGGGAGTTCAAAATATGGACGTAGGGAAGCTCTTAAATGTAGTGAGAGACGAGCTGGACATGCGAAATGTGGGGGCTCCAGTGACACTTAAATCAGCAGGAGGCTCAGAAGCCTTAAGCTTGAAATCTAGCCTGTCTACTGATGATTCCAGTTTCAAGGAAATGGATATGAAAGCTGCAGCCTCAGTAATGAATCATGATACTTCTGAACCGGCAAAACCCACCTCCCCTGTCAAAGAAGAAGTGACGTCACCTACTACTGCACCCAAGGAAATTCTGGACGTGAAGTCATTTAGGCAGCGAGCTGATGCACTTGAAGGGCTTTTGGAATTGTCTGCTGACTTACTACAGCAGGATAGGCTGGAGGAGCTGGCAATCGTTCTCAGGCCATTTGGAAAAGATAAGGTCTCACCAAGAGAGACTGCGATATGGCTGGCGAAGAGCCTGAAAGGGATGATGATCGACGACAGTGGCCGAAGTTCATGACTCTGTCTGCAGTATAGTCTGCTCCTTTTTACTTTTTGTTCTACTCTGTAATGATATTTGTCCAGCCACCTTTTTTGGCACATTCAAAGTTCGATTGAATTTTGTTTTGGAGGAGAGAACAGATAGGCTCTTTTCATTTCTTTTGATCAGCCCTTGTTCTTTTTCTTGTTGTAATTCTTATTCTCTTTGCATTTTGTTTGTACATAATGAATTATACCAAATTCATAACTGCATCATCGTTGCCAAATGTATGGATGAATGTGGGTATATATGGAACTGTGACTTGAGTCAATATAAACTAAATAATGTCATTCATACAAAGAAAAGGAGAGGAGCTTTGTTTCTAGCTTTCATTAGTTACAGTTTCAGCTTCCATTGCATCACCTTGTTCAGTTTCAATTTCCACTGCATCACCTTGCTCAAGCTCCAGAATGGCGTTAAACCCGAACTCTTTTCCTGGTTTAAACAGCTTCATCAGTTCATCTGCCTTCTGGATTGTGGTCACTTTGTTCTCCTTCACTTTCACATTTTCCTGCTTCCCCAATAGCAAAGATTAAAGTCAGGACATTCCATACCAGTCCCGTGCAAAGGAGTTTAATGATCCATACACATTTACTTCTAAACCACAACACTACTTGCCTTATCTGCATAATCTGCCAGTGTTGCGCTAACTATTTCTTGAATCACGAAGTTCGTAACTCGCTCTTCCCCCAGGACCTGGATCAGGAAGTCCCTTGGCACCTGAGGCCAGTATACAATATCAGTAACCCTTTAGAATCAACAGATAGAATAACTGTCCTGTTCTCCTACTGGAACTCTGCTAATAAAATTGAGCATCGAATTTTGACATCACAGTCACCTGGGTTGTCTTCCCTGGTTTCAGTCCAGCAACCATGCAAAACAAGATTGGTAGTAAGTTAAGGTTTCAGAGGCTCAAGGGATTGTTGTAGCATAGAAAGCACAAGGAAGCAGCTTATATAAAATAAAGCATATGGAAACAACATATATAGTCCTAGCATTCAAGAGAAGTAGTGAGTCTGAAATGCGCAGACTATACTATATACTGTTCAAATGGCCTGGTTAGTTGGACGTTTGCTAGCTAGTTAAGAAATTTGGTGAGCTAGGTAATTCTCTCGTAAGAAGTGAAGAGTTAGCATAAGTTTTAGATAGAGTCACTGAATTCCTTGACAGGCTGATCACCATACTCATAGCAACCATGGACAAAAGTGACACTCTTTTTCATGATGACTTCATGCGATTTTGTCAGTAGATAAAAGGAAATGAGTGAAATCACAATATGGAGATAACCAATTACATAAGAAAATTGAGGGAACTGTGTGGCCTGACCTCCCTTTTGTTTCCGAAATCCGGGGATTGGTGGTGAAGTGAGAGCCAGATTCCTCAAAACCTTTCCGAAAACCTTTTCTGTTTCATCTCCCCCCAAATCCACTCTAACCTTCGAACAGAAATGATCATATAATAAGAATCATTCAACATGGAAACTCCCATAAAAACAAATGGTTAGTGAAAGAAACCAGAATCATAATCTCAGAAAGCCTGCTTTTTAACCATGCATACATAGAAAGAAGAAAGCTGCAAGTTGAGTAGGAGCAAACCTTAATGCTGGTTTCGTCCCTCGACTCTACAACAATCTTAGCATCTCTTACGGTTATGGCATTGTCCTTTGGCTCAGTAATCGATGTTTCCACTCCTAAATCACAGCAAACTTGGCCAATTCAACTACCAGGCAATTACACAACAGAAAATTCAACATGGAGGAAGTCAAAGGATAAACCAAAAGGCGTTGCAAATAACTTGAAGCTGAGAAGTACCCACCTGAGTCCGTAGCTGAAATAGGCCCGACTGTATTTCCAATCAATCTCCCTTTTGAAAAAAACAGCTGCCTGAAATTCAATCACTTCATTCCAGTAAAGGGTACTGCTCAATGTAACCTAAAAAACGGGTAAAGGGCAAGCTTAGTTGGTTAGTTACTACCTGTTGCTGAATTGTTGGTGTTGTGTGGTATAAAGACTAAAGCTTTTGGTGCTACTGTGGTAATGGCGGGCGAGGTTTTTGCATTCCGAAGCAGAAACCAGCTGCCCATGAAAGAAAACATACTACTTCAGTCTAATATCCTTCTCCACAACGTACTAAAGTTTGCTCCTTGTTTAGTTGTTCAGTGTACCAGACTAACTTACAGTGGGAAATTGTTGAAGCTGCGAGGCAGAGAAAACGAACTTGGCCGCCATTTTTCTTCTTTAGTCCCCGCCTCGGTCTGAGAGATTGGGTTTTCCGAATTGAGGAAATGTAACAAGAACGAGATTTCATCATCCAAAGAGGCCACAGCCAGAGCAAAACGCCGCCGTGTTCCTACGTTGTTTCGTGTTTTGTCCTTCCTTAGAACTTCAAATACGACGGCGTACCGCCATTTGGTTCAAGGTAGCAGCTTTGGAGCACCATACCCATTTTCACTTTTCAGTTTTCAGCAATAGCAGAGACAGAAGATTGAGCCAAAGCGAAAGATGATGGAAGTAGTAGTAGCCCCTGAAGCTTCCTTCTTCGTCTTCATCCATAAGGTATCAATGCTCTCTCTCTCTAATATTTGAGCTCTAAAAAATGGAGCGAACAAAGTTTTGGTAATTCTTCCTCTCTCTATTGTGGTTTAGGGTTTAAATCGAAGAACAGCAGTACCAGAAGCTGCCGTTCGGAATTTATCCTTCAAGACACCATCTTTTTACCATGGAGTGGGATGCAATAGCGCTAATGGATACATAGGAAGGTTAGCAGCACAATTCTAGCTGGGTTCTTTGATTTTCAGTTTTAACTTACTGCTAGTACTACTACTTATCTTGGTCTGCTTTATGAGAAATTCCGCAACTTTCTTTCGAGGAGAAGAACATGTAGGAGCTCTCAACCTGTTCATGCTTTGGTATCAGGTGAAGTTCATTTTTCTTCCTTGCCCTTCACTTGCTATTTTGCTACCCCACTATTAACCCTTTTCAAGATTACATGGTTATGTTTCTGAAACATTTATTTCTCTTGGTTTCAGAAGATGTTGGGGTGTCATCATCTCGAATTGGGGATTTCCGGGTCATTACTACAAGTACCGACGATTCGACTGTGATGAAGGTGAAGACAATGACCAAAACTATTACAGCGTTTTAGATGTTGTGGATGTTAGTATGTTACAGAAAGTTGGAGTCTTCTGATTGATGTTTGGTTTCCAACTTTCATGGATAGGTAAATGTAGAGGTTTCAGGCACCAAAACGAGAGCCATTTTCGATGATGTTTTCGACAGAATGGTGGAAGCTGCACAGCCGATTCCAGGCTTTCGTAGAGTGAAAGGAGGTAAAAAATTTTACGCTTTGGTCTTCGGTGAATGAGAACCTGAGAAGGGCTGAAACCAAAATTGAAAGGTCAAACTATCAGAAACAGGCTCAAAAGTTACTTGTAGCAATAATCTTTAGATAACATCTGTACTTGTAATTCATAGTTCCAGTGCTCTGTGTCTACTGGACAATGCAGTGATCACGCCTCCAGTCTTTCTCGAGCTATCTGTTTACTTTTTTGCTATTGTTTATCCATTGCCTCTAATGAGTGCTTAAATTTCCTTGCTTGCATTTGCTGCTGGGCCAACTACGTTGATCACTGGGAAACTGCAGGAAAAACACCAAATGTAAGTTTAAGTTTCAGCTCCTTTGGCATTCACTTTTAGTGTCGGAATGTGTGTGATTGCCGATTGAAACTAATCGATGAAATGTTTCCCTGGGGCGGCAATTCCAGTACATTAAGTCACACCAGTAGTGACAGAATGACCTCACGAGTCAGTCGCTCAATGCAATACCTTGTGAAAGCATAGTTTAACTTCATGACATATGGGATGCTGGGAATAACCATATAATTTCTCTGTCTTGCTTGAGAATACATATGATTATGAATCGATAGAGGTAGAAAGCATGTTCACCATCCCTCCTTAGTAAACATGTATTGTTATGTTGGCAGATTCCTAGAGACATATTGCTCGAAATCCTTGGGGCTTCCAGAGTATATAAAGAAGTCATTAAGAAGGTCATAAACTCCGCCATGGCAGAGTACGTTGACAAGGTAAACCCCGATATCATCTGCAAAGAGAATCTTGCTTATAGGACAAGCTCAAAGGTTCTTTTTTATAGCTTCTGAAATAGCTATAGCATGTAATGTAGCCCCAGACGAATAATGCAACACCTTGTGGTTGGTGACATGTTCTGCAGGAAGGTTTAAAAGTGGGTAAAGATCTGAGAGTTGAGCAAAGCTTTGAGGATCTTGAAGAAGCTTTCAGTCCAGGGGAGAAGTTCAGCTTCGATGCAGTTCTAAGACTTCAGTCTGGGGCCGATTGAACAGACATCTTATTGGGAAGTGTATGTGGTTTGTATGCATGGAGAACCATACCATTTTTGCCATCTTAATCTAGAAGCCATTAATGCTCCGTATTGTTATGCAGGCTTGTTGTATTTTTTAGGTTAAATACACTTGTATATCCAAAACTTTCACGGTTGTGCCAATAATATCCAAATTTCCTGAAATACCACTTATATCCAATTCCTTCACATTCTTTAAAGGTGTTTTTGGATATACAAGTGTATTTAACCAAAAATATATTGGGAAATGGATTGATTTGGCAAAGAACAACTTTAAAACATGAATATAAGTGGTATTTTGGGAAATTTGGATATTATTGGCACAACCGTGAAAGTTTTGGATATACAAATGTATTAAACCTATTTTTTATTAGGTGAAATACCTTGTGAGCACCACCAAAGTATGTGAAGTTAAAAATCTAATACCTCGACGATAAATAAAACTATGTTCCACCACATCAACCCTGCCACTAGCATAATAGAGGATAGGGTGACGATCCTCTTCCTGAATTCCACTAGTATTTATATACAAATTTGGAACGTTGTAGATGGTAATACTAATTCTTTTGTCTAGTAGATTAACAAACCTAATTAAGTAATCTAATAATGATTGGTAATAGACAAAATTGAATTATTGGTTGGTGTCACGGATAAAAGAATCCAAAATGTCATTTTCTTACGTGGGTTTTGACTTTTTGTGAAGATTATACTAAACTGGCTCTAGTTGCCGGCCGGCCGTCGGCCGACCACTTGGCTTGTTTATTGTGCGCCGGAAAGATATGTAATCAGCAGACCATGCACGTGTTTTGCGTACTTGTCCGTCGTGTTATGGAGCCAAGAAGATATCAAGGCGGCAAGGCAGGCCTAATACCCAAATATACGAAAAATGGTTAAGTATAAAGCCAAGAGAGTATCAAGCCAGCAAGCAGGGCTTGGTACCAAGACATGAAAAAACATTGAAACCAAAAGACATGAAAATTGGCTAAGTATGGAGCCAAGAGGGTACCAAGGCTGCAAGGCAGGCCTGATACCCAAATATACGAAAAATGGCTAAGTATAAAGCCAAGAGAGTATCAAGCCGGCAAGACAGGGCTTGGTACCAAGACATGAAAAAACATGAATTTGGCTAAGTATGGAGCCAAAGGGGTATCAAGCCGACAAGACATGCTTGATACCAAAAGGCATGAATTTGGCTAAGTATGGTGCCAACAGGGCATCAAGCCAACAAGGCAGGGCTTTGTACCATTACCTGGAATTTGGCTAAGTATGGAGCCAAAGGGGTATCAAGCCGACAAGGCACGCTTGATACCAAAAGACATGAAAAATGGCTAGTATAGAGCCAAGAAAGTATCAAGCCGGCAATGCGTGGCTTAGTACCAAGACATGAAAAAACATGAATTTGGCTAAATATGGAGCCAAAGGGGTATCAAGCCAACAAGGCATGCTTGATACCAAAAGACATGAAAATTGGCTAAGTATGGAATCTCATGGCCGGGGGAGCCTACCACCCATAGCAAGAGGGTACCAAGCCTTGAAAAGCATGAATTTGGCTAAGTATCGAGCTAAGGGGGTACCAGGTCGGCAAGGCAGCCTCGGTACCAAGACCCCTACACGGTACCAAGTCGGCAAGACAGGCTTAGTATCCAAGCAAGGCGACAGGGAACCATGATCCCAAGGGGGTATCAAGCCGGCAAGACTGACTTGGTGGTTAGGCTTGATAGCCAGACATCAGGGTATCAAGCCAACAAGACAAGAAATTTGACTAAGGCAAGGCCTTGGGCTTGGTGGCCCCCTAACGGGGTATCAAGCCGGCAGGGTGCAAGGTACCAACTTGATAAGATTAAAAAAGCTAAGTATGGAGACCAAGCCGACATTGCTGGCTTGGAGCAAGGGTATCAAGCCGACAAGATTGGCTTGATACCAAGATGACAGGTTGGTGCAATGACAGTCTCTCTAAGACTAAGTGTGGAGACTTGGGGGTAAAGGGGTCAAGTTCTCATCCTGTCTAGGTGAGTAATATGGCCTAGCGATTCGTCGAGGTGGCTAGCAAGATGAGGAGCGTGGAGTCGTCAGGGTTGTCAAGGATGTGATCAAGACTTCATCATAGAGGATAAGGCAAAAAGGCTCAACACCTACCTGGTCCGGCATCGAGATCAAGGTAGGACAAGGGGCCCCAAGGCGACGGTTACCAACTAGTCACCGAGGTGGTGACAAGGGACCCCGAGGCGGTTTGGAGCAAGAGGCCAGCCAGCAGTTACTACGGCAATTACCAAGGCAGTTACACCCGGTGGCTATAAATAGGAGAAACGAATACGGGAAAAGCGTTCCACAACCAACCATTTGCCATAGCTGTAGCTTTTAGTTTTTCGGAGCTCTCACTGAACCTCCTTAGGAGTAGTGTAATGTAACTTAGCTTGTTCCCAAAAAATCAAAAAAAATATCAAACACTCTCGTTCGAATATTGTTCGGAGAGGAGTGAACCGTGTTATTGTCATTGTTCAAGAAGTCAGGGTACATTTATTGAGTTCAAACACCAGAATTTTCCTCGCCAGAAAACACTAACACATCCCCTCCTTTAGCTACTATTACCAAACCCAACTTATTTGGGGCATACACGTATCCAATTTTTTAGCTGGGTCTAAACTGGACCAATAACATTGGAAGTTTGAAAATAAAACGGGTACCTAATTAAAATGCAAATTTTGTCTGATTTCTTATGAAAAAAATAGAAAAGTGGAAACAACACCTTTACTAAAAATGTATAATAGTATTGAAAGTAGTTAATGAAATGACCCAAATAGGATCCAATTCAACCCCAACCAAATCTAAAACCATTAAAAATGCATATGGATCTATTTGGTCCGACCTAATATCCATATTGGATCAAATTACACAATGAATTGCCATGTTGGGGGTTGAGGGTAGGTTTGGAATTAGGGGTCGTTTGCTTCATGGATTTAAAAATGAGGGTTTTGTAATTTAAAAACTCAAGGATTTATCAAGGATTTGAGGCATCATGGATTTGTAACAATCCTTTGTTTGTTGGGATATTTTTATCATGGATTTAAAGGTGTGGGATTTACTACTTGAATTCAAAAATTACATTACTGCCCTTTTCTATACTTTTGACATGTTTATGATATGTACACAAAACAAGGACAAAACTTCAAAATTACCTTACAAACATTTTCTATATGTTTGACATGTTTATGATATGTACACAAAACAAGGACAATACATACTAATAAGCATAATGTTGCCACATGGACAATAATAATAAACGAGAAAATTCCGTTTTAACTTTTAACGTAACATAATCAATTATCAATTCTTTGTCTTCCTTTTCAAAAGTGACATATAACAACATATATTAGAATCGGGAGAATAAAGAATTACACGTTCCATGAAAAGGTCAAAGAAAACTAGAACACAAGAAATGATATAAAAAATCTAACTCATGTTTGCACATTAATTGAACGTTTATATTATTCATTTATTGTTAATTATAATGTATAATAGTTAAATTTGAGGGCAACCTTGGAATATTAAAAGTGCATGAGGGTATATGGGTAAAATCTCATCAAGGATTTATGCCATATTCCAAATCCCACATCAACATGTGGGATTTATAAGTCCGTGGGGTCCACGAATTTGGACCATTAAAATCCGTGGGCCCCACGGATTTGGTCTCCAAGAAAGCTGCAAGCAAACAACGGATTGTACCTAAATCCTTGATAGTTGGTTTTTTGGTACCAAATCCATGTACCAAATCCTTGAAGCAAACGACCCCTTAATGTGAGTAGGGTGGGTGTTTGGAATTGTCAAATATAATTAATGTAATTAGTTTGGCCTTACAATTTGATTAGAGTACTTTGTAATTGTATATTGGATGACAGGGACATCGGAGCTAGTGTGTTTAGGAGGGCCACCTAAGATTTTAGAATCTTGCTATGCATCATCGTGACAAAGTAGTACGTAGTTGGTTTGCTCCCCTTTATTTCCTCCAAAATTGCATACTACTTTGCTCTCATTATTTCTATACTCTTCAATTTTCACCCTCTCTAAATTTTCGGAGCGGAATTTTCAATTCCCTGCATTTCTTTAACTCCACGCCATGCCGCCGCGGTCCTACGTACATGGTAGTGGGAAAACTGACAACGTACGTACAGCTAAAACCGGGCCGGCGTTTAAGCTCCTCAATTATTTTTCTGGTTCGAGAGATGTTCATTATTAAATTTCACACCTACCCTAATCATCCTTCCAACCGAACCATCTTTCCGCTGACTGAAGTAAATAAGAGCAAGACGATCAATATGCCACGCCTTCTTCTTCTTCTTCATTAGCCACCCACTAGAGACAGATAAAAAAAAAAAATGGCGGAGCTACAGATGATGATCAAACTCCACAACAACAATCACCATGTTATAACTAACAATTACTCCACCACGCCCATCATCCCCTGCCGCCGCCGTACCAGCACCTCCGTTTCGCTCCTCTGCCGTTCCCCAAAATCCTCCTCATCACGCCGTGATCCCTTCTCCTCCGTTAAGTATGACGCCGCCGTCAGCCGTCGCGCACGGGGCGTGGGCGGGTTGACGGTTCGGGCCGCCTTTGACTCGGCGCCGTCTGCTACTACCGAGACGGAAGTCGTGGTGGAGCAGCCTGTGGAAGGAGAAAACGGCACCGTCACGAGGTTTAGGAAAGTGGCGGCGGAGGAGGAAGAGTATACTGCCGACGTGGCAGCTTTCGAAGTGAGGAAGGACGGTGGGTGGTGGGACAACGCCCTTCTCCAGCTCCGGCTGATGATCGCGCCTCCGTGGCAGCGGGTCCAAAACGGCAGCGTTTTGGACATCCACTTGGCCGGCGAGGTCTGTACATATAATATTCGTCGCTACTAATTTCCATTAAAATATCAATCTGTGTGATGAAATGGTGGGTGATATCAGATATCGGATGTGAAAGGGAAGTTCTTCTCGCCGGAGTTCACACTGCCGCAAATCTGCGAGAATTTCGCGAAAGCTGCTAATGACCCGCGGATTGCGGGGATTTATCTCAGGATCAGCACCTTGGGGTGTGGGTGGGGGAAAGTGGATGAAATCCGTCGCCATATAGTGGATTTCCGGAAAACAGGTTTTTTTTTCTTTCTTCTCTCTTCTCTCTAGTACATAATTGAATTGAGTAAATACCTCTTCAATTTAATTAAAATCCCTACTTCCTTTGGTCTATTATTTATTATTATAATAGTTAAATACAATTAATGAAGTTTTTTTTTCCTTCATTTAATTTAACTTAAAAATTTTTGCAGGGAAATTCGTGGTAACGTACTTGTATTCGTTCCAGGAGAAGGAGTACTACCTTGGGTGCGCCTCCGACGAACTATATGCACCTCAGCTTGCTCCCTTCGGCTTATATGGCTTCGCTCTATCCGCTTCCTTTTACAGAGGTGTTATTTACAATGCGATTTAAATTAATTGAGTAAACCGACAGTAAGACCCGATCAAACACAATTTTTTTTTTTCAGTTTGGGTTATGAACATTCAAATTTTGCTTTGACTTTTGATCCGGTTCCATCCCGATTTGGTATATCGATTCAGATCAATGTATCGATTGTGTAAAATGCTTTTGCCCGTGGGCAGGTATACTGGAGAAGATGGGGTTGGAACCGCAATGGGTTCGGTTCGGGAAGTACAAAAAGGCAGGGGACCAAATGACTCGCAAGACTATTGCGGAACCGCATCTCGAAGTCTTGAATAAATTGCTGGACGACAGATACGACTACTGGATGGACGTTGTTTCTTCTTCCACAGGTATCAAAAAAAATTTACCGCGGACTAATTACTTTTTTCCTTCATTCCTTTGAACCATTAACCAACACTAAAGATGGTAAAAAAAACCCCGGGTAATTACATTGTCATTTATTTATCACATGCCGTAAATAATTAATTGTATCTCTGCCGAACCACCATTATACCACCTCATAATGTCGACCACTTATAGGGAAGAGGAGGGAGGAGGTGGAGAAGTTTGTTAACGAAGGGGTCTACGATATGGATAGGCTCAAGGAGGCTGGGTTGCTCACTGACGTGCTTTATGAAGACGAGGTACATACGTAATATTTCATCAATTACTAATGTACCGATACCATAGTCGATTTAGCGACTCGACTAATATGGTACTGTTAGGACGTATGTGAGAACGTGCTTTTCGTCACAATAGCAAAATTGCTGGTCCCCGTACTGATCAAATTTAACGCCCCGGCCCCCGGCCCTACGCAATACAGGTCATGTCACGATTGAAAGCGAAAGTTGGACTCCAAAAGGATCAAATTCTGCCAATGGTTGATTACAGGTCAGCTTAATAATATATACAATCTTCAGATTATTATAATTGTACGTCTTAATTTAATTACAACCACGCTATTAATATGATTTTATTAATGAACCCCCTAATTATTGACCTGCCAGCAGGCCCCAGCTCTATATAATAGGTAGCTTTCATTAATAGTAAGATGATAATTAATGAGATATTTTTGAATATATTTTTTTTAATTATTAAACTAATTCGTGCAGGAAATATTCTGGAGTTATGAACTGGACTCTGGGCTTAAACGGCGGTAAAGACGAAATCGCCGTGATCCGAGCATGTGGATGCATTGCCATGACATCAGGTCTCGTCAATTTCCCCGGCGACGGCGTCACTGCACCCGGCCTGATTGAACAAATCCGCATTGTCAGAGGTAAATTGATTAAATCCCAACAACAATTTTGGGGTCAACTATATCTACATTTTATAAAATAATAACAACAATAATAATAATAATGAGTTAATAACAATAAACAATAATGTAATTATTTGGGCAGAGTCAAAAAAGTATAAAGGCCTGGTCCTCAGAATCGACAGCGCTGGCGGGGATTGTCTCGGATCCGATACGTAAGAGCTGATTAATCCAAATTACTATTTTATATATGCATTTATTTGAGACTATAGCTAATTGTAATTACTAATAATGTATTAATATAATTATTATTGACAGGATTTGGAGGGAGCTTCGACTTTTAGCGACGGAAAAACCCGTGGTGGCGTCGCTCTCGGACATCGCGGCTAGCGGCGGTTACTATATCGCCATGGGAGCGAACGCCATCGTCACTGAAAAGTTGACACTAGCCGTCTCCATTGGTGTTCTTCAAGGTATGTGTTTATCTCCTTTGAAATTTTGAGTTTTTTTTTTCTTCGGTTAATTTAACAACATTTATATGTTATATATTATATTATATGCATGTGTATGTGATCTTATGCAGGGAAAATGAACTATGCGGAACTGCAAAAGAGAATTGGGTACAGCAACCACGTTGTATCGAAGGGCAAATACGCTGAGTACCCTACAGCCGGCTATCGAGCTTTGAGGTTAATTAATTACAATTTGCATATACACATGTGATCCTAATTTGTTCATTAATTATCAGCTACTAATTACAATGATTAAGCATGCATGCGTACGTACGTGTATTCTCTAGGCCGGATGAAAAACAACTTTTGGAGGACACCACTAAGCATTGGTACAAAGTATTTCGCGACAAGGCAGCAATTTCTCGTTCCATGAGTGTAGGTGGTTTGTACGTTCTTATGCAAAAAAAATTCGAGTTACGTATTAATTAATACGCGTATATATGGACGTACACACACGTACATGGTTACAAAAATGTTTACGTGTGCATGTAGATTGAAGAGATGGAGAAGGTAGCACAGGGAAGGATCTATCATGGTTCCCATGCCGTTGAGGTCGGTTTGGTCGATGCGGTTGGCGGGATGGCTCGAGCCATCGCCATCGCCAAACACAAGGCTAATATCCCACAAGACAGGCCGGTGAGTTCTCGGTTTATGTAACGCGAATCGACGATTTAAATTCGAGCAGATCACCTCATTACGAATCGAATTGGTGTGTTGTGATGGGTACAGGTGAGGGTTGTGGAGCTAACCAAACCGAATTCCGGGTTGACCGAGTGGATAACTGCGCTGGGGACGGTCATGGCCGGTTTGGGCGGCGGCTCCGCGGGAGCGGTTTCCGAGGGCCCGAAATTCGGGCACCATGGGGTTGAAGCTCGAATGGATATGTCGATGTTGAATGGGTTGGATGGAGGAGGAGGAGTTTCAGAGTTCAACCCCATTTTCACTATCATGAAGTCTTTCCTCAAGCTCAGTCTTGGAAGCATATGAGCACTTGAGTGGTGTGGAACCGTTGAAGTTTAGCCATTTAATTGGTTGTTAATAATCCAGTTTGTACTCAGAGAGAGAGCCTGAAACTAGCTAGCTAGAACGGGTGTATGTTCAAATAAACATGTTTCGGCATATATTATTGAGTTCAAACTTTGTTTTTAATGAAAAATATTTTTTTATTTACTAGTTCATTCCATCATATAGGTGTTAGGAGATTTTTTTTTAACGGTAACCTGTTGAAAACTTCATTAATCTGTGTTTGGCGTTACATTATCACAATGCAGCTGACTAACCAGAAACCTAGGGGGTCTATCTACCCAGACATTCGTCTAATTCGATCTAGTCCGCGATACTGCGCCATAACATGAGCTGCTTCATTTAATTTGCTGTTCTTCTAATATGTCGCCACGAACGTCCACCCATCTCCTGCAGTAGTCTCCGAATGTTGCGACACACCATTTCTATTTCTATATGTATATCCTGCGCATCTTGTATCTTTTGGATTAGTGGTAAATCGTCTGACTCCAAAATCGGGTTAGCTACCTGGAATTGCTTTGCTAGCTGTAGACCGAATTCTGCCGCCAACGCTTCTCCCATCTCAACGTCTTGACATCCTGCTGCTAACTTTGCTGCGGCGAGAAGGAAAGTCCCACCCTGGCTTCGAATGACTAGGGATGGCAAATTACCCACCCATGGGTAATTATACCCAAACCCAAGTAGACCCATTGATAATGGGTTGGGTATGGGTGAAGTGCATATGGATTTGGGGGTTTATAGATGGGTTTGGGTTTGGGGCTTCCATAATCTAAATGGGTATGGGTTGGATATGGATATCCATTTACTTGAGGGTGTTTTAACTACACATGCAAAAATTGGACCTATTTGCAAAACTTGAAAAGTTTAGGTACCAAAATGTAAGACCAAAAAAATTTAGGTACCAAAACATAATTTTCCATTGATATTTTGAGGACTTATATGCAAAAAAATTAAATTTAGGTACTAAATATGCATGTCTATTAAGTTTGGGTACCAAACTGTAATTTGTATTTGGGCATGGGTACAAACCCAAATCCATTTGATATAAACCCAACTCAATCCAAAGTAAATGGGTATGGGTACAAACCCATCAAACTCTACCCATATCCACCTATTTGGATTTCAAACCCAACCCAATTGGGTTGGATAGTAAGAAACCCATGGGTATGGGCAAAGTTGCCATCCCTACGAATGACGACTCCTAAAGTCGCACCATCTGTGTTTGTAAAGCCCGCATCTGTGTTTACTTTGCAGCTACCCTCTCCTGGTTCCTTCCACCCTTCGTTTCCCGTTTGCGCTGGTTCATGTAGCTGGGTTTTCTGGTGCTTCGTATATTCCTCTAAGTAGCTTTCAGCACGCCCTACAATATCATCTTCTTCCATCTTCTTGCCATTAAATAATTGAGCGTTCCTTTCTCGCCACAAAAACCACATAAGTACACACCATCCCTCAAGTTTCACATCATCCCCTTTAGCCATTACCTTCACCAACCAATGGTAGCTGTCCTGTGCTGGCTAGAACTCAAAATAATCTGTCACAACAGACTGTCTCCAAATACGGCTCGTCCATGAGCACTCGCCAAACATTTACTTAGAATTTGTGGTCTTATTGATTTAAAACAATCTTTTGTTTGTTTAGATATTTTGATAATAAATTTAAGGATTTAAGATTTATAACTTAAATTTCAAAATTATCTTACTATCTTTTTCTATTTGTTTGTCATGTTTATAAGATGTGCACAAACAAAGACAATACAAATAAGCATAATGTTTCCACCAGGACAATCATAATAAACAGGAAAATTTCGTTTAACTTTAATGTAAAATAGATTCGTTACCAATTCGTTGTTCTCCATTTCATATATTTAAAATTTATGAGGGTAAATGATCTCATGATGAACTTATGTTCCAAATCTCATATCAAAACTTGAAATTTACAAGTTCATGGGCTACAGATTTGTACCCTAAAAAATCCATGGCCCATATATTTGATTCCAAGAAAATGATGAAGCATTTTCTATTAAATGCATCCCTTAAATCTTTTAGTGTTGGGGAAAAGAACAATTGGTCAAGAGAGAGAAAAAAAAGTACAGTTGGACCCAAACTCAGCCCAATTACCATCAATCCAACTTAAAACTTCCGATAAGAGACAGACAAGAAATTAGGGTCTCAGCCCACAAGACCAAGCATGAGGTCCAAAAGAGAGTACAATTCAGCAGTGTTATTAAAGCCGAGTCGAGCCGCTCGGCCCGACCGGTAAAACCGTCACCCGGTCACAAAACCGGCTCGGAACAGTCTAAAAGCCGCTCCGGTTTTATTTAGCGGTTGAAGAGCGGCCGAGGCGGTTAACCGTTCGAGCCGATTGAGCCGCTCGTCCGGTTTTCGCCACTCAGCCACTAAATTTAATTAAAAAAAATTGCAGAAAATTGAAAATTGAAATAAACCAAAAACGTCGGCCTCTTAAATTGAATCCTTATTTCCATTTCACAATTTCGAAGGAAAGAGATGAGCTCTGATTAAGATATGTCCACTATTTATACTGATAAGGTTTATTAGGTACCGGTTCTTTAACGGTTTTTAAACGATCTAATGCCGGTTGGACCACTAAAGTGCGAGCCAATCGCATTACCGGGTCATGCTCCGGTTCGGTTCTGACAACATTACAATTCAGGTTCGATAAGAGATGGGGGGGGGGGGGGGGTTGAACTTTCACCCTAGACTAAAGAAGGGATGGGGCAAGAAATCAAGCCTGGTTAAGAATTGTTTGTCAAGCAAAGGAAGATGTACAAAGACGTCAAATGTCACGAAAATGATTCCCACTTCCAATCACTTGGCTGGCAACCCCCTGCAGAGGGATGGATTCAGCTTCAAACTCATGGTTCTGTCTTGACACCACAATTAAGAGTCGCTGCTGCAGGGGGCTCTTTCGTTATGATCACCTCGAAAAATGCAAGGAAGCGTTCACCTGCAATCTTGGGAGATGCTCTATCGCAGCAGATGAGCTTAAAGGCGCAGCAGAGGGACTAAAATTGCTTGGAACAAGGGCTATCGGAAGGTGAACCCGAGGATGGACTCTACCACATCAAATCGATGTCATTAAGAACAGAGACAATGAATACCATAGACATGGTAGCATTGCTCAACAGTTTAATCGCCTTCTCAATCATGAATGGGAAGTTTTGGCTGAACACGTGACTAGAGAGGCCAATTTCGCAGCCGATTACTTGGCGAATCTCGGCCATGATTTTCATTTTGGTACGCACAATCTCAATATATGTTAGGGATTCTGGTTTAGTTCAATGGCTCCGCCATGATGTAAGGGGTGTTTCCCATGAACATTTTATTAATATGATCGAGTTAGACGCTCTTGCGTCGATCTTTCTAAACAAAAAAGACCCTTAATCCGGCTTAATATTAAAATAAGAAGTTCCAACCCACCCTCCACGCGGGGCAATTTTGGAATTCTCAATTTTGTCTCTTGGCACTTCAAGTTACAGTAGAATCGTAACTCCACAGTCCACTCTTCCTTCCCATGCATGGCCCCCAACTCCACCAAATGTAATGTAACCGTTCATTTTTACACGTGCAGTCAAAAAAGTGACAAGACTTGTCCTCCATGCATGCCTCTCCTTTCCTTGCCTAAGTTTGTTTCAAAGAAACGCTCATCCTCATTAATTCCAAATCTTACCTACTCCCAAACAAGAATAGAACCCAATATATATATTATATATATATATATACATAGCTGCACTCACAAACCTCAGACCGCATCCCAAAAAACCCTCTCTCTCTCTCGCGTGCAACAATGGCTGCGCTACAGATCACCAAACTCCCCAACAGCACCACCACCGCCACCGCTCCTCACCACCATTATCCTCTCACCACCGTTTCGCTCCTGCGTCTCCCGCGCTTCCCGCAACATGATAACTCCGTCACTCGCCGTGACCTGTTCTCCCGTTCCTCCGTTAAGTACGACGCCAGCCGTCGGTTCGGGTTGGTTGCGGTTCGGGCCTTGGACTACTCGGCGGCGTCTACTGCTACCACCACGACCGAGACGGAAGAACTTGTTGTCGTGGAGGAGGAAAAGCCGGCGGAAGGGAACGGTACGGTGACGAGGTTTAGGAAGGCGGCGGCGGCGGAGGAGTATCCCGATGACGTGGCGGCTTTTGAGGTGAGGAAGGGCGGTGGGGTGTGGGACGACATTCTACTGAAGCTACGGTTGATGGTCGCGCCTCCGTGGCAGCGGGTGCAAAACGGCAGCGTTCTGGTCATGCACTTGGGCGGCGAGGTATCAGTATATATTAATTAATTAATATATCGTCACTGAAATTTCAATATTGTAGTCCAGATGATGACGTGGTTTGAATTAAATGTTTGCAAAATAATAGTTTTGAGTAATTTGGTGGTGGTGGTGGTGATGTCAGATATCGGATTTGAAGGGGAAGTTCTTCTCGCCGGAGTTCACACTGCCGCAAATCAGTGAGAACTTCGCCAAGGCTGCAAATGATCCGCGCGTTGCCGGGATTTATCTCAAGCTCAGCTCCTTGAACTGTGGGTGGGCAAAGCTGGATGAAATCCGTCGACATATAGTGGATTTCCGGAAGACAGGTTTTTTACTTTTAAATTTTATTTATTTATTTATTATGAATGATCGAATATATTATATATATATATATATACTTCTTTGAATCATAGAAAGTATGGGTATAGATTTAGAGAGTGAGATTTGGAGCATAGATTTAGAGAATTTATATATTTTGACTTTTTTCCCCATAAATTTTAGATTTAGCAAAAAAATCATATTTTTGCACTTTTTTCATCTGGTAAATTTTCGATTTCTGAATTTAGAAATATAAATCTGTAATAAATGTTGAGATTTTTTATTTAATATTTTGATTAAAGAGATTTTTTCCCTCATAATATTTTTTATTTATTTATCCAGTTGAATACCCTTATCAAATACCAACAAGACTTTCTTCTTTTACAATTACCAAAAAAAAAACAATATTTCTTAAATATGTTTTCAACAATTTGGAAATTATATATATATTTAAATCAAGAATTGTGAACCTGTATTGAAGTTTATATAAAAAATTTTAACGATAAGATTTTTGTACTAAAAAATTATGATTTAACTGTGATTCAATCATTTCATACCACTAGAACCATGAACCTATCGATTTATAGTATCCGGTACTAGGTACATATTTCTGATCCGACAAGATCATAGGATACAGTTTCTTAACTGAATTTCATAAATTTTTGCAGGGAAATTCGTGGTAACGTACATGTATAGGTTCCACGAGAAGGAGTATTTCCTCGGGTGCGCCTCCGACGAGCTCTACGCACATTCGCTTTCACCCTTCGGTTTGTACGGCTTCGCTCTCTCCGCAACCTTTATCAAAGGTGTAATGGAGAAGATGGGGATGGAGCCGCAATGGGTGAAGGTTGGGAAGTACAAAAAGGCAGGGGACCAAATCTCTCGCACATCTATTGACAAGCCACATCTCGAGGTCTTGAATCACATGCTCGGCGAGAGATATGACTATTGGATGGATGTTGTTTCTTCTTCCACAGGTATATATATATATTTCGCTATCCGAATCTCAGCATGTACAGTTTCGTGGCATAGGGTAAGGTGCATAACTCGTAGTTATTATCTGTTTGTTTGTGCATAACGAACTTGCAGGGAAGAGGAGAGACGAGTTGGAGAAGTTGCTCAACGAAGGGGCCTACGATATGAATAGGCTGAAGGAGGCAGGGTTGCTCACTGACGTGCTCCATGAAGACGAGGTAATATTACCGTACCTAAAAATTAATCCTTAGATTAGTACGTACATATGTCAATGGTGCTTATATGATGTCTGTGAGAATGTGCTCATAATCTGCCGCACAATGAACGCTATGAGCACATTCTCACACAGGCCATAACAACAATATCGTTGGTCCGAGTATTGATCAATTTAACGTGCCGTACCCTACGCAATACAGGTCATGTCACGAATGAAGGCGAAAGTTGGACTCCGAAAGGATCAAGTTCTGCCTATGGTTGATTACAGGTTTTTTGATGTGAATTTCTCCAAACATATTGGCATATTATTCTAATTTAACTTTTAATAATAACAAACTTCAACTACATTGCCTGAAAAAAAATACACGCAGGAAATACTCGGGAGTTATGAACTGGACTCTGGGCTTGAACTCCGGCAAAGACGAAATCGCCGTGATCCGAGCATGTGGATGCATCGACATGAGCTGGAGTATCCTCAATTTCCCCGGCACCGGCATCAATCCACACGACGTGATTAAACAAATCCGCGCTGTCAGAGGTAAACTTTGAATCTAAGGTTTGGAAAATCATGCTCGGTTTATTATGTCCCGGATCGCGGTTTGTGTTTTAGACCGAAAATCGATAAGAAAGCAAAATCAAATCCAATCATTGCTCTAACCGAAATTGTTACATAGGGAAAGATGTTTCGATTTTTGGTATGTTCTAACCGAAAACCGATAAGCCCCTTAACGGGTTTTGCTTTGGTTTTGGGGAAATAGTCTATATAACATGTAATTGCAATTTTCCTTTGTTTATTGTTTTGAACTGGCAGAGTCGAAAAAGTACAAAGCCCTAGTCATCAGAATCGACAGCGCCGGCGGGGATTGCCTCGCATCCGA